CCCCAGCAGTCTGTTAAGGCTATACGGGGGATCTATTTGTGCGGGTATGCGAGCTGTTGAGCGCGTGTATTTATATCCAAATGTGCCTATACACGTTTGCGCATACGTGTGGGTGGATGGGTGGGATGTGGTGGATGGGGGCGGTAGCGGTGAGCGGTGAGCACACTTCGCTACGAAACCCGACGCTTTGGATCGATTCCCGTGAGCGAATACCTGAACCGGTCCCGGGGCCTCCCCTTAGATGGACTCAGCCCTGCGTACCTGCAAGGCCGAATTCGATCCCTGACCATGACTCACATACACACACAACGCGAGTGCGACACGTGGAGATGTGGGCCTCCCCTAGGTCGACTCAGCCCTAAAACGGTACGGTGTGCAAACCACACGACTCTGGAAACGCTATCGGCTCGTTTTACAATCTACACGCACCAGGCTCCTTATGTGTGCAGTGAGACAGAGTTTGTAGGGGGCACTTTCTTTGTTAACCACGCTTCCACGGTCTGGTCCACAGTAGCTCAGCCGAGCCTGTACACAACACCAGCCGTCTAACACTGACGGCACTGACTGAGACATACAACTACTCTCCTTTGTAACGCAATGTCTAGCGAAAACGTTTTAACGACGACGGCGACGAGACAGCAACGACGAGACGCGTCCACTCCCAGAACCGGCAGCCTCGAGCTCCCCCCTCTCGGCTTCTTTTATGCTCCCGGCACGGGCCTGGCAACGCCCTGACCGCGCCTCCCTTCTCGAACCCGCTAGCAGGTTCCAGGGGCCTCCAGATGAGGTCCTCCGTGACCCTTGCCCCAGTTCCTCCGCCCTGCCCACACACACCGTGCACACCCTCACCGGCGTGTGTGCTGTCTGTCCACCACAGTTGCCGCTGCTGTCCACCAGCCGGCGCTATTACACTACACGTGCATAACTGCATTGAGGGCGTCCACCAGGAAGATGGAGTGATCATATCAGTGAATGTATGTGGCTAGATACGCGAGTGATCATGTATGTAGTGTGACTGAGTGCGCATGTGACTGGGTGTGTAAGTGGGTATGTATATCGGTGAGTATGGAGCTGAGTACGCGAGTGGGCATGTGAGTGTGTGACTGCGTGAGTAATATTAGTGTAGTGGTTAGCGCTACGCTGCACTACGAACCTGGCGACCTGGGTTCGATTCCCGCTCACGGCCAACACCAGTGACGATTATCTGAACCTGTCCTGGGCCTCCCCTAGGTCGACTCAGCCTCAAATGAGTACCTAGTGCGGTGTGTAAACATCGCCACTAGGGAGACAAAGGCGGTCGGGCGTGGCACTGGCCACCCACGCCCTCGTGTGCCATGCCGGCCCTTATAGGTGCTCGCTAACAGCACTTGCCGCAACAATCCGCTAACCAACAGTCCGCTAAGGCCATGTGGGGGATCTTTGTCTTTGAGTTATGTTTGCATGTGTCGTGTACTCATTCAGAGACACGAGCAGGAGGCGTTATACCTCTTGTTTATTCCGACTCTCACAGCCATAGGGGATAACTCCAAGCCGGGTCGGGATAGCCAACATGCTTCCAGACCCACAGCTTGGAGAGGCGAACACCACGACGACAGCAGCATGACGAGTTCCATTCCCGATGGCAGCAGCCCCTCGGAGCTCGCCTTTTATTCTCCCAGCGTGGCCAGGCCAGGCCCCGCCCTCGGCCACGCCCCCCTCTGGATCCCCCAGAAGGCTCCGGGCTTGGCCCACGGGCCCAACTGGTAGAACGGGCTGCTACCCCTAATTCCATTGTCTACCAATCACCCAGCGCCACACGCTACAGTGACTCATTCAATGTCACTACACATGTTATGTCATTTGGGTTAGAGTGTGTGTGTGTGCCCTGCCTGCATGGTAGCGTGGTCGCGTTGATTCACCGTGGATACTTTTGCGCGCAAGTCCTGAGCAACCCATTAACAATCACCGTCATTCGAGCTGCTGCTTGTGAAAATAACAACAAAATAACAACATGCGGAGGTTCACAAACGACCGCCATCTTCACCGCTGTCGGAATTCTTTCGCGGGCTTTCCGGCCTGCTCGACTGTGGGTCGCTTGGCTCTCTCGATACGTCATCTGTGGTGACCTAAACTGTCCCGGACCGACTGGTTCTGGTAGCGAAATCAACCAGTTGATCTCGCCGAGATTATCGGGGGTCGCAGTCGAACCCGGAACGTCAGCGGCGCAACATGTCGCTCGGGATATATTGCTGGATCGCTTCTTTACATCCGCCAATGCCGTAACTGTGGCTGACGTTATCAAAGACATGGGCGTTTCGGATCACCGTCTTGTGAAATGCAAAGTGGCATCATCGATTAGTCGCCCATCCGTCACAACAATATCATTCAGAGGCTGAAAAGGACTGGACCACGATTGCTTTCGGTCAGAGGATCCCGGTCTCTCGTCGGCGTGTCTAAATCCAGCATTGACGGTCGATGCATTTGCAGCTCAATTAGAAAATGTCATCACTGCTGTTCTTGATGAACCCACGCTCATCCGAACAAGCACAAAGAGAGCAGGGAAACGAGCAGTAACTGGCTGTCGTCGGAGGCGACCGCTGCGAAGGAGACGCGGAGGAGGCTGGGGCATCTTTGGACGAAAACTTATTTCTAGACCGTCCGACTCGCTTACAGAGCGGCGTGCAGAGCCGCCAACTGGCTCGTTGTTGAGTCTCGCAGATCGTTTCACGCTCTGCGCGTCGATGAGTCGGCTCGCGACCCCCGTGCTCTGTGGCGCGTCGTGAAGGGTCCTGTCTGCACTCCAACGACCCGCTAACTCGTCAAACCCGGTCTGTGCACAGTACATGCGACGCTCCTTCTTCAATGAAAGTGACGATGAAGACGGCAGTTTCTAACTTGACGGCAACCACATTCTGCCAGTCTGCCATCTGAGTTTGATCAACCTGAATCCAATGCAAAACTCGAATCTGTTGAGGCTATACGGGGGATCTTTGTCTTTGTAAACCCTGTGCCAACCACACACACACACCAAGCGGCCGCAGTCCAAAGATGAACATGCAAGGAATGCGCCTGACCGTGTGTGTATTAGCGGAGCGGTGGCGCACACGGTTAGCGCAGTGGCACTACGAACCCGGCGACCCGAGTTCGATTCCGGCTCACAACGCACGAACCCGGCCGCACGAGTTTGATTCCCGACCATTTTTAGCATCGGTGGCGTATATTTGAGCCAGCCCTGTGACTCCGCGAAGTCGACTCAGCGTGAAATAAATACCTGGCTCAGTTTGTTGAAACGTAAGCGTAAGCAAAGGCCGCCCCGGGCGTGGTTCTGGTCACAGCAACTCCCTGGTGTACCGTGCCGGCCTTCATAGGTGCTACTCGCGAACAACACTAAGCCTGTACGGGGGATCTTTGGCTTCGTGACTCGAGTCAAACGGCGGTGTGCGCCAAGCGACTCTTGCAAACGAGACTCGATCATCGTCTCCTGGAGTTCTCATCTGGCTGAACAAAATACATTGCAACTTAAACACCGATGAAACTTGTGGTGGCGAAAGAAAGCACGACATCGCTAGAGGTTCCGCTCCTGCTCAAGACGCACAGGTGCCGACGCGTACTGTCCTGGTGCATCGAATCGTACGCGCGCGAATCAATGTACAAGCTTCTGTCACCAACGCGCGCTGTCCAGCGGGGTGAAGTATGGTCGAATAACCCCCCCCCGGGGGAGCCCTCATCCAGCAATGAATTGACAACTCCACTTGGACTGTTCTGCCCCCCACCCCACTTCCCCTCGCCCCCCCCCCCAAATCCGCGAACCTTCGTCCTCCCTTCCCCTCTCCTTGTGCCCCAGAGCCCAACCCTCCCCCTCCCTTCCAACCCATTGCCCCCCCCCTCCCCACGCTGTCCCTCCCCTCCAACCCATTGCGCCCTCCGGCCCCTGGGCAGTGCTGCTTGATGTGCCTGTCCGCCAGCTGTTCCACATAACAACAGCCTTGCGTCACGTGACGGGCGGCGCAGGGGCTGGCGAGCCGCTCGGGGTAGTGCGTTGATGGTTTGTGTCGGACGAGCCGGTCCCGGGCCTCCCCTAGGTCAACTCAGCCTTGAATGAGTGCCCAGTTGCGGTGTGTTAAACGTCGCCACTGGCGAGACAAAGGCGGCCCCGGGCGTGGTGGTGGTGGTGGCCACCCATCCCCCGTCGTGCACCGTTCCGGCTTTTCAAAGGTGCTCGCTGACAGCACTTGCGCAACAGTCTGAAGGCTACACGGGGGATCATTGATCCTCATGGCGGTACCCCGGGGTACCAAATAACACGAAATGGCCGAGGCAATTAAATATTTGTATTTCTGGAACACTTTTTTTTCCAGGGCTGTACTGAACTCCGCGACTCGATCCGAAATCAGTGCCACTATGGGATGTCGAAACGCCAAACAGCATAAAAGAAATCCGTTATCGAAAAAGTCAACTTTGAATAGTGCATCGTGTACAGCTCTTCGAGATGAGTCGATTGCCGCATCGCCGACCATCAACAGACTAAAAGTGACTGCATCACGGACATTATCCGAGAGCCGGGTCACCATGGTACCCCGGGGTAACATCATAAGGTTAATTTGTCTTGTGTGTTGGACGATGGTGGATGTGGTTGGTGTGTTGATGGGTGCTTGTGTCGGTGTGTGTTTGAGTGTGTTGATACGTGGGTGTGTGGGTGTGTTCATGGGTTGGGGGGTACAACGGTGTGTTCAACTGTGGCGGGTGAGTGCGTTGACGGGTTTGCTTTGTCGGTGTGTCACATGGGGTGTTGATACATAGGGGGGGGTGTGGGTGTTGCTGAACTGTGGTGGGTGGCTTACGTCGGTAGCTGGGGGATGTTGCTGGGTGGATGTATCGGGAGGTGGGTGGTTGCCTGAGTGGGTGGGGAGTTTCGTCGAGTGAGTGGGTGGGTATGTTTCGGTTGGTTCGTAGGTCGACGCCGGCGGGAATCGACGTAACGTCGGGTGGGTATTCGGGTGAGTGGATGTACCGGTGAGTGGATGCATCGGCGTTGTGGGTGTGCTGGTGGGTGTGTTAGCGGCTCGGTGGGTGTGTTAGCGGCTCGGTGGGTGTGTTAGTGGGTCGGCTCTCGTATAGGGTGAATGGGCCCGTGCGTGTTGGTGCAGACCTCCCGTTCGCCCGACGGACGAACGAGCAATCCGTCCCACTCCTCTGCGCGTGCGGCCGCCACCACCACCACCACCTCGCTCAGCCACATTCCCATTGTTCCACGCAGCGCCAGGGAGCAGCAACAGCGACTCTCTGCAAGCAGCAGCAGCAGCAGCGGCAAACAGCAGGAACACACACGCAGAGACCCTGGCGCCGTGGGCTTGTTCGCACGGACGGGCGGAGACGGGACAATCGTAGTTCAGCAGCAGCCGCCGCCGCAACAACCACCACCACCACAACCGAAACAACAACAGCAGCAGCAGCAGCAAAGCCAGCAACGAGGCACGGGGGGGAACGCGGAGGAAGAAATCGAAAGAACTTTCGCTGCTTTGTTTTGGGGGGAACAGGGGGGGGGGTGGAGGACGGGGGTAATTTTCTGTGGTTTTTATTTTTTATTTCTGGTGAGGGGTGAGCTGCTTGCTGAGTTGGTGAGCTTGCTGGTGAGCTGCCGCTTTGGGCTAGGCTGCCTAAATTGATTAGCTGCTAGGCTGTGCTCGCTGTGGCTGGATTATTGGTGATCTGCTGGCTTTGCTGACTGATTGACTGGACGAGCTGGCTGGTCTTGCCGGTTAGTTAATTGTTGAGCTGCCTGGATGATTTGCGACCTGCCGACTCTGCTTCTCGGGCGGCCGGCTGGCCGATTGCGATTCGTTTGAGCCCTCTCCTGCGGTGTCTTTGGCTGTTTTCTTTGTGAGCTGGCTGGCTGCTTGATTGCGGTGGAGTTGTGAGCCGCTTAGCTTCTTCTCCTCCTTCTCCTTGCCTTCGTCGAGTGGAGGGAGGAGGGGGAGGGAAAGGGGTGAGGAGCGGGGGGAGATGGACGCGGGCCGCCTGCTCTGCTGGGAGAGCGAGCGACCGGAGAAGGTCCATAGGGCCCGCCTCGACCCTCACCTCGTGTGCGACCGCGCGCTGCGCAACCTCCTGCTGGCCGAGGAGCGATACGCGCCCAGCCACAGCTACTTCAAGCACGTGCAGCGCGACATTAAGCAGCCCATGCGGCGAATCGTGGCCACGTGGATGCTGGAGGTAGGTTTCGGCTCGAGGAGCTTAAGCCGCGTTTCGATCTGCCGGCAACGCGGTTGAACCAACGGGGGGGCCAGAGTTTGCTTAAATCTTAAATTCGCTCCCTCCGCCCCCCATCCCGCTCGATCCACATCACCCACCGGCCTCTTATCCGGCCACCCAGCCAGCAAGCAGTGTGAAGGGGTGCACCACCACCGTTAATCATCGATCGGTATGTCGCGTGTGGTGGGGTCAAGTGTGGGTGCTGACACGTCTGGCAAGGGTGGAGGGTGGAAGAGTAGGCCAAATAGCCTGTGGAGGAGGCCTCCCAAGAGCTCTCTCCTCTCGTGGTGGGGCCCCGCCTACCGCTAGCAGTGCCGTGAGCAAGCAATTGCAGGGCTGCACCCATTTCCCACACAATGCCATCGGTTCCTCTCGACGGCAGGTCGTGCATTCGTCTCCTGTAGGACTCCCATCTTCTCCCAGCCTTCCGTGCTGTCGACCCCCTTCTCCCCTGTTCCAAGTGTAGGCTGCCGAGACTCTTTTCATGAAGCATCTTCTTGAGATGCGGTCGCATTTCATTGGCAGCCAGGGGCGGATCGCTGCCATTTCGGCCGTGGAGGTTGTTTCTCCATACTTCACCACGCTGGTCAATGCGTGTTGGTCAAGGGGAGGTCGAGGGGGGAGGGGGCAGCCCAGGACCACCGCTTCGTGGATTATTAACCAGATCATTTGCACCGTGGCAGGGAATCGAACCCATGTCGCCCCTGTCACTGTGTTGTGCATGTGCAGTGTTCTTTAAGTAGCAGGAATCAAATGTTATCCGAGGGATATATAAAAAAGGAGGAAGTGATGGAGAGCATGACATGAGTGGGTTTGTTAAGGCTTTGTTATCTTGCTTGTTGCACTTAAATACAGCGCGAATTAGTGGAGGAGTTGGTGGAGCACGTAGAGATGGGGGGGGGGAGTACGCCTGACACGTAGCGGCGTTAACGATGCATCGATTGGTATCGATTCTTAAGCCTCGCAATGTATGAATATAATCGAGTGCCAACCACAAGAGGCCGCTGCAGTCACAGCATTGTGTTAAGATGTTTTATTTTATCTATATATTGTTTTAATCGATTCACGACCTTTAACCAGGGCGAAATTATTATTTATTGCTCCGCCCGTGTTGATGATTCTGTGGACCGGAGTGCTTTGTCTGAACCACAATGTGGGTTCAACCACCAACGCTGATTCTAAATAAACAATAATAAAATCCCCTCGCGACTCGAGAGAGCCAAAGCCGAGGCATTGTCTGCGATTAACTCGAGATCACGCGCAATGGGCACAGAATGCTCGTCGAGCAAAACTTTAATTTCAAGTTTTGATTTAGTCTAACCGAGGGGCGAGATGACTCAGAGAGACCAGGATAGGAGAGTGTCCCAATTTGCACGAATGACCACTCGGTCACCAAAAATGACAAATGCAGCAGCAACAACAACAACAATATATAAATTACTGCAACGAAGCAAATAGACTTCCGAGTGAGAAGAAACAAAAACAATACCCCTACTGTGTCGCACGAGAGATAGAATCCCCCTTCCCCCCCAAATCTAATAATAATGTTTTAAGAAACAAGCCCATGGAAATTTCCAAGAGCAGTGCGCGCGTGGACAGGGGTCCACACCCCGATCCGACCGGGACGGCTGCCTTATTGCTCTACAATGTTTCCCGTGTGGTGCGTGTGGTGTGCGTGTGGTGTGGTGTGCGTGGTGTGGTGTGCGTGGTGTGGTGCTCACGGCCAACACCGGTGACGATTATTTGAACCGGTCCTGGGCCTCCCCTCGGTCGACTCAGCCTCAAATGAGTACCGGGTGCGGTATGTAACATCGCCACTAGGGAGACAAAGGCGGTCGGGCGTGGTGCTGGCCACCCACCCCCTCGTGTACCGTTCTGGCCTTCGTAGGTGCTCGCTAACAGCACTTGCCCCTACAGTCTGTTAAGGCTGTATGGGTGGGGGGGGTCTTTGTGTGTGGTGTGTACGGAGGCAGCTATGGGTACACAACCCCAATACGGGGGGGGGGGACGGGACTCGAACACCCCCCCCCCCCGTTTATTTTTTGTTTGACCAGGAGTACAGTGAGGAAGTACATTGGGCGACGTGAATAACTTGCAAGATGATGGGGAAGGGGAGGGGGGGTTGACTCCTCGTTGCGTGATCTCATTTCCTTCACCCCCCCCCCCCCCCCCCATGAAAAAAATTCAGAAAAAAAACCCCAACGCGCAGATCACCGCCACGGAGGCAATGGCGTCGCGTAAGCAAGAGAGAGTTGTGTTGTTTATTGTTATTGTTTACTTTGCTGTCCTTCCTTGCCCGCCGCCCCCGCACCTTTCGATGAGCACGAAAGACGTTCAACATGCACGCGCACAGGAGAGAAGGACATTTGCGGAACTCTCGCTCTCTCTGCCTCAATGTGGGATGGTGGTGGGGGGGGCGATGATTATATCTCTCTGTCCCCGTTGACTTTCACACCGAGAGCTGTTGAAGCAGTGTCTGGGTTCACGCTCGCTGCGACCTATGACGGGACAGTCCCCTCAATCCAGCACGGGGATTGAGGAAGGGGTTTGCCCATTGTTTTCTTCCTTCGAATTCGGTGCACAACCACAATCAATATGTCAAGAGCGCGCAATGCAACGTGGGGGGGAATACGAGACGAGTGATAGGCTCCTAATAAATGACCGTCACGAAGCAGTAATTTTAATAGTCGCATGTGGCTCTGGAGCCGCAGGATTCGCCGACTCCCCCTTCACGAGCGCGTTCCAGTGGTTTCCTGTAGCCGCAGCAGTCGCCGTTCGTCTTCATCGCGCGTCCGTTACGTTCCAAGTTCCCTATGGTAGCTGATTCTTGGACTGGTTCTTCGTGTCGATTCCTTCCCAGGACATTCCTCGTTCGTTTGCTTTCGTTTTTTGTCGAGCACGAAACGGTTGAAATGAACGTTTCACGTAACTCGATTAGTGAGTCGTCGGTTTATTTTTTTTACTCAAACCCCTATCCCGAATACTCACCCCAGTACTGGATTATCCTAGTAGCAAAAGTATCTACATGTGTAGTAGCTACGGGCCCCGCACTTTAAAGGGCCCCGCGCTAAATGCTTTCAAGCTATCAATTCCGGTTCAGTGATTCTGCACTTGCTCTATTACTATAGTACTATACTGCCCTTCAACTTTTACGAACGTCTGGGTGTTTAAAGTTAGCGATTTGTCGTGTTATCTGGCTGTATAGCAAATTTTAAAATACAATTACTTTACAATGCAAGTAAAAAAAATTGTGTTTTAACGTTTTGTTTATTTAGGGCCCCTTTATAACATATGCTACAGGCCCAGCACTAGCTTAATCCGGCACTGACTAACCCTAGACTGAGCCCCCCACCCTTTGGCAGACGATGTGAGGAGAATATTCCAGTGAAGTCTAAAGCTTAAATTTACACTTGCCGAAATTGGCCAATATCTCCTGTTCGTATTGGATAGAATTGTTAGTCATAGGTCTTGACCGTGACCAAAGAGTATTTGTCTGCTATAAATGCCCACGCGATCAACCACATATGTTGATCTATCATTTGTGGCCTGGTCGCTTCTGAAAAAGAGCTATGTACCTGAAGTGGGCCTCACCTGGTAAATAAACAAAAAATGTGTTTAGTTTTAGTTTAGACTTGAGCCGCTGTGTTGCTTCCAAATATGCATTTGATAGGCTCATCCATGGCTCAGCTCAGGCTCAGCTCCGTGCAGATCCTGCCTGACTGGAAGCGCAATGCTCCAGAGAGCCTGCTCAAGTTGAGCAGGGCTTCTGTGAGCCGCCTCACTCGGTCAAGCCTGAGCAGAGCGGTGACTTTAAAAAAGACGGGGGCGGGTGGAGGCCCCATAGTCTCACCACCGTAAACACATCCTGTCACGTGCATTGTGTTCTTGAAAGTATGAAGTGGTCCTAAATGACCTCGAACTGCGCCTCCCACCCATTGGCACATCAAGGCGTCGCCAACAACAAAAAAGCATTTCAACGTGGCGAAATCGTTACTTGATTTGTGCACGCAAGTGCGCGACTTGTCCACGCAAGTGTGCCGCGACTCGTCTCGTTCACGCAGTGCGCGACTTCGCGCACGATGCCAAAACAACAACAAAACGTTGACACGCGGCCGGGTCAGGACGGGCTGGCGGCACGGCACAAGTGGCACATCTCTCCCCGACTCCTACCACATCGACTCCCCTCCTCCTCCTCCCCCTGTTCTCGAGCTGACGCGGATGTTGTTGTTGTTGTTGTTGTCGTCGTTGTTGTTGATGTTTGTATTTTGTTGCGTGTGTGTGTGTGTTGAACTTCTTTCGCACCGTATGTAGCCAGCCGTGCTCATCGGAGGTGTGGGGAATGGGAGAGGGCAACGAACTAAAACACAAAAAGCAGTTCCAGCAATTAAAAAATTGTATCCACGGCCTTATTAGTCAGCGGCGACCATAACCCGGGGTTGTTATGAGTCTTTAAGTCGAGACCTAGCCTCCCTCTCTGTGGAAATGTCATCCGAGTCCATCCGAGTCCGTCCATCTCGCTCCTCCTTCCGCCCGGGCTGTGCGGCGCTTTTGCCCGGAGTTGCCCGTCCTGTCATCCGCAGACCGCAGCGCTAGCCTCGAGACGTTCGTCCGCCCCGTTTTTGGCCAAGAGCACCCCTCTCTAGTGGGGCGGTCATGAGACCCCTCTCTAGTGGGGGGGGGGAGACCCTTCTGCAAACAGTGGCATGAACGGGCGATTTGCGGGGCCTTTTGTCTCCGCCCATTTTTTTATCGTCGCCATTAGGAAAGATGTTTTGGGTGATGGTGCTGCTGCTGCTGCCGCCGCCGCTGTGTTGGCAGCGGCACACAAGCAACAAAAACCCGACACGTCCGTGAATGACCCTGCGGCCCGGAAAAGGAAAGAGATAACATAACGGGCCTTGTTTTTTTGGGCAGTGGGCCCCATCTTCATAGCGCACAGACAAAAGGAGTCATCTGCGTGCTATGAAGACGGTCCATTGCCTGAAACGTCACTTTATTATACATTCGCCCTAACCACAGCTGCCGTTGACTAAACTTCGTTAAGTTTGTTCTCCGTTCCACCCGCGCGTCCGATTGGCACGGTTGCCTACGGACGGCGCGAAAGAAGTTCAACGTACAATTCGGTCAACTGAATTTTCCATCGAACGCCGGCGTGCGCCCCCCCCCCCCCCACACCCCGGCCCGCCAGGTGTGCGAGGAGCAGCGCTGCGAGGAGGAGGTGTTCGCGCTCTCCATGAACTGCCTCGACCGCTACCTCTCCACGGTGCCCACCGCCAAGTCGCGCCTGCAGCTCCTGGGCGCCGCCTGCATGTTCCTGGCGTCGAAGCTGCGCGAGACGGTTCCGCTCACGGCCGAGAAGCTCTGCATCTACACCGACCACTCGGTGCGGCTGCACGACCTGCTGGTGAGGCGCTCGCGCGCGCTGCCGCCCCGACGCGCCCCGACGCGCCCCGCCGTCCCCCAACTAAACACAAAAAAATTATTTAAAAATATTTTACCGGCTATTTTTCAGAAAGTGGCTCATCGTCGCGTGGAAATTGATAGCAGCAGCCAAATACTCTTGAACGCGCGATGTCGATTCTAAATGTTGGAGAGCAAAACCGGACGACCCCACGTGACCACCAGGGAGAGAGACATGCAAACCCCAAATATGCAGAATCGTCAGGGTTGGGATTGAACCCACAACCTCCTGTATACCAGGCAAGGCAGTTAACATCGCACCACTCTGGCACCCTAGCCAACCCCCCACCACAGCCCTGTGCGTGAAACAAGCCACAACCGGTCTATGACAGCTGCGCACGCGACCGCCGACCATGGCGCTCCTCCGCGGTAAACGAAGACCTGAGAATTCTTTTCTGGCCGCGGCTGCAAACGTCGGTGGCAATCGATTATAATCCGAACTAGTCGCGCCCGTCCATCCCGCCGCACTGACAAAGGGTGGTGAAGTGCGGTCAAGCAACCGCTATGGCTGACACAGCGCCGGGGGAGGCCCTCATCCAGCGGTGGATTTACACTGGGCTGCAAGCGGTTATCGTTATCGCTGTATCGGATAATATGTTACGGGCCCAATTCCTGGTAAAACTCATTTTGTGGGCGGCGATTCAGCGCGTTGTCATCGGTGATGGAGAGACATGGGGCAAGTTTTTTTTTTTTGCTCCAAAAAATTGGATGCGTGGATCTGGCCTCTAGCGTGCAGTGGTTCTGGCGCCACAAGGAGGTACTTGCCGGAGCCTACAAAGCTGATGCCAAGCGCTGTGGGTGGTCACTGCGGATCGTTGTGCAAGGGCGGAAGGGAAAGGGGAAAATCAGCACAGTGGCGACCCCTGTAGGGACCTCTGGTCGGTGGTGTAGCGTGGTGGGCAATGGGCGCCGGAGCGAGGAATGAACCTGGGGCCTCTTGCCCAAATGTCCTTCTTCCTCTGTAGCCCACCACCCCCTCCAGCCCATGGACCCTGGTGCAGTTGCACGGCCTGCACATTACTGATAGCTATGCCCACAGTTACAAGCTACTATTCCCCCCCCCACCACCCTTTCTGGTGGTGGTGTTTGTTGCAGTCCTGAGCCACAAGTTGGAATTCCACATTCCTAAGAGGGAGACTGGAGGGAGGGGGATTGTACATGCCTACATTCGTACTTACATCAGTAGATACCTGAAGCGGTCCTGAGACACCCTGCCTTCACTGACCTGTGCTGACCAGTGTGTGGTCAAACAGGTCCCATGAAAGTGTGGTCAATCAGGTGTGTGGTCAAACAGGTGTGTGGTCAAACAAGTGTGCGGTCAAACAGGTGTGTGGTCAAACAGGTCCCATGAAAGTGTGGTCAAACAGGTGTGCGGTCAAACAGGTGTGTGGTCAAACAGGTCCCATGAAAGTGTGGTCAAACAGGTGTGCGGTCAAACAGGTGTGTGGTCAAACAGGTCCCATGAAAGTGTGGTCAAACAGGTGTGTGGTCAAACAGGTGTGGTCAAACAGGGTCTTGAGTGTGGGATGTTTGGCAAATGTAGTCATTAAAGAGACTTGAGTTAGCAACGTTATCATCATTGGGGAATTTTTTACACTTGGGTTTTCGCGACCAATGGATCAAATCGTCACGCGAGTTCAATGGCAATGTGTGTGGTACACCCTCCTCCACCTGACACAGCCACTTGAATACATTTGTCACGTCAACAAACGCATCAACTTAGCATTGCTCTTTGTTTTTTTCGGTAAAGTCACGTAGAAATAAGAAATAATAATAAAATTACATAATAGCACACGGCGTTTCGATTGCAACGCAAGCAATCATCATCAGGCATAGAAAAGCTAAATTTAAGAGAGGAAATACAAAACCGCAGATATATATACAGACACCTAAGCAGAGGGCGTTAACACAGAGACACAAAGAGACACAACGCATGGAGCACAGAGAGATAGGGTCTCCGTGCCGAGGCCTTAGCATGTAGGGGGTACAAAGAGAGGTGGAGAAGCACATCAAATCGAACAAGATTTAGTAAAATTTGGAAACAATATAATGCAGCACAGAGGGTCGGTCAAAACACAATTAACGCATGGTCTGGCTGATTACGCTATTTCAAAGATTGCTAAATTATAGGTTAAGAGTGACCTATAATTTAGTCACGAAAGCACCAAATCAAGTTTGAACTTAGCATTGCTTTGGCACACCGGTGCGCTGCAGAGCGATCCACACACAATTGAGCAATCTGGTATGACGTTTGACTGGTGGTTGCATCCAACATCGTCAGACTATTGCCAAAATTATGGAAATCGCATGATGATGGAGAGAGAGATGTTCTGGCTAGGTTTGGAGGAAGATTGTTTGATTTATTGGTACTCTTTATATAAACCATGTGAGGATCCCTTCTCTCAAACGATATGGATGTAAATCGTCATCTCTTGACCTGACACCCGTAGAAATATTTGGGAGAGAACAACATTTCCATAAGTTTTTTTCAACCGGTCGTCTCTCTGGGGTTGATAAATATACGAAAAAAATTTGAGCACAACTCCGTGGAAACTCAACAGCTTGCCCCTCCGCCAATAACACGGTTCCCCGCAATAAGAATGTGGAATTTCCACCACTGGCTCACTTGAGTCAGCATCCCACCCAGCTGCAACAGCATGATGACGCCATCTCTCCGTTCGGCCGGGGCTAGCGCCGCAACTCTCATTGAGGGGAGGACGGGGGGGGGGAAGGCAGGCAGGGCAGGCGGTGGGTGGTGGGGGAGTTGACATCTTAGATTGGACCCAGTGGGGAAGCAAGAGGAAGAGACGGGGGGGAGGGGGGAAGGCAGGGAGGGTGGGGTGTTGAGGCTCGTGGTTTTGTGGAGATGTCGGAGATGCCAGCAAATCCTTGATGTCGCTGATTTATAAGACGAAGCGATTTGCGAGCCTCGGTTCTCACGCCCACGCACGCTGGGCACGTGGACGTGCAGATTTCCGATGGCTCGCCCACGAGCGTCAGCTGTGGAAAGCGGCGTTGGTTCATGATCAACGATGACGACAATGATGATGACGACGACGACGACGATGGCGATCGTGCATGAGGTGGTACGATCAGATTTGGCGTAATCATCATTGCTTCCATTACTCATCATCATCAGCCGTGATCTATCCGCTACTGGATGAGCACCTCCCCGAGCCATCGTCATCTCTCCCACGGTCTCGCAGTGCAACAATCCGGCATTCCATCTCGTTCTTGTACGCACGCACGACGCAGCAATTGGTCGGCAGTGCTGCACAGCTCTCCGAGACGCTCCTCACCACCACCCCACCCTCCCCCTCCGGGTTGTTTGCAACGCGCGGGTCGCTCGGCACGACGTCCGACGCGTCGCCCCCCGTGTGCTTGGGAGCGTTCTCCCGGGCAGCACGTCGAGCAAAACTTTGGGCAGGCGTCGTGCCAAAAGGCTCGCGGCGCTTCGCAACACGGGAATCGTGAGAGCGAAATGCGACCCTCGCCCTGAAAACTATTTAACTCTTTTATTTTAGCCATGCAGCTTTTTCAGAAGCGACCTGGCTATGGTAAATGATAGCTGAACGAAGTGGCTTGTCATCATGTGGAAACGTATTGCAGCCAAATGCTCTAAACGCACATTGATTCGAAATGTGGAGGCAATAACCGGAGGAGCCGGAGTAAAATCCACGCGACCACGGGAGAAAGAGACACGCAGACTCAAAATATACAGCAGCAGGCGTCATGGTCGGGATCGAACCCACGACCTCCTGTAAACCAGGCGAGGTAGCTAACATCTCGCCACCGTGTGTATATACGTTGAACTTCCTTCACACCGTACGTAGCCAACCATGCTAATTGTGGCACCCACCCGCACCCCCCCCCCCATTACCACCCCCGCCCTTCCACCGTCGTCGTACCCCAGGACATGGAGCTGCTGGTGCTGACACGTCTCAAGTGGGACATCTCGGCAGTGACGCCGCACGACTTTGTGGAGCACGTGCTGCACCGGCTGCCCCTGCCTCGCGAGAGCGTGGACCTCGTGCGCAAGCATACGCAGACGTTCATCGCGCTCTGCGCCACAGGTCATTACCGCGCTCGTTTAACCCCCGCGCTCCCATCCCCTCCCCCCCCCCCACCTACATGCGGTTTCTCCCACGTCGTGTCATTTGTAAGTAGGGGGGGGGGGAAATTTTTACTTTTCAAGTCTGTCAAATTCGGACCGTGACGCCGGCACACGGTGGCCTAACGGGGAATCTCTCGCGTCCACCGTTAAGCAGACACGCTGCGTGGTACCGTCGCTGTCATTACCGCCGCGCGGTGTTAATCAGGGCGGCCGCTGGATTTGGGAGATTTTTGTTGCCTTTGTAGGGGAGCGTGCACCCACATGGCTGCCACGGTGGCGAGATGTTAACTCCCTTGCCTGTCATGCGGAAGGTCGTGAGTCCGATCCCGACCCCGACGCCTGCTGTAATATTTCGGGTTTACGTGTTCTCTCTCCCCCGTGGTCGCATGGATTTTTCTTTTGGGTCATCCGATTTTTCCCTCCACAATTACAATCGACGTGCGTTGTGAGCATTTGGCTGCTATACATTTCCACGTCATGACAAGCCTCACCGTTGAGCTATCGTTTGCGGCCAGGTCCCTACATAGCCTTGTAAAATAAATAATAAACATCGTTTCGGTTTTTTTTACTCGAGCCATGCGGCGAAAGCGCCGCCGACGAGGCCCACATCGCCGCCCCCGAACAACGCGACTGGCTTACGGTTCGCTCGTTGAATTCCCCCGAACAACGCGTCTGGCTTACGGTTCGCTCGTTGAATTCCCGATGGCCAAAAAATCGCCCGGCATGCGCCTGATCTCGGACGCATAACCGCGAAGACCGTAACAACCCCCAACTGGCATTTGTCAAAAAAAGTTCGAGTAACTTTTTTTTTTTTTGCTTCATGAAATCCGCTCATTGAGCAGGGGCGCCGGACAGATCGTCGAACCGCTGGTGCCAGGAGTGGCACGGTAGCGCGGGCGCCAACGGTACGAGCAGGGAGACTCCCCAAGCCGCCGCCGTGTGCGGTCCCATTGTTTCTGCTCAGCGAGTCACAATATCTCACGGACGGAAACTTTTGTGCTTACGTGCGCAGTTGTTCGAGTTTCTGGCAGGTGTTCGTCACACAATCGGCGGCAATTAAGAGCGCCTGGGCCCCATCGATGGCACCACCTCGCCCCCCCCCCCAATCCTCCACCACCCCCCTTCCTCCGCAACACAATCTCCAAATTGGGTTAAGGCCGCAGATAGAGCGCCCGAGGAGTTTTTTTTTATCTATTCTAAAAACCTTTAACAAGAGTAAACGACACGTAGAAATGTCAACAGCTTGCGCCGCCCCGGTCGGCGGTGGGACGGAGCAGGTGGAATCTGCAGCTGGGCCGGGGGTCAAAAAAATGCCCTAGGGGTAAGGAGAGAGAGGGAGAGCGCGAGCAGGTGAGGCCTGCGTGTGGAGCCCCCACCCCCTTCCAGGGTCAAAGGTCGCCCAGATCAGCTGTGCGGCAACGGCTGGCTATTGCCCCTCAAGTCTCAAACAGATAATGACCGTGTAAATAGCGCGGGTGGGGATAACTCGTTGGGTTAACTTTTTTCTTTCTTTCTCAAAGCCAAGGCAGTAGACATCCTTCAATAGAACCCTTTGTCTGCCATCCTCTTATCTGTATGTAATTCCTGTTGTACGTGCTATCCGGCCAATCTGATAATCGCCCTTTCGGCAGCTACTCGGCTCTTCTCCTTGGCTCTCTCTTCACCTTGTTTGACATGTCCGACTGCAGGGTGCCACGGTGGCGAGATGTTAACAACCTCACCTGGTTTGCAGGAGGTCGTGGGTTCGATCCTGACCCTGATGGCCTGTTAAATTGGGTGTTTGTGTCTTCTCCGTCCGGCGTTGCATGGATTTTTCTCCAGGTCCTCCAGTTTTTCCCTCCACATTCGGAGACATGCGTTTAGAGTATTTGGCCGCTCTAAATTTCCACACGATAAGCCACTCCGTTGAGCTATCATTTGTGGCCAAGTAATTTCTTTTGAAAAAGAGCAATATAGCTCGGTGTTTGTAGTAGAACAAAAATAATTGTTAATAGTTTTATTCACTGTGCAGGAACCAAACCCTGCAGCTCCCTCTCTCGATGATGATGATGCAGCATCGCCAGCTCCTACTGCTGCTGGTGGTGGGCACGGTCAGTTCTTGGCTCAGCTCTCTGACGTAGAAGCGCACGGCACGTGGAGAGAAATGTCGGACACCGTGCCGAACAACGCACGGAGCTAGCAACCCGAAAGCGTGTCGGAGAGCATTGGAGCTCAACTGCGAGACCTTGCGCAGTGGTACGGCTCGTCCCATTATCCGTGTGTTCACTGATATCGGGAAGATCACCGGTGTAGTTGGGATGAATAATGATAGAGTCTCCCCTTGATCTTTTGTAAAAGAATAAAAGCAAAAACCCAACTCGTTGCATTCTTCCACACTCAAATAAGCATGTGGCAGTGCTCATTCTCATGGCAGGGCCCAGTCTATCCCATACACAGGACACCGCGCACACTGGAATGTGTTTGACTTTGAGAGCTTGGTTCTCAGGGTCTCCTAAAACGAGTGCAGTTTGTTGGCAAAACGTAAATAACCGCGCAATACCAATCGCGAAAATACATTTTTTTTTAAACCCACGCTCCCATCCACCAAATCCCGCGTGCACGAACCTGACGTTATTTTTGCCGTGACGGTGGGAATTTGTGCCGACTGAGATGGCCGTCACGTTTTATTACCATCCCTCGTGCGTTCCAGCCTGAGGGTTGACTATCGTGGGCTTTGTGGAGCAGAGGAGAAAGCCTTCTCCTTTCGTACGGCTGCTGATGTAGATGCAGAGCAGCAACTGCAATTTCACATTCAGGTGGTCAAGCCGGACAAACGCGATGGGAGCAGCGGAGTTGTGCCGCCATGTCTCCTTCGTATTTGTGGATACGGTCTGTTCTGGATGACCAGAGTCGCACACTACTGGAGAGTTTTTATTTTCCATTATCCGATTCTACCATGGTTTGTGCAGTGGATGCGGTTTAGGGTGCACTAGCAGAGAAGATGTGCAGAGAATTAGGGACATCGCCGCAAAGTGTGGGATTGGTGGGTGGGACACGCGATGGTGGCCGTGGATTGAAGCTAACGGCGGACCGGCAGTCAGAGGGACTTCTACCGTAGAGATGGAGCGAGGAGATGAGATCAGGGTCCCGTGTCTTGTGCGTGAGCCAGATCGTTACATTACGGGGCCATGAGAGATGGTGACAGATTGTGGGAGGGGAGGCCTTGTTACATCAGTGAAGAGTTTATATTTTTTTGACTCATCAAAGTCATCGTCTTCTCATCAGGGAGCAAAAACCATTACTTGATCTCCGATCATCCTCGCAGCAGCTTTTGGCTAGCCATCGAACAAAGACGGTCACAGCATCACGTGCTTTCAGATGCTCTTCTGCGGCCGTATGAAACGCTCATCCTTCCAATATTAGGAAGCCATTGGAACTATGCACTTTTAAATGATCTAGATTGAAAACTAATTTCTTTACCACTGCTCTTTGTATTTCGTTTGTTATCCTAACCCCGCACCTCCGATTAGCGCGGTGGATACGTACAGTGCGAAAAAAGTTCTACGTACGTACCCGGGGCAGGGAGTTGAGTGACGAAGAGAGGTTTGGTAGGGGGAGAATGACGGAGAGAAAGACGAAGAGTGTGAGAGAGAATGTGAGAGAGTGAGGAATGGAGGGAGGGAGGGAGGGACGGAGGTTGCTCGTGAGAGAGTGAGGAATGGAGGAGGAGGGTGGGAACAGGCAGCAGGAGGCTGTCTACAGATTCATTAGGCTCAAGGTAACGGCCAGCTGTGGCAAGCCCTGTCCACGGCAGGGAGGGGTGGCTGCGATTGTAGGCCATCGAATGGAACTGGTGGGGGTGAGGAGGAGGATTAACTATTTGGAGTGGATGAGGCAGAGGGAGGCCCCAGGTGGACAGTGGTGGCATTGTATGTATGAACTTCCTTCCCACCGTACGTAGCCAACCGTGGAGGTTGCTGGAGAAGGAAAACAAGCTTAACACAAAAATAAGCTCTCGAGAAATGAGTTTTCAATCTAGATTTAAAAGTGCATAGCTCCAGTGGTTTCCTAATATTGGAAGTGAAGAGCGTTCCAGACGGCCGCAGAAGCGCGTTTTGTGACGCATTGGTGAGCCACGTTTGGGGCAATTGCTCGCAAACGCGGTGCAGAATTCTCCTCCCGCTGTACCCCGGCTCACTCTGACCGTGGTATTTTTTCCCCCAGGGGTTGGCAATGGCACTTCGTGCAAGGAATGAACGAGTGGTTCGTTCCATCGCTGTGCCCCCTCCCCCCCACTCCTCTCAATGCTCGCGTCCTCCAACGATGCAGGCCATGGCGTCTCAGTCTCGCGCGTGCGCACCCACCAATCCCAGCCACCCAACCGTGGAACTGAAACTAAAAACTACTTTTTATTTGATTTTACCAGGTAAGGCCCACTAGCTATGTGGCATATTTATCAGAAGCGACCTGGCCACAAATGATAGCTCACCGAAGTGGCTTATCGTGTGGATATTTATAGCAGCCAAAATACTCTCATGATCTCCTGTATACCTCCTGTATACCAGGCGTGGTAGTTAACATCTCACCACCATGGCACCCCTCCCCTTTTTCCCGAGTCCCAAAAATCTGCCAACGCCCTGGGCAAATGTCTGCGTTGTCTGCGTCTAAAACCGGCACTGCCAGGCTTCCCAAACCCAACCGCCAGCACTCGCCTCCGCCCACCGCACCCTCCCAAACTCAACCGCCAGCACTCACCCCCGCCTACCGCACCCTCTCCGTAGCGCAGCGCCCGTTGCAGTTTCCCCGTCCGCACACTCTCGGCCGCTGCGCCGCTGACATTCGGATCTCTTAATGGGCCGGTCGAAAACCGCCGCCTAAAAGAGTGGGAGGCTCGGAAGGGCATTTTATGGCTCGTTGCTAGAAGTTTGTGGTTCGAGCCCAGTGGCTGCCCCGGTTAATACTGCGGGTGTATTTAACCCCGGCGGGTGGTAAAGGTCCCGTGACGTCATCCGAAGGAGTGTAGGCCATGTGTGGCAGCGTCACGGTCCAAATCTGCTGAAGGTGAAAATCTACCCCCCCCCCCCCAATTACTTAATCGGGTAAAGCAAAAAAATGCAGACGTTACTCACCTGTGAGTAGCGTCTACGCGGTGTACTTAGGAAACATAATCAACGTTACTGCGGGAGGATATCGATCAGGAAGAGAGCGATTGTGCAGGACCACGAGAATGCGGACAGTTAGAAGGCATGGGGGGGGGAGGGCGGGGGGTGGGGATCGCGGTAGATTGCGCGGACTGCAGTTGAGAGACACGGATGTCGAGAACCTGGTGGGAATTGCGCGAAAGCGCGACACTGATCGTGGCAAGAATAAAATAATGCGAAGGTATGAAGGTAAGGATGAAGATAAAGGCGCAGCCCTGCAATTTATTTTTAGTGCAACTGCTGGTGGAGGGGCCTCCAATGGAGGGGAGCTCTGGCGAGAGAGCACTGTGCAGTTGAACATAGACACAGCGTTTAAGTATAAATATTTGCAAGATGCTCCCGTGGTTTAAACACGTGGCACAGCATCAATGACGGGCAAGCTCAAGAGTAATAATACTTGTAAGTTATGATATCGAATTACGCGTGTGTGTGTATATATAGTGGCGAGTGAGTGATTTCATTCTACGGATGTTATACTTGGGATAGAGAGCTGACATTTGAAATAATAACTTATAACTGTGAATATTGTGTTCTATAACTCAATTTCCCCCCCCCCACCACCACTGAAATTAAGAGGCAGTGGTGGAGGAGGATTTAAAAATGTTCTTCAACTTTAACATTTTTTAAATCTGGGGTGTAATTGTTTCCATCTGGGAGGTATTGAAGAATGCCTAGTCTGCGTATGACGTCAAATTTTGTATAACTCCCGATATTTTTCCGTGTACTTTGTTAATGGTTGCGTGGATTTTTTTCTCCAGGATCTACGGTTTTCCCCCTCCACATTTAGAATAGAACGTGCATTAACAATCTTTGACTGCTGCTATAAATTTCCGCACGATAAGCCACTTCGTTGAGCTATCATTTGTGGCCAGCTCGCTTCTGAAAAAGAAGCTAATAGCTCAGTGGGCCTTACCTGGTAAAATAAAATAAAAACATTTATTTTGAATTATAATAAAATTAAAATATTTATTCATTAAAAAAATGTATCCTTTTATTCGATTTTTTTGTGTGATTTGCTTGCCTTTCCTATACTTTGCACGCCTGTCGTGTGTTCGTATCGTTTGTTGTCGTAAAGTTCTGACCCCGTGCCCCGACTGGACATCTGTGCGAAAAGAGATTTATATAGCTCATCGGATTCCTCCTGTATCAAGATAAATTTTAAAAAATTCCGATTCTGAAGGTTTGCAACGCAGCACGCGTCCGTCTGGGGACCCCGCTGTCTCACGGCGCTCCCCACCGCACGCGCCGTGCTCTGCGCGTGGCAGAGATCCTCGGAGCCTGGGGTGTAGGAAGTGAGGGCGCGCAGGCGGATGGGCAAAGGTGAAGGGAAAATGGACAAAGAGAATTTACGATGTCAGCTTGCATGGGGAGAAGACGGCGACAGAGATGTGGACGAATGGACCAAAACAGACGGGATAGGGGGCGAGGCAGGCACAGACGAGAAAGGCAGATGCAAAAAGACAGACTGAAAAAGGCAGACAGATAGAGAGGGACAAACGGACAAAGAGAGATGTGACAGACAGAAATAAAGCCGAGTGATGCACAGACGGAGACTAAAAAGATGGTACAGACATATTGAAAGACAGACAGAAGCAAGAAAGAGGGATGCATGAGAGACGGAGAGAGGAGTAAATTAAAGGCACACGGAGAATTCAAAAGAGATGGAGGAGACGGGGGAGTGCGAAACACAAGCCGAAAAGTGTTATGATCCGGAGAGATGGTTTTACGGAAGAGAGCATTTACAAAACCACTTAGACACTGATGGAGGGAACGGGAGGACAGAGGATTAAGATGCAAAGCATATGGCGAGAGACTTGAAGAGAGAGCGAGAGAGATGGAGAGAGGAGTGGGCGATGCGATGGAAATGTAGAGCGAGGGAGAGAGTGCGCAGATGAAGGTGGTTATTAAATTAACTTTCCCATACCCACCCCTCCTTGTATCTGAGCCAAAAAGGGGCAGTTTCTGAGTTAGTTGCCCTGACCACGCGGTGAAAACGTGTGTGCGTTTCTGTGCGTGTGTGTATGTACGTGTGTACGTGTGTATGGGGAGCCATAGTGTGTCCCAGTTAGCGCGACCCGAGTTCGATTCCTGCTCACGGCCAACACCAGTGACGATTATTTAAACCAATCCTGGGCCTCCCCTAGGTCGACCCGGCCTCAATTGAGTACCTGGTGTGGTGCGCAAACATCGCCACTAGGGAGACAAAGGCGGCCGGGCGTGGTGCTGGCCACCCACCCCCTCGTGTGCCGTGCTGGCCTTCATAGGTGTTCGCTAACAGCACTTGCCTCAATAGTCTGTTAAGGCTATACGGGGGGATCTTTGTGTGTGTGTGTGTGGAGCGGTAGTGTAGCGGTTAGCGTGCCGCGCCACGAACCCGGTGACCCGAGTTCAATTCCCGCTCACGCTCGCCACCAGTGACGAACCAGTCCTGGGCCTACCTCCCCTAGATCGACTTGGCCTTACTATGAGAACCTGATGGCGATGTGTAAAAAAACATCAGACCGGGCGTGCCATTGGCCACCCACTCCCTCGTGTGCATGTGCCGGCCTTCGTGGGTGCTCACTCCTCGCTCACAGTGTGGGCGGTCCGGATCTTCGTCTCTTGCGCGCCTCTATGCGCCAGTGCCCGTCGGGCTTCATGCGTGGCATCGCGCTTTCTACGGTCCGAGTTCAATCCGACGCCACGCCTCGCCGTTGGCGTTGGCGGCGTCCGTACCTGGCGTGGGCTTCGCTTGCGTTGACTCGGCTACGAGAAGTGAGTAGCTGGTGCCCCGCGTCTGAACATCAGCAACCGGCCCAACTGTCCCCTTCCCGTGCCTTATCAAACCTCAGTGGGGGCGTTCGATACCTAACAGCACCTGGTTCACGTTGTGAAAAAAAAAGATACCGGCCAGAGCGAATGTTAGGTTGCACGGTTATTCCCCCTGTATAGAGGCAATGAGGAGTCTAATCCGGGGAGGGATGGGGGGGGGGGTGGTCGGGTGGCTGTGGTGAGGGGGGGGGGACGGTGGGGGGAGGGACAGTGGACTTGGGTGGGGAGGGGAGGTGCTGAGTCGCAAAATTAATCGTGGTCGCTGGGCGGAGGAGGAGGAGAAATCCTTTAATTTCACTTCATTCAATGCTGACTGAGGCCACCAGATCCTGGGGGGGGGAGGGGGGGCCCCCTCGCCACCGTGCCACCTGTGTGAAACTTTAGCCACCCCCATAGAGGTGGCTCCACGCGGTGAGAGGAGAAGGGGGGAAAACAAAAAGTTAGAAAAGAAGAAGAGAAGGGAGAAACAACATGAAGCACGGACAAACTAAATTGCCCTCCTTTGAGTTTGTGGTGGGTATGGTTTTTTTGGCGGGGGGGGGGGGACGTGCAAGGGGTGGGAGGAGGCGAGAGGGGTGATTTGGGGGGGGGGGAGTCAGCCATTGTGCCAGGTTTTTTTAATATTTGAAGCCCTCCATGAAGTGGAGTGATTCACAAAACTCGCACGCAGGAAACCGGGACGAGCATCTGGATGGGGGGACAAGTAGGGGGCGGCCTGTGATCGGCCTCTCCCCTTCTGATGTCCCCACGATCCGATTTCTGCAATCAAAAGTTTACGTTCAAACGTGGCTATTTACTTATGTGTTTTGTTTGTGGTGTGCTTTCAAAGTGCTCGTTTTCAAGGCCTCCAGGGCCAATTGACATTGAGCAGGCCGACACCACGGCGGCGGTGGTGGTGTCGGGTCGGCAAGTTGCCTTGCGTATCAACTGCTGTCAAATTGTTGTTAATCGTGGTCCAAAAATGTAATCGCACCTGGCTGCTTCGCTGCTGGATGAAAGCCATTCCTTCCCACGCCCGGGAAGGTCGTCGATGTTGTTCTGACCGTGCTCCGCCGCGCCTGTCAGTCCGGGTGGGTGCAGGCGGAGAGCGTGGACATGGCAACGTAGAAGTATAGTCCGTCAACTAATGTACAGCTTCGTGGCATACTGTTGGCATGAATGACGCTGTATAAAACGAAAGTATTATTATTAAACTGATTTGCCTGTGCTGTTGTCTGCTGCCCTCAATCGTAGCTGCACGACAGCCTGCGACGCCTGTGTTTTGCGTCTCATGCACGGTGGTTGATCGTCCGAGCACTGTGCAGGCTCAACCTTGATCGGCTTCCAATGTCGGCCTCCAAAGCGTTGGACTACACTTAGCTATGCACTTGGCCTGTGATCCAGCACTGTGGAGCCAGCGAGGGTTGCCGGATCGCAGCACAAATCTTGTGAAACTCCCTTCTTGTGGGCATCGAGATGGAGCATGTACCCCCGCTCGCCAGAAGGCAGTACAACAAAAATGCGCACCCCACCTGTTTCCGCCTGTATGGGATAGAGTGTTTCCCCCTCGCATGTGAGGTTTTTTTTTCCCGGTTGCTCCCGTTTTTCTTCACAAATGTAAACGCTCATTAAATGGCCGATGGCACTTTCATATATATAGAGGACCGCAGAGCTTGGGAAATTGTTGGCATCGGCTAATCGCGTGGCTGCCCCTTCCCACTGGTCTGTGGTTCCTCGCACCTCTGAGTTTCTCTCAACTTGCGACGCGTCACAAGTGGACATTATTTCTAATGTAACAGCCAGGCACCGCCTCGCCCCGGCTATTCTGATTATTATTTGACGTTCGTGTGAATGTTTCCCTGCTGCTGCTGCTGCTCTCGCGTGCTAACCTGCGTGCGTACGCGTTCAGATTTCAAGTTCGTGACGTACACCGCGTCGATGGTGGCGTGCGGCAGCGTCGCGGCGGCCGTGCGAGGTCTGCGTCTGCACGTGCGGCACCCGGCGCTGTCCCCGCAGAGCCTCACGCTGCGACTTGCCAAGATCACCAACGCCGACCCGGTGAGCTGACACGCGCACACACGCACACACACGCACGCACCGAAGTCGACTGGCGGATGCACCGCCTGTACTCCACGCTCGTGTGCCACCTCGCTGCGTTTTTAGCCGCCCAGTGCTCTGGTCGTTGTTGCGAGCGTCGCTCAACCGCCTCCCGTTGTCACCGCCTCCGTTGCCCCTTCTACGGAGGCCGATCTTGACGCCGCCGGTACCGGTCGCCGGCAGGTCCACTCGGATCAAAGTCCCACACTGGCGCCTCATTCCTTCTGTGTACTTGCACATGAACACGAAGGCACACGCGATCATAGCGCGAGGGCGCAAAGTTGTTTATGCCACTCTAAGCCTGTGAGTGGTCGGTCGGGAGGCCCTGGCCCTCTGGGCCTCGTTGAGTCAAGGAGGGGGGGGGGGGGTCCTCGACGCTCATCTCGGCTCCCCTCTCTCATCTCCATCTCATCGTCCCGCTCGAGTGCGGAAGGCATCGCGAGCCCTCCAGTGCCACTTGTCCGAGGGTGGGCAGCGTCTGGGTGGAGCCTGGCCCCGCCCCGCCGGTCAAAACACCGGGGCCTGGCTTGCACACCGAGCGTACAAAAGACAAAGATCCTCCCCACCCCCACCCCCGTATAGCCTTAACAGACTTTTTGGGCAAGTGCTGTTAGCGAGTAGCACCTAATGAAGGCCAACACACGGCCTTCGTGGGTCTAACCCAAGAAACGCTTTATTATATGGGTATGGTGGAAATGGGACGGGGCCACTGACGCGCCGTGGCGGCGTGCGTGCCGGAGTACATGCCAACCGGCGTGTCAGCGTCTTACCTGGCACGCGTTACCAGCGCGAAGGGTTGCCCCAACCTCTTCGAAGGAACGAACCAACCGAGACGTCGCCTCCAACAAAAATTAAATATCTCCCAAGGTCCCGGCGCAAAGGAGGGGAGAGGTACACGTTGAGTGCAACGTGGTTCGCCGTTAGGCAAATCGACACGTCACCGGGGAGTTGCGAACACTCGCGGATTTTCCCAGGGCGGCAGCTACCTGAGCAACAGGACGATGCTGGCAAAACCCTGGACAGGTGGCGATCCTGGCAGCACACGTCTGGGTGTGTGTGTGTGTGTGCGTGCGCGTTGTTAGGGGTGCGTGTGTCGGCCGGTGTTATTACGCTATGGGAATGGAGGCAGAGATCTGTGTGTGTGTGTGGGGGTGGTGGATGGGGTGGGTGGATAAGGTGGGGGGGGGGGCTCGCAGACCGTGGCTGGCCCCGTACGTGCACATTTTATTCGGCATAAGTCATTGTTTTTCTTTCCATTCCCACGGGGGCAGCTGGGAGGGAGGGAGGCGGGGGAGGGGGTGATGGTGGGGGGGCCCGCGGGTTCAGGGGAAGGGAGAGAGGGGGTGGAGGGAGCTGGTGGGGGGGGGGAGGTTGTGGGTGCAGGAGAGGGGGAGGGAGGTAGGGAACCGGTGAGAGAGAGAAGAACGCAAGAGGGAGGGAGTTGCGCGCGCGGCATCGTACGCGCACGTCAGGTGACCCTCGGATTACAGCCCTCGGAAATCCTGTAGGCGCATCTCGTCTGCCCCGCTGCCTTTCATCTCCCGCTTTGTTTCAAATCCTCCGGCGGGCTGGCGAGCGGCGGCGGCGGCGGCGGCGGCGAGCGGGAGAGACAATGACCACGCCACTGAAAGCCCCATTGTCCGCCCTCCCCGGAATTCCCTCTTAAAGCAGCGGCGGGCAGTCGGTCGGTCGGTCGGTGTGCTTGTCGATGTGCCGTCTTGTTGGCCACGGGCAGCCTGGTGCGAGGCCCCCTCGCAGGAGTTGGGAGGTAGCGGGGCGGGGGGGGGTGGGTAGGTAGGTGAGTGGGCGGCAAGGAATGCCGGGCTAATTTACGGCTCGCCTTGTTCATTTCCCAACCAGCTCGTTGGATAGTTTCGTTTACTGGCCTTGAGGGACACTGTAAAAGGCGAGAAAATGATCTGTCGAGGTGCAGGATGGGGAGTCGGAGGAGGAAGTGTTTGATGATAAGGTGACTATACGCGATGCAATTCGATGCATACGTCTCTGCTGCACAACATCTGAGAGCGCGTTGCGCGGCGCTTGCAGATGCGCTCCTGCGGCCGTCTGGAATGCTCTCCCTTCAGATATTTGCAAGCCACTGGAGCAGTGCACGTTTCAATCTTGATTCCTTAGAACTGCTTGTTGTTGTGTTTAGTTTGTTGTCCTTCACCCGCACCTCCGATTCGCGCAGTTGGCTACGTACCGTGTGAAAAAGGTTCTGCGTACGTACAGCACCACAGGAACATTTGCACCTCCTGCGGACCTCTAAAAGACGCACACGTCGACCGAGCCTTGCACGCAAGCACAGAGGTCCCATGTATGGCCCCAAAACTGACCGCTGGTGCAAGTGCTGTTAGCTAGAACCTATTGAGGCCGGCACACACACTTGTTTTCCACGGGAAGCGAGACTGGGCATAGCAGCAGCAGCAGCAGCAGCAAGGGGAGGCACAGTCGGATGTGACAAAGCCCGACCGTGACCGCTGGGACCGTCAAAGAGTAATTTAAACTTTCGGAGTTGGGGGGGGAAGCGCTTTAGGCAGCCAAGGTGGGAACGACCGAAATTGATAAGTACAGAAAATCAAAGTCAAAAAGCCTCGCCGGGTCAAAGAGGCGTTCATCTCCATTGGCAGCCCCCGAGCCAGTGGTGAAAATTCCACATTCCAGTAGTTGTGGTGGTGATGGTGGTTGGAGGTGGTGGCCAATAGCTGGCATAGTCCACTAACTAGATATGTTAATAGTGAACTGCGTCTGTTTGCGTGACGCCATTCGGTTCGCGTGGGAAAATGTATTTATTCATGAAGCCGTTGACCGGATTTTGATTCGTGGCCGCGGCTAATGTGCGGGACGGTGAGCGGTTATCTGAACTGGTCCCAAATCGAATGAATGTCAATGCTGACAATTAATAGCGAGCAACTAAATAGGCTCAATATTTGTGATGGGTCGGCTGAGATGCACACTGTGGCATGCTCGTGAATTCCCACTGCTCGTGCCCGTGTGCTTGTCAGTGGTTCTGAGAGTGCTGGTTGTAGGTGGTGCTGGTGGTGGTCGGGGAGCCAGTGCCGCATCGGTTTTCTCGCGACGCTACAAAACCCGGCCACCCGAGTTCAATTCTCGCTCACTGCCAAACACCAGTGGCGATTATTTGAACCGGTCCCGGGCCTCCCCAAGGTCGACTCGGCCTCAAATGACTACCTGGTGTGGTGTGTAAACATCACCACTGGGGAGACAAAGGCGGACGGGCGTGGTGTTGGCCACCCCACACGCTCGTGTGCTGTGCCGGTCTTCATAGGAGCATGCTAACAGCACTTGCCCCAAAAGTCTGTTCCAGGCTATACAGTATGGGGGATCTTTGTCTTCAGTGGTGGTGGTGGTGGTGGCAGTAGCCATTGTGGCAGCAGTTGTGGTGGTGGAGGGTGGCCGGGGTGACAGATGGCGTGGCTGGGCGTCTCGCGTGACCGTCACCTTCACCTGCGGAACCTAGAACCATGGAAATTTCCGCAGCCACTGAACTTGGAAATGCGAGCGAGAGTGGGGGCACGGAGTGTGTGGCACGGAGTGGGGGCACGGAGTGGGGGCACGGAGTGGGGGGTCGGAGTGGGGGCACGGAGTGGGGGCACGGAGTGGGGGCACGGAGTGGGGGCACGGAGTGTGTGGCACGGAGTGGGGGCACGGAGTGGGGGCACGGAGTGGGGGCACGGAGTGGGGGCACGGAGTCGGGGGTCGAGTCTGGACCAGGGGGGCAGCGTCTGCGTGGCAGGAGAGTGGCGCGGCGGTGTGGTGCTTTCGCGCACTTCGCTACAAACCTGACGACCTGTGTTCAATTCCAGGCCGTGGCTAATATCAGGAAACCGATCTCGGGTCTCCCCTAGGTCGGCTGGGCCTTAAATGAGTATCTCGTGTGGTGTGTGTCCCATCAAGACTGGGTAGACTTAAAGGTGGGGTGCTGGTCACACCACTTCCTTGTGCGCCGCCGTGCTGGCGAACAGCACTTGCCCTAACAATCCCCCTAAAGCTGCCTGGGGGAACTGCATTCGTGTAATTGGGTGTGTGCTTGTCTAGATGTGTGTGTGTGTGTGCATATCTACGTGTGTGTGTGTGCTTGTCTAGATGTGTGTGTGCTTGTCTAGATGTGTGTGTATCTACGTGTGTGTGTGCGCCAAACGGTAGCGAAGGCGGTTGGCGCGCTGAGCTACGAACCCGGCCCCCCGAGTTCGATTCCCGCTCACGGCGAACACCAGTGACGATGATCTGAACCGGTCCCTTGCCTCCCCGAGGTTGACTCGGCCTCATATGACTACTTGATGCGATGTGTAAACATTGCCACTAGGGAAACAAAGGCGGCCGGGCGTGGTGCTGGCCACCCACCCCCTCGTGTGCAGTGCCGGCCTTCATAGGTGCTGCTGCTCGCGAACAGCACTTGCCCCAACAGTCTGTTAAGGCTACACGGGGGATCTTTTTCTTCACGTGTGTGTGCTTGTGAGTGGAGGGACCTGCTCAAGCATACTTGCGAAGATGTATTCCCTTCACCCACCCCTACATCACCCTTACTACATCATACCCCCCCCCCCCAACTATAAAGCCTCACCACTCGTAAACGAACAAGCCCCCCCATTCATCCTGGCCCATTCTACATCATCCTCTCTCTGCAAGACTCTCTCTCATCTCTCCGTCTTTTGCCCTTCCCACCATAAGTTTTCCCCCCACCCCCTTGCCTTGTGTTTGCGTCACCTCTCTTGTCACCTCTCATCTTACCGTGTCGCTCTTCGTAACTTGCTGGCCTCGTGCCCCTACTGGACATCTGTGAAAAAGAGCTTTCATAGTTCGTCGGGATTCCTCCGGTCTAAGTAAAGATTCTGATCCTTCGGGTGTTATGGGTGTTAATCGGGAGCTTAATCCTCACTCGATGTCTTTCGGAACTCTGGCTCCGTTGGCTTCGGGTCTATATTATTGGCATAAGGCACTACCACTAGAGAACAACAATCCTATATTCTCGTACCCAAAAGTACATGTCCGCATCCGTTGATGCTCTTAACCAGATGTCCAAACTCGATCTACTCTTGTGATTTTGCTATTTCCACTTTCGTTTATAATTTAGGGTACAGTCGGCGAAGAGGAGAAAGTGGTGCTCCGGTTTCCTCCCACGTGTACAAACGGTCATCAATTGGCTGAAAACATCTTCATGTGTAGAGGAGCGCAGAGCTTGGGAAATTGTTGATACCACTGGCTGACCGCGCGGCCCGTTACAAGTTGACGAAATTATTATTAATTGTTATTATAATCCTATGCAGAGTCGTTATGGGTGTTCTTTTCTTTAACGGAACCGGATTCGCATGAAACGAATGTCACCTTAACCGCATTGACGAAGGGCTGGTAATTATGATCAGTTAATACGCGTTACGCACGCGATGAAATAATTGTGAGTCTGGTTTAACGCCCACGTATATATATCCTGGATTCCACCGCTTATGAATAGGTCTCACTCTTTTTATACCCTAACATTTGCAATCGTATTTAATCGGGTGATTCGGTCAAAGCTGTGTCTCTCTCTCTCTCGTGTGATTTCTGTTATGTCTCTTTTTCCCCGTCTCTCTCATCGTCCCATCTCCCTCTGTCTAACGCTCTCCCTTATCTCTTATCTCTACGTCTTGATTACTTCTCTGGCTTTCCCTTCTCATCTTTCTTTCTCGTAGAGCCCCTTCATACTTTCTCTTTCACGTTCTCTCTCGCTCTCGCCCCCTGCCTCCCTACATCACCCCGACTGCACACGTACGCGCACGCACGCGCTCGCCCTCGCGCGAAGACAAAGACGCCCACGCATATAGTCTTCTAACAGCCCGTTGGGGCAAGTGCTGTTAGCGAGTAGCACCGACGAAGGCCACGCACACACATGCCCCCACACAAGCACTCCCACCCAAACATGCACTCATACGTGTACACACATGCAGAAACATGTGCGCACGCACACTCGCACGCACGCCCACACACACACACGCACGCCCACACACACGCGCACACACACTCGCACGCCCGCACGCACGCACGCCCACACACGCGCACACGCGCACACACACGCACGCACGCGCACACGCGCACACACACGCACGCACACGCGCACGCGCACCCTAGGCCCTGGCGCTCCCCGGCCGGGCCCCGGATTGGGCTGCAGATCTGACACCCAAATTCCACCCCTTGGGCCCCGTCATGGGAAAGCGGTGGCGTCTGACCGCCTCACGGCTCATGGCCAGCGGGGGGCCGGGGGGGAGGCACAATCTCAGTCGCCACGCACAAAGACAAAGGTTCCCCGTATAGCCTTCAACAGACTGTTGAAACAAGTGCTGTTAGTGAACAGCACCTATGAAGGTCGGGACTTTGTCTCCCCAGTGGCGATGTTTACACACCGCACCAGGTACTCATTTGAGGCTCAGTCGACCTAAGAGAGGCCCAGGACCGATTCAGATAATCGTCACTGGTGTTGACCGTGAGAGCGAGAATCAAACTCGGGTCGCCGGGTTCTAAGCGCAGCAAGCTAATCATTGCACTACCGCTCCCCAATACTCACCGCCCACACCCACTCACTCACTGGCCACTCACCAACTAGCCACCGGTTCACTCAAACACACTTCAACTCGCCTCATTGCGCATCAGGCACACCGGCCGCTCACGCGCATGTTCGCTCACCAACGAATCTCTCGCACACCAGCCAGCCACTTGCTCACCAGCCGCTCACCACCCACTTATTAGCCAGCCTCTCACTCATGCAAATAGACAGAGAGACACCCGTCACCGATTCACACTCACTCAAACACGCATACATACATACATACACAGACTCACTCACCACTCACTCAAACTTGCATACACCCACTCGCCAACCAGGCACTCACCACTCACACTATGCACACCCACTCACAACCTACTCGCCGGTCGCTCACCATGCACACGCATTCATCACCCACCCACTCACCGCTCGCTCTCAGCTTGGGCACAACTTCACACACTCGCCACAGGTTGCACCCTTCACGAAGCCATGCACACAGCTTGACTCAATAGGGACGCATGGCTACACTCTACTGATTATATATTATTTTCAATCGGCAGTGAAACACAGTTATGTAACGATCTCTCATTACCTTTCAGGCCCCCGCATTAATAATATAATTACCACTCTGTGTGCCTATACCCCATACGCCCTCTGCAGGTCTCTCGTTGCCATTTGGGGTTTTTTTTTTATCCCATGATTCCGTGTGACCTAAATATTGGGGTTGTGATCATTCACGACCACCGTCACTTGCCCCGGCCTCACGAGTCAATGGCTGGGAGGGGCTTGCGTGAACCCATCATGGTGCGCCGTGATCAATCTACTGCTGGATGGGAGGCCTCTCCTCTTGTAACAGCCCGCACCCGGCACCTGCAACGCGAGATGATTTTTTGTTTCACGGCTCACTCTCCTCGGTTAACGAGTCGCTCCTTGCACGCGCAATTCGATGAGTGAAAGCATCGCGAGCTTCAATGCACACACACACGAGCGCGTCACACCCCAGCATTAGCCACAGCGAGAGGGTGCGTTCCCACCAACCAGTCTCCAAACACAAAAGGTCCCCTGCACAGCCTTCGCAGACTGCCGGGCACAGTGACGGGTTTGACACTGTGCGCGTTTTTTTTTTTGTCCCCGTCTCGTCGTGGGGGTCGGCAGGACTTCCTGCGCGCGTGCCAGGAGCAGATCGAGGGCCTCCTCGAGCACAGCCTGCGGCAGGCGCACGGCACGGGGCCCACGGGCGGCCCCGACGGTGACCCCAAGGGCCTGGAGGAGCCCGACCTGGCCTGCACCCCCACGGACGTGCGCGACGTCAACCTGTGACGAACCCAACCGCTGGCAGAGCCGCCGCCGCCGCCGCCGCCGGCGGGCGCCGGGGAAAGACGACAGAGGGAAAAACGCACGGCGGGCGAGAGACGGACCTTCGACCGCGGCAGCGTGCGTTGCCTAATAATACGACGACCCGCCGCTTGTGCTACCCCTCCTCCTGTGCCAGCCGGTGACTCCTCGCGGCGGCAGCACCAGCAGCAGTTCCGTGTGCCTTCCGGAACAGGGCGGCTCGTGTCCATCGCGATGCGGCATGGGCAGGTGTTGTGACGCGGCCGGCCAGGTGCCGGATGCTTCCTATCCGCCCGCTTGGGGTCTCGCTCCGTGTCCGCGCCTGCCGTCCCCTGCATCCATCAAAAAAGCGATCGCGACTGGGGGGAGCGGGGGGGAGCGGGGGGGGGGGGGGGGTCGGGGGGTGGAGCTCGTCTTCTCCGCTGGTGGTACCCAACAAACAAACCCAGCAGCGTCAATCGCCGCATCCCTTTGGCGTGGACTCGCTTTGGTGCCCGCAGGACCGACGCTGTGGATTTTGTCGCGCAAGATCGTGCTTGTTGTGTCGGCGGCCTTGGAGAGGGGGTGGGGGGTGGGGAATAAATATGGTATTTGAACTTGGAACTCTAGGATTGAATTGAAACGACTGCCTTGACGACGTCGTCATCAGAATGGGGGACGAGTCGTTGGCAAGGAAAGAGACGGTTGAGGGAGAGCGGACCATGTGCGCGCACTGCAAGATTTCAATCCCTGCAAGATGCGCGTGTTTATCTCGCACGTTGCAGGAGATGTGATTTTGTGTGTTTTTTTTTACGATCGTTTCGATGTTGTTTTTTTTATGGTTGTTGGGGAGTTGCTGCGAATGTGGTCTATTGTGGGAGGGGGTGAGGGGGGAAGGGAGAAGGAAGACGACAGAAAGAAGAACTGAAATAAATTCGCCCATTACCCGCTCACAAAGGGACCTCTGAAAGGGAAATGAAACAAATATAAAATTAAACAGAGCACCAGCGCTGGCGTGGCGTTAGCGACGTGCCATGCTTTGCCGGTATTTGGGACAACTCCCTGAACAGAGAGTGAATGGGCAACAAAAAATGTCAAAGAGAAGATCTTTTATTTTTGACGGAAAATAATTCACCTGGAAAATCCCCTTGCTGAGACGGAACATCTTATTTGAAAGGTTGTCCAGGTTGTCATTTGAGACAATGTGCACCCTCGCCGCATGCAAATCGGCGTCGTGCAAACCCAAACCTGTTCTGAGAGCGCTTATTTTTTTTCAACCGCATTGCGCAGGTACTTTGGAAGGGCTTTGATCGTGCTGTGGCGCACAATGTTACCACGCTTTTGATATCCAACAAACCTTCTGGTTCAAGTAGCAAATCACCTCCTTTGGTCAGCTGACAAGGGACTCGCGAGTGCACGAGTCATCCTTGATCTGAGCGCCGCATTTGTCTCCATCGATCATCCAAATTCTTCGCCCACGCCTTGAAACCTTGATGGGAATTTCTCTGCTCAGCCCTGTGATTTGGCTTCGCTCCTTCACCAGAACCCAATATGTCTCCCAAAAATGGCTTCACATCAACCGGCGAAACAGTCCTTGTATGGTGTCCCACAGGGCTCCATCCATGGACTCCCGATTTTCAATATTCACCTCGCGCCACTGGATTCATTGCCTAAGGAACTTGGACTGACGTCACGCAGATATATCCCCACCTCTCCTCCCACCCGCGATCCACTGCAGCCGACTCCCAACTTCACTATAATTAATGAAGTCATGGCTGAACCAGAACTACCTATACAACTGAACATAGCCAAAACCAAATATGTTTCTCCTCGATCTCGCCTTCTCTCGTGTTGACTATCGCAACGCTGTTGCTCGGGGTTCCGACCAATGTCTGGGGCCGACTGCAGCTGGCCCAGAACGCGGCCGCCGGGGTGCTCACGCAGACCCCATCCAGCGAGCACGCTCATCGCCCCAATAATATTAATAATAAAACATCCGCATTGGCTTCCAATTAAATGGTGCTGGGGTGACCGACGGAGGCTGTGGATGCGCTGCGCCGAGACGATGGAATGCCCTGCCCCACCACCAGTTGTTAAGACAGGCGAGGTCGCTTGCCCTGTCTCGCTCTTCTCTAAAAACCTAGACCTGTTTTGCCTGCAGGCCTACTAGTGAACTCCAGACTACCTTGTAGTATTTATATTTCCTAACTCCGTGCATGGAGCACCAAGATCCCTGCATGAATTGCGCCTTCATAAATGTCAATTGTGATTATTATCACAGTGCCTTTCTCGTCTTGTCGGATGGGGAGCATCTTTGCTTCGGTATACCGTCCTTGCCTTCATAACTTTGAGAGGAACTCGTGGAAAGGGTGGGGTGGGGAAGGAACCCTTGACCCTCCTGCCCTGTCGGGGGTGGGGGGGGGGTCTCGCCCACAGGACTTGTTTTGTGGGACCACGTTGCGTGCCATTGCCGACGCGTGACCACATGACCAACGATCGGAAGCATCCGTCTGTTTGTGCGGTCTTGGAAATGAAAAAAAGGTTTTCTCCTAAAAGAGAAATTGCCTCGTAAAATGCGTTGTGGCTTTAGTGCTACTAAAAGAGGTGGCGTGCGGTAAGGGCCGCCATTTCACTCCGTTTAAATTTGATTTATTTTGTTCCATTTGAAACTTTTAATTTGTTGCCATTGTACTGCCGCTGTCAGCGCATTCACTGCCAAGTTTGTGCCTTCCCTGCGCTCTGCATTCGTCGGCAAACAGCAACACTTTAAAGCGTGTAACCTTTCACTGCCTAAAGGGCGCCGCCCCACTTCTCCGATTGAAATCGAAGCCAATAAATCAAGAGCTCCTCGTCGGTCGATAGGCGTCGGCCGCTTCACGTTCGTATAATTTTTGCCGCGAATTAATCACGAACGTTTCTGTCTTTTATTTAAACGAGCAACAAGCCCCCCCCCCCCCCCCCCCCGCCAAAATAATGCTGCTCGGGACTCGTTGGGAGAATGAAGCCACGTGTCTTCGTGAATCACTCCGCATCAAATCACACAGCAGAGCACTTTTTTCGCCTCTCTTGGGTCGAGATTTTCGACCCCAAACCCAAACCCCCCCCCCCGCCCCACGTGTCGAGGCAGGAAAATAGCGATGGGAGTGTTTCGAGATGAGGGAAGCACACGCGCCACGTGGCGGGGGTGCCTTCTCTGTTGTTACCTCCTCGTGGGAGAAGGAGCAACCGACGCTCTCTGTGTGTCGTTAAATTTTCGTCAAAACATTCCAAAAATATATAAATATATAGCGCCTAAAACAAAAGTTGGGGGGAGGGGGTAAAACAGGACAGTCGTAACCAATGATGCATTCCGCAAGCGTCGCCTGCTCGTTTTGTGTATAAACTAGCGGCAACTGTTAACTAGGTAAATCATAACGGTGTGTTAAACATTCCTGAGTCGTGATACGCCATAGAAAGATTGTAGACTAGTAGGGAGGCGCTAGGCATAGTACTGTTCGTAGGGGTGAGAGACGAAAATAATATTTTGCGGAGAAATATCTCGATTATTTGCTGTCAAGTGTGGTTACAGTTCTGCCGAAGGACTCGGTTGGTCTTTACGAGGTTGTAGGGGCTTAGGCGGTAAGCGTTTCCCCGCCGGGAGTGAAATGAATGTGACAAGTGTGTTTCGTGGAGGGCAACTCCGGTGTACGTTGGCTATTTTGTATGTGTTGCGTGCAGAGGCGAGAGGTGGGTGTGGAATGGAAGGTGCGTGGCATGCTGCGTTCGCCCGCGGGCACGCTGGGGAGCGAGAGGTTCTGGCGGTTTAGGCGGCAGGGTTGTTGTATGTTTGGCGTGCGCTGGTGGCGCGAACGCGACCGCACGCGTCGCGAGCATCAGGACGTCGCGTGGCATCCGTACGCGGAGGGGCTCCTCCCGCGGGGCCGCATCGGGTCCCCTCGGAGCTGCGCTGCCAGTTGGAGGACCGATCCCGATTTTAACGGTGGGGGGGCGGGAGACGAGATGGGAGAGGAGCCCGGAGGAAGAGGGACTTTGATGAATAAGAGACACTTCGTGGGGGTTTTGTGTAGCGGTTTGGGTACATCCCTGGCATCTGCCGCACACGGGCAAAAAGCGAAAACGCTGATGTGAGCGCGGGGTGCGGGGAGTAGGGGACTGAAAGGACCTCGCGAGACGAGCGGCGCGAGTTGCTAAAGCTGCTTGACATTTTTTTTTTTATAATCAGTGCCTGTTGCCGTGACGTCGGTTTATAAATATTAACCTTGTGCTGCTATTTTATTAAACACGTTGTTATGACCTTTTATTATTATTATCATCATCATCATCAAAACAATGACCTTAAATGTAGTAGACCACAGTTCATTTTAAGTTTTTTTTTATTGGATCAGAATGTTAACGTCGCCGCGTGTGTAAATTAAACGTGCCCGTTTTTGTGTAACCATCGCTAACCCCACCCGCCCCCCCCCCCCCAAAAAAAAAACCTACGCTGTGCCACCAACAAACCGGATCCACCCACCCCTCACTTTGCCCAAATCCGCAGAATGATGAGGTACTGTGCAGTCACATCAAGGTGGCTGGCCGGGCGGGATCAGGAGGGGGGGACATTCATAATGGCCCGTGTCAGAGACACTGAATCGGCACCGTTGGCGAACATCGTTTCGACTCCTTCCTCCAGCCACCAATGCGTGAGATTGGCTTATGAACGTGTAGTGTCCTCGGCGGTCTGATTGTTGCCCGCAAACACGTGCACCACTAACCGTATGAATTAACAACTCTGTTCCCGCTTAAATTGGCCAACCCCAGCTCTTGAGGGCTGGAGTAGAAAATCAAAATAGTTCGAGTGGCTGACAGGCGGCGAAAAACTGTTCCTTTGAATCATGGATTCGCCTTCTGATACTGAACTGGTGGAAGGAAAATCGGTGATGAAATCCCAACTCTCCGTTCGTGTTTTTTTGGGGTCGTCGTACCGCACGTCTGGTTCGGCAAGATGTCCCGACGTTTCGCTCCACGACGAGCTGGGAGTTTAGTCGGGAACTAGATCGTTCACTTTCGGAAGAACGCTGAACATGCAGTGGAGGTCTTGTCGACAGAGACCACCTGCTCATTGTCATGTCGAGTTGAGGTCCCTGCAAAGTCAAGCTTGGGAGTGTGCCAGTATGCCTGTTCCATTCTAATTTATCGATTTCAGGCACGGACATAGGTAGTATTTAAGCAAGTTGCTAACGTGGTGCGCATGTTTCTAGCAAACTTTGGCAATGTGGATCGATCAACTCTTCGTCCGTCCTCCCCTTCGATTCGATGTTTTCCCATACGGTGGGGGGGGGGGAGTTTGATCAGCCACGGTTTATTATGAGTTTGTGTCCAGTTTGGCGAGTGAACCGGTGGACGGCGTCACGAGTAGCCTGGTGAATATCTGAAACTCTGCCGGTGAATGATCGAAGCGGGCAGTGGCGTTAACTGTGTGGGTCGATGGTTTTGAGTTTGGCGTTCGCGTTCCAACGGTTGGATACTGTTACAGTTTTGCCATCTGTGCAAGGGGTTTTATATTCCCATGGAACAGGACACATTCTTGACTCAACTCCGTTGTTTCGGCCACTCGCCGTAGATAGGCCGCCCGGGTTGGATACATTTCTCCGTGCGTGCACTCCTCCTTAAACCGCACCGCCGTTAGCCAACGCTTCACTCCCGTCAACCGCGCTTTAACGATGAACTCAAGTTTTCGTTTAGCTTAGTCGCATCGGGGGGCGGGGGAGGGTGGGGGTGTTGGTTTTTTAAACAGCTTTTGAAAGTGAGAAGCAAATTGAGGGGAGAAGTTGCGCGTTAGGGGTGGAGGGAAAAAGATTTCGCTCGACTGCCGCCACATCCCCCAACAGCTCCGACACACGACCGGCAAAGTTGACCCGACCGCGCGACATTAACACATTAACAACGACTTTGCATTGTTGTTCATGTGTCTCGCACGGTGGCGACCAAGGCACAGGATATGGCTCGTTGAAACCTCTTCAAGTGATGATGATGATGTCTCGCTTTTTGTTGTTGCTGTTATCGTTTTTAATTGTAAGCATTTTGGTGGATGTTTTCGATTTCATCGTTCTTACTCTCCAGAAAAAAGAAAAAAAATGCCATATTCAGTACCTCACCTGAGCTGCTAACACAGATCACACGGATGAATGGGTGCGTCCGCTACGATGGCCGCTTTGTTTTTGTGACGTTTGCTGCTCTTCTCACCACTGGTGCTTCAGTGCCACCACGATGGCCAGGGTGTCCTCCTCATGCTGGCATTCACAAACCGTACCCCCACCACGTTTTCGTGCCCCCCCGCCCACGTATACACGAGAGGGTTCAAGCCGCCCCATTGCAGATGTGGACACATGACAAACCGGTCTCCAAACAGGGTCTTTAGACGATAGGCCAAAGAGAGAGAGAGCTCTAATGGCAGCTTACGACCGTGGGGGGGGGCTTTATGTGATGGACCAAGAGACCAGTCTGGTGGGTTTTAAGACCACGGACTGACAAGACTATGATGATCGTCTTCAATGCACCGACACACTAATCCCCAATGAGATCTTGAGAAAGTATTGTAAATTGACAAGGTGGGTCCTCCGATGGCCATTCGTTCTCCTTTTTCATCTTAATATTGTTGCTTCATATAATCGGCTGTTTCTGCTCTATGCCAAATCGATTTGGGGTAGCATCATTCTTGGGTTGATTTGATTACGTAACCCTTGCATTGAAACGACCCTAAATTTGCAGTTTTTGTGATCGCAATTACCTTGCGGTGGACATACAAGGTAGTTTTGATTTGGACACAGCTCAGCTGGTGGAACGGTAGAGTCCCATTCAAGAGATCGCGAGTTGCGATTGTCCATTTTGAGTCCGATTAAAATGAGCATGACCTGGGGCAATGCCTCACGGAAAGTCATGAGCCGTTGTCCATGTGGAGTTTCCAACACGGTCTCGCCAGCCTCTTTAAGATGCGCCGCTGTCCAATACCCTTTGAACTATGATCCCACATTTGAAGCTTTCGTGACTGCAGGAATCCACACTCTTTGGTTCTTTCGCTTACTTCAGCAGTTGTTTCTTGCTGTGGTTGTCTCACCTGATGACGATTGCTTGTGCTGCGATCGACACGTCGTCATAAATTTTTCTACCTACGTGACTTTTTCCCGAAAGAACCAAAGAGTATGATCCCACAATTAAAATTCTGATTTAACTGGGCAAAGCCAGTGTGCCGGTGGTGGGAGTACGGTTCGTAAGTGTGCATTCCCCGTGCCACTCTCGCAATAAACTTGAATGCAAACACTGAGTGCGGTGTCCGTGCGCGACGTTGTGGGTATTTGTCGGTCACACAGCTTGGTATGTGTGCGTGGAATTTTAAAAAGGGGCATTGAGTGCTCACAAAGTTATTAATTCAAACATTTCTTTTAATGGAAATGTCCATTTGACCATCTTGCACAGCCTTTGTCAACACAATAAAGTTTGCAAGGAATCGTGGCTTTTCGTCGCTTTCTTCGGTTCTTTGTAAATCCCTCCCGTTGTCGTTGCAACCTCCGCAAAGTTCATACCGAGAAGAGCTGTAACCCATGAATACCAATGGAAGAAACGACTCGAAAACATACTGTGTTAGGAAGCGTCTAAATGCAACCGAATCCTGCTATCTCGAGGAGCATAAACTATCACGTAAACTCTGGATCCTCGCAGCAGCTTTTGGCTAACCATCGAACGAAGACGGTCACTGCATCACGTGCTTTCAGACGCTCTTCCGATATTAGGCAGCCACTGGAGCTGTATGCATTTTTAAATCTACGGGGAAAAATGATTTAGAACTGCATTGTTTAGTTTGTTCTTCCCCCGCACCTCCGGTTAGCTACATACAGTGCAAAATAAGTTCAACAGGATGACGTGGATGGAAAATAAATGTTACAAGTTGCACATGCCTGATCATTGCAAAACATGCTCCACGTAACTGAGGGCTCATTCAAATTAAGACCGAGATCTTGTGTGCAGAGCTCATTCAACTTGGGACTGATCTTCTGTGTGGGCGTGATTAAGAAGTGTGCCGTAACCTGGGGCTATTCCACAATATTGAGGCGTAGCATCGCATGTGAAGACTTGCCTATCTCAATGGAGCAGAGTGATACACTTCAAAAGGTCGACTTGTTATAGTTGAAATTGCACTGGTGCATAACTTAGAGCTCACCACGTGTATTTCAAACACAACCAAATCGCTTTAGAAACAAGTTTAATATATGTTGTAGAACGCCTGCAGAGTATTTGTGGCTTGCAGCATAGAGCAGTAAGTTGGCTGCTGGCCTGTCTGCAGATTTGTTCCGTGTTATTCTCATTTCTGCATTTTCTTCAGACATTCCAGTTTTTTGCGTGTGTGGGAACCAGTTACATGTGTATTGCGATATGGAATGGGTGCGCACTAGCTATCTAAAGCTAGATATGTATTTTTTTTATATAGTTTGTGGGTGGAGATTTACATTGAATCCCGTGAACAAGATCCAGTTGATCCAGTTCACATCTGATACGATGACATCAGATATGATGTGAACTGACAGCTCAAGTGTAAAAGCAGCTACAGTTCCAGAAGTGACATTTGTGGGAAGAGGAGGGATTAGGAGTTATGGGGTCAATGCTTTGCACTGTTCCCACATTACCACACCCAGTTTTATGCGTGCCAAAGCAACGCTGCTGCCTGAACCATGCAAGTAGCGTGCCAAGCCAGTCCGAGGCGTGTCCTCAAACCGCACGACCTTGTCTCGCGCCCTAGGCCCCTGGCACACGTTTTTTTTTTTACCCACCCACCACTTTCTCCACTGCTCTTGGCCAATGTGGCCCGATCTCAGGAATTCACTTGCCCGCTTGGCAGAAATCTAGCCGAGGTTGGGGTGGTGGTGATTAGCAAATGCTCTTTTAAAGATAATTGGTTATAGAGTTGAATGGTTGCACATCTTAGCTTATGGTAAACTGATTACAATTCCACTTCTTTTTCATTTTGAAATGTTGTTGCCATTATTGTGTGTGCTTGGTGTCAGACGAAGTATGAAATCAGGTCTCGTAGAGAGCAGTGCAATCCTTGGTGTTAGAGAATGATCCAGTCCAAGCAGATGCCACACAGCTACCTCTAAGATGCTTTGAAGTGATCTTGGTCCTCAGTCAGGGCCAACACTATCCATCTCACACCGGGAGTAGCCTTCGCTATGAAATTCAGGTTTATCTTTTGTAATTCTCAGAGCTAAAAATGTGATTGTTTTTTAATGTTCATTGGTCACCAGGCTGAGAACTTCAACACACTACACCTGAGAATCCGGTTTAATCACAGGCAGCTACCTGGATTTTAACCCAGGCCAACACCTTGACCTCTGAGCCCCCTGGGGACCTCATCACCAAGCAGTCTCAAAGCCAATGTAGCCAAGTTATTGATAGGAGGTGAGTGATGCAACATCATCGGTCTCTCAAAGCCGAGTTGACTTCATAAGGGTTCAGACTGGATTAGAAGTTGGTCCGTGCAGAAGCGGTGTGCACAGTATTGGAAGTACACCTCCACACCACGGTTCTGGCCAGGTTTGAAAATCAGAGAAAAGTCCAACGAGCACGCATATTAACGTGTGCGTAGAGACATCAGAATGTGGTCCCAGATGCTGATGGTTGGCTCATATGGATGGGGACATTGATCAGCGAGCACACCTGCAAAAAAAAGTGGGAGGCAGCACACACACACACACAAAGGGCTGTAAACATTAGCAATATCTCAAGTGATTGCGCAGACCAGCAGCCAACACTTGCCACTGAGCCATTTCTGACACCCATACAGCGATCATGCATTCCCAGGATGTCGAATGCAATACTCCTTCCAAGAACAGTGGTCTGGCCCACTGACTGAATCACCTAACCGCAGCAACGTCATCATCATGGGCTACAGTATGACCAATCCAGATCTGGATTAAAGCCCCTCCAACATGGCCACCTCTCACGGTCATGCGGTGTAATAATCCATCTTGCATCTATTATGACTGTGTTCCCACAAAAGCCTCGCAGAGTCTCCTGACTCTTTTTCAGGAGGGCCCTGCCAAGTTTTCGCAGTAAGAGGCGACGATTGCTAGGAATATTTCAACCGGGTCATTTGTAGGTATTTTTTCAAATTTGGACTGCGATGCCAGCACAAAATGGCCGACTTTTGCAAATGATGTCACGCGGTCTACTGCAAATCTGACGGTGTATATATATTTTTTATCATTAATACACCTACAATAGTCAATCAGGACGGCCAATAAATTTAAACCATGAACCTCTACAACAAGCGGCAAACACGTTAGCGCTAGGCCATGTCACTGCCAATGAATCTGCATAAACAAAAGCTTGGCATTTACACTGAAAACTGTCACCTGCTTGAATTTAGCCCGAATCTTGTCCAGGTTTTCCTGCAGCTCAGGATGGGTCGCATCCTGGACCGGACAGGTACGGATGAGCAAGGATAGCGCCTCCAAAGCCTTGAGTTTCCGGCTAAAAACACAAGCAATTCCACAGGTAAGGGCACATTCGTACCGGGCTTTATGACCCAAAACCACATCCACCTCCACAACCGTACCCATCATGATCACCAGCAATGCTCTTATCCACTGCTGGATTAAGGCCTCCCCGAGCCATCACCCATCCCTTATGGTCCCGCAATCCTCTTGGACGTATATCCTCCATGACCTGCCACTCCATCACTCGTTTACATCATCCCAACTACGTGTCCTGCCCAACACCGCTTACTGTTCTTAACAGTAAATACGATGTGTTTAACCTGCGTATGTTTTCTAATCTACGTGTTCCTCCGTCTCTCAAGAATAATTCCAAGTACGTTTTTCAGCTTTTGTTACAATTTCTTTGCCATTGTCCATGTTTATGATTCATGTGACATCGCAAGTAATACAATCACAAAACACTTTTTTTAGTAAGGATATTGGTATGTTTGTTGCTTGATCTGTAGGCAGTAGTAAAACGAGAAGGATGCCGACCTAACCGTACAGATTTAGTTTTTATCTCCTTCTATGTGTGGGATATCTCCTGCCACTCCGGTTTACTCCTGCAAGCAAAGATAATTAATCAATTATTGGCCAAAAATTGACAAGGAAATGGCCAAACATTACTCTTGGAAAAGTGTGCCAAATCTCAAATCAATAAAGTATGATTATTACCTTGACTTGACATCGCTTTCACCTCCTCTTTGCAGTAGGCTCTGCCAGGTAACCGTGAAGCCATAGTAGAATGCTACCTGATGAAGATCACAAAACACAGTCCACTTACCTCATTACAATAAAATAACTAGTTACAGCCCTTTGTCAATTCGCTGCTTGATTAAAGCCTAAAGCCTCTCCATATCGACTCATATCAATCATGGGGGGTGGGCTGTTTGACCACACACTGGTTAGTGTGGGTTGGAGTAAAGGTGGCGGCAGTGAGAGAGAGGGATATAAGGACCAGAATGTGCTGTCTGTCTGATACAGCAGATGCAGCATAGTGTATGTAACAAATGTGGAAGCAGTGACGTACATATTCTTTTGGTCTTTCGGTAAAGTCATGTAGATAGGTTCAAGTAAAAAAAAAATACGACGTTTCGATCACAACACAAGCGATCGTCATCAGGAGGAAAAAAATGATCGAAACGTCGTAGTTTTTTGTTTATTTTATTTTTATTAATTTGAACCTCCAGTCACGAAAGCTTTTAAGTCAAGATTCAGTGACGTACAGTTGACATTTCTGTACTGCCCTCGACTGCCCAACGTGGAGTGGGGAGCATGTTTCTAAAGGGTAGGTTAAACCTCCCTCCTAGAGCGAGACGTCTGCTGGCAGTCGAATGATCAGAGTTTGCAGGTCATGATAACGAAAGGGGCTTTGTGATTAACATCGTTGTGTTTAGTTTGTTGTCCTTCCCGTCCGCCCGCCCGTGCCCGCCCCAGCATCTCCGATGAGCACGGTTTCAGCTCCGTACGTTACCTCGGCCGCGATGGCGCCTCCGTGCCTGACGCCGAGCTGCCAGCCCTCGACGAGACCCTGGCGTCGGCCTCGCTCAAACCCCTCCTCGTAACCCTGAACCTGTATCCTGTGGTGGCAATGGGGGCGAGACGGGGAGGAGAGAGGAGGAGGAGGAGGCATACACACGGGCATGTCGTTTCATGGGCACGCGCGCGCATTTGTAAAAAGAAAAACACGCACATTGGCAACATGGCTCAACGTGCGCATGAAACGGCTAATCCAGACACATTCCAGTATGATGGGAAAGTAGTTAAGCCTGCTCCTTTACACAGTTGCTGCCAACAAACGTGACTTTTGACAGCCGTGTGCGTCGCTGACAATGGCCGGGGCAAGTCAACGCAGTGTACATTCACGCCGCGTCTTAATGTGACCGCATCTCAGAGGTGATGTATGGCAACAGTGGGCATGGGCGGTCAAAGGCAGAGGGGCGGCAAAATTCGTTCTTGAGCATGGACTTGAATAGCGGCAGGGAGTCAACAGCACGGATGGCAGGGGTAAGGAAGTTGCCAGACCGTATGGGCAGCACAGGAGAATGAGCGATCTCCTGACATGAGAAGGGCTTCGATTAGAAAGCCTCGATTATCGGAGCGGATATTTCATAGAGGGGAGTAGAGTGAGATGAGAGGGGGAGAGGTAGGAGAGTGAGTGGAGGGGAGTGGAGTGAGATGAGAGGGGAGAGGTAGGAGAGTGAGTGGAGGGGAGTAGAGTGAGATGAGAGGTAGGAGAGTGAGTGGAGGGGAGTGGAGTGAGATGAGAGGGGAGAGGTAGGAGAGTGTATGGAGGGGAGTAGAGTGAGATGAGAGGGAGAGGTAGGAGAGTGTATGGAGGGGAGTAGAGTGAGATGAGATAGGAGAGGTAGGAGAGTGAGTGGAGGGGAGTAGAGTGAGATGAGAGGGGGAGAGGTAGGAGAGTGTGTGGAGGGGAGTAGAGTGAGATGAGAGGGGAGAGGTAGGAGAGTACGTGGAGGGGAGTAGAGTGAGATGAGAGGGGAGAGGTAGGAGAGTACGTGGAGGGGAGTAGAGTGAGATGAGAGGGGAGAGGTAGGAGAGTGTGTGGAGGGGAGTAGAGCGAGACAAGAGGGGAGAGGTAGGAGAGTGTGTGGAGGGGAGTGGAGTGAGATGAGAGGGGAGAGGTAGGGGAGTGTGTGGAGGGGAGTGGAGTGAGATGAGAGGGGAGAGGTAGGAGAGTGTGTGGAGGGGTGTAGAGTGAGATGAGAGGGGAGAGGAAGGAGTGTGTGGAGGGGAGTAGAGTGAGATGAGAGGGGAGAGGTAGGAGAGTGTGTGGAGGGGTGTAGAGTGAGATGAGAGGGGGAGAGATAGGAGAGTGCGTGGAGGGGAGTAGAGTGAGATGAGAGGGGGAGAGGTAGGAGAGTGCGTGGAGGGGAGTGGAGTGAGATGAGAGGGGAGAGGTAGGAGAGTGCGTGGAGGGGAGTGGAGTGAGATGAGAGGGGAGAGGTAGGGGAGTGTGTGGAGGGGAGTGGAGTGAGATGAGGGGGGGGAGAGGGAGGAGAGTGAGTGGAGGGGAGTAGAGTGAGATTGAGGGGGGGAGAGGTAGGAGAGTGTGTGGAGGGGTGTAGAGTGAGATGAGGGGGGAGAGGTAGGAGAGTGAGTGGAGGGGAGTAGAGTGAGATGAGAGGGGGAGAGGTAGGAGAGTACGTGGAGGGGAGTAGAGTGAGATGAGAGGGGAGAGGTAGGAGAGTGCGTGGAGGGGAGTGGAGTGATGAGAGGGGGAGAGGTAAGGGAGTGTGTGGAGGGGAGTGGAGTGAGATGAGAGGGGAGAGGTAGGAGAGTGAGTGGAGGGGAGTGGAGTGAGATGAGAGGGAGGGAGGCAGGAGAGTGCGTGGAGGGGAGTGGAGTGAGATGAGAGGGGGAGAGGTAGAAAATATCGCAAAAGCCTCAGGCACTCCTGTCCCTGGATAAGTAAATGGGTGAGAACAACTCCTGGCCTCGATGTTGAGTAATAACACCAAGTTAGTGGTGCCTGAGCACGTTGTAGTACAACTAAGTCAATCCACTGCTAAAACGAGGGTCTCCGCACATCGTCATGCAGGGGTCGTGGGGTGAAGTTATTTGACCATACTTCACCACGCCCGTCGGTTGGTGAACGCACGTAAAAAAGTGGGGTCAATAGAAGTGCAGTACAAACACTTGATTTGACTGCACCGCCGACCCACGTGGAGTGATTATATTCTGCAAACGCTGCTCTTGTTATCGCGAGATCGAATCGTATTTTAATATGATTCTAATGAATATGTATGTGTTCATAACATAGGTTTTTATTTTATTTGGGTTAGATCGCGTAAATGTAATTGTGTCGTTAACCCCGCCACCAATTCGTTACCAGTATAGCACACCGGTTGTGTTGGAGAGCAAATCGGCAACATTTACAATATATGTGTAAGTATTTGTCAACAACACAACAACAACACAACAACAACAAAACAACAACACAACAATAATCCGTTCCCGTCCCATCACCGTTCCGGAGCCATCACGATCGGGTCGAAAATATCTCCCGCGACGTCTCCGTGATTCTCCATGGATTACAGCCTCTCTCCCCCTCGCCGTCATATGCTACACATATATATTAACGTGTGCGAGTGTGTCACTGTGGTAATGTTAATTGTTACAACAGTGGCACACTTTAATATTGTCGCTCGGCTTGCCCTGCCGCCTCATGCCGACGGCTCGTGTCGCCTCCCCTCCTCCCCCTCCCATCGAGCGTTGCGAATCGCCATCTTGGTTAGGGCACCATTGACTGTTCGAGGTTTTTGTTGTTTAATTTTGTTTCATTTGTGTTGTCTTTCTCTCTTTTTTTTTAGCGCAGCAACAACTTAACCCGTTACGGGTTAACTCAGTTGTTCTTGTGTAGAAAGGGAAGTTGAGGTTTTTTTTTCCGGGTCAGTGCGACGTTTTTAATGCGGGCCAAACCAAAAACAAATGCCCCTTGTGTGTTTCTCCGCTTGTGATGGGACTTTGTAAGGGCGAACGTTGAGATTATAAGGGCCACGGGGGTGACCAATACGGTCTGTAATCATGTAGGCACTGATAAGGGGTGGACAGGTATGCGCGTTAAATAAAAGCGTGTAAAGAAAACACAGTGGCCTTAAAAGTACAAATGTTTACTATTTTTTTATGTTACCAGATAATGCCCACTGAGCTATATATGTAGATATTTTTCAGAAGCGAACTGGCCATCGCAAATGTTAGCTCAACGAAGTGGCTTATCCATCATGTGGACATTTATTGCATGGTGACGTTTCGGGCAATGACCCTTCATCATAGCACACAACACTGTTTTTGACAAATGTGATTTTTATATCATTACCTCTGCTTGTGCACCATTACCAACGCCACAACAGCAGCAAATTATATGTTTAAATGTTGTAGCGTTGTATAGTGATATAGCGTACTGTACCACCTCAAGGTTCAATACAAATTATAACGGCGACGTCCCTTAGAAACATGGCCGCCAAGTTGCAGAGCCTCGTGTCGCGGGACGCTACGGAACCCCCGGGGGTTCAAAACTCGCTTTGTGAAATGGATCACAGACAGGGTGTCCCGTGCGTCATTCCCCTGTTGCATGAGGATTTCCCTCACCTCCCACCCCTCGCTTTCCCCCCCACACCCCCCACAAACCCCCCCACCCACCCCTCGCCTCCCACCCACCCCTCACCTCCCCCCCAATCCCCCACCCACCCCTCGCCTCCCCCACAATCCCCCCACCCACCCCTCGCCTCCCCCCCACCCTCCCCTCGCCTCCCCCCCACCCCCCCACCCACCCCTCGCCGCCCCCCAAACCCTCCCACCCACCCCTCGCCTCCCCCAAACCCTCCCACCCACCCCTCGCCTCCCCCCAAACCCCCCCACCCCTCGCCTCCCCCAACCCTCCCACCCACCCTCCCACCCACCCCTCGCCTCCCCCCAACCCCCCCACCCCTCGCCTCCCCCCCAACCCTCCCACCCACCCCTCGCCTCCCCCCCAACCCCCCACCCACCCCTCGCCTCCCCCAACCCTCCCACCCACCCTCGCCTCCCCCCAACCCCCCCACCCACCCCTCGCCTCCCCCCCAACCCCCCCACCCACCCCTCGCCTCCCCCCCAACCCCCCCACCCACCCCACGCCACCCCCCAACCCCCCACCCCTCGCCTCCCCCCCACCCATCCCTCGCTTCCCCCCACTCGCCTCCCCCACCACCCCCCTCACCTCTCCCCCTCGCCTCTCCCCCTCGCCTCTCCTCCCTACGCTGTGCGTTTCGTGGGGGTTGTACTCATTTTATCGAGCTCTCAGGGATGATTGTGAGCTGAATGAACTTCCCATCCAGAATTGAAACTCGCACGCTCACAATCGCAGGCGCGCTCTACCGCTGGGAAACCACCTGGCCGGATCGACGGGAGGCCCTGCCCACACTGTTGTCGGTCATGGGGGTTGTTTGACCATACTTCACCACAATATTGTGGGCTGGTGGATCGTGGATTGGTAGATCCATGGATTTGTCGAACTCTGGTTTCATAGCAGCAACAAAAAATGTAGAATCACTGCAATGGCTCCCCCACCAACCACTTGGCAGGCATTATGAATTATCTTAACACTTTATATATTTTTAAGTAAGATTTATTTAAAACAGAAATGAATATGCAGAGTGAAAAATATGTTAGGGGTCAATTAATTGGGGGTCACAAGACATCGGCACCACCCTGTATATTTGTTGCTATGTTTGATTATATAAGTGGCCGTCCATAAATGACGTCACGCGATTTTGGACGATTTTTGACCCCCCCCCCTTCGTCATACGGCGTCACATAAAGTCAGACCCCCCTCAAATATGACGTCACAAAGCTCTGCCCCCCCCCCCCCCCAAAAAAAAACATGCTTCAAATCGCTTTAAACTATTGTCATTGTAGTGCGTATTTAATGTGGCGCTGCACTCTGATGTTGTAGGAGAAAACACTAAAAAGTCAATTTAATTAAGTAGAACGTTTTGATTTAAAGCTTTCGTGACTGCAGGGATTCATATTCTTGGTTCTTTCGGCAAAGTCACGTAGAAGGGAAACAATAAAATGATAAAAATATAAAACAATACAATTCTCACGACGTTTCGACTGCAACACAGACCTAAAACACGGTAGGACCAACACCTCGGTCGTGGCAGATCACTGTTATAATTCAGTAGGCTCACATGACATTTCATTTTTAATTTCATTTCATTTATTTGGTATAGCCCTGTGATCCATTCGGCTCTTGAATCGGGTGCAACCGCAACAAACAAAAAAACAAAAACATGAACAAGAAAACATCTTAAAGTGACTTTGTGCATGTGCAAACAGAAAATCCAGGAAATAACATCAAAATATTCCTGAAATAGCGCCGTACACCAACGCTGTGTGCAAAAATCCCAGTGGGATGCAAGTCAAACAACAACAAGAAAACTTAGATTAAGGCCATCAGTCTAACTCCGTACTACAATAAACAAAAACATGGCCAAACCAAAAAACTTTTAGAAATCACCAAAATAAAGCCATAAATGCAATGTAACAGTGATCATAGGAACTGTGACCGAATTTTTAACAATAAACTACATAAATAACATGTAACACCAAACCCTAGAGCAACAGCTGGCTGCATGAGTCACTCCACAAACAACAGGAGCATCAGTCGGAGTATCACATTTTTCAATGCACCTTTAAGATCAGCACACTAAATCAAAATACAGATAATACTTTGCAGCGGTCATCCGAAGCGAAACATTTTATTTTATTTTAGGCCACTGAATAGCAGTGGCAGCTAGGGGTGTACAACTCCTCTAGAGCAGTTTTGAGTGAAGATCTCATAGGTAGTGATTCAAGTTGCAGTTTATTGGCAATAACATTCCAGACCCTGGGGGCATCAATAGCAAAGGCCCTTTCTCCGGTTTTTGTACGGCAATAGGGAATGTGAAGCTGGTAGATGAGCGAAGACCTGAGGTCAAATTTGTTATTTGAAACAGAGAGGAGATCCAGCAGGTAGTCTGCGGATTTTTTTGTAAGTACATCGTGAATATATAAGATCTGGTGTATAAGCCGTCGAACATTAAGAGATGTTAAGTTTGACCCAATGTAGAGATCACAGTGGTGAGTCCTATATGGGCAGTTCAATGCAAATCTTAAGGCCTAATGATAGATGGAATCAAGCTTCTTCAGTACAGTACTTGGGGCTGATTTATACACGATATCACAGTAGTCAAGTAGAGGCAGTATGGTAGCTTTTATCAATTCCAAACGGAACATAGGGGGGAAGCAGTGCCTGTGTCGATACAGAAAACCAATTTTTATTTTTGTCTTTTTACCAAAATAATCAATGTGATCTTCAAAATTAAGTTTTGAATCCAGGATGACCCCAAGATACTTATAGATCTTGACTTGCTCTATTTGATAATTATTTAAGGAATGTAATTTGGGAAAATAACTTCCTGCTTTAGTCCCGGTGAGAAGAATAGCACCTTGGTTTTGGAGGTATTTAGGACTAGTTTAAGAGCAACTAGCTGATGTTGTAGTTTGTTGAAATCACCTTGGAGCTTAGCAATCACGTCATGCGGAGAGCGGCCAGCAGTAATCAGTATCGTGTCATCTGCAAAAAGATTTACCCTGGAATAATCCAGGTCAGTGCCCAAGTCATTGACATAAAGAGAGAACAAGAGGGGACCGAGGATGGAACTCTGTGGAACCCCTTTTGTTATCTTAACACTGTTTGACCTCCAACCATCTGTGAATACAGTTTGGGTGCGAGAAAAGAGGTAATTTTTTAAACCATTTTACTGTGTTTTTGGAAAAACCGAGGCAACTTAGTTTACCAAGCAGGGTGTTGTGGTCTACTGTATCAAAAGCTTTGGATAGGTCAAGTAAAAGACAGGCACAGTACTGCTTATTATCAAGGCTACTGTAAATTTTATTCAGAGAGTCTAATGCAGCAGATGTGGTGCTGTATTTTTTTTCGGAACCCAGATTGTTTTAGATGTAGTAGATTGTTGGTGGACAGGAAACTGCTAATTTGGTAGTTCAATAATTTTTCAAAAATGTTCATCAATGGGGACAAAATTGAGTTAGGTCGGTAGTTATTGGGATCATCTTTAGGGCCCCCTTTGTGAAGTGGACGGACATAGGAATGTTTCCATTCTAGAGGAACTGATGCTTCTTTGATGGACAGGTTGAAAATATCGGCTATAGGTTTGTATATTAGGTGACCAACAGTTAGTAGAGCAAAGACGGGAAAACTATCTACTCCGGTAGAGGAGAACCCTTTGAGGTAGGACAGCTGTTTCAGAACATTACATGACTTCTCCAAGACAGAGGTTATTTGCAAGCCATCTGGCTACAATGAGAGATTCGTTCATGAGGCTATTCACATATACAAACACAGAGACAATTTGATGGATTCTGGCTTAGCAATCATTGGAAGGATTTGATCAACCATTTCGGGTCTTAATTGATTGTTCACGCTTACGGTGGCTTTCAGACCACATTCATTATTTTCGTCTCCCCCCTCCTCTTTTCCGAACATAGATGGACTCGTCCATCTGAATAACTGCCAAATCGCCCTCCGTGGTGCTAACGTTAAAAAAACGCCACTTTTTAAATTTTCTTGCTGTGGTTTTCACACCTGATGATGATTGCTTGTATTGCAGTCGAAACGTCGTGAGAATTTATTGTTTTACATTTTTATTATTTTATTATTTCCCTTCTACGTGACTTTACTGAAAGAACCAAGAATATAAGTAGAGCGTGTTGTCTATATGTATTTAAAGTTGCGCATTTTGATGTGACGTCACATTTCTCACCCCCCCCCCCCCCTCGTCACACATCGTCACAAATGTCTGACCCCGACACCCCCCCCCCAGGTGCGTGACGTCATATATGGATGGCCCCTAAGATAAAATAATTGACAATTGAACATATCCTCAATGAACAACATGAAGTAACTTAATGTATCCGTAATTGTATTGTCGACGACATTAATTCCAAGACAAATATTGTGCCACGTAATTGGAGGCAGTGCGTTGAACTGTCGTCGCAGCATTGGCGTGGTTATTTACTCATGAGCTGATGAGATTTGCCATGAGCTGATGAGGTGTGTAATGATTTGGTCAGGTGGGTGATGATCTGGTCAGGTGGCTGATGAGCTGGTCAGGTGGGTAATTATCTGGTCAGGTAGGTGATGATCTAGTCAGGTGGGTGATGATCTGGTCAGGTGGCTGATGAGCTGGTCAGGTGGGTATTGAGCTGATGAGGGCGTGGGTCGACCTCGTCTATAAGTAAGGGTGGTGTGGCCGTCTTCAGCTCCGTGTTCTTTGTAGTTTTTCGGTCCCAACTCCGTGGGCTGGGCCTCCGCTCTTGCTCCATCCACTTGGCGCACGCTCTTGCGCCGGTGTGTTGTACCGCGTGTAAGGAGAGTACAATTAGAAATCGTCATCCGCCAAGATCGAGCCACTGCTGGATGAAGCCCCCACCTCCCCGCATTGGTCCTGCCAATGTATCAATGCACCGAACAACTTGCAAAAGAGCCGATATATCGCTCCATCTCCGCGGCGCGCGTAAACCCCTTGAGTTGCAGAGGGACTTGGCTGCCAATGTTTTGTCAGTGCAGTCGGTGGCGCAGTGGTCGGAGAACCGCGGTGCACAAACCCAGCAACCTGCGTTCAAATCCAGGCAGTGGCTCGTCTCGGAAATATCCAGGACCCTCTGCTTGGTCAAATTCCACCTTAAATGAGTTGTTTTGCGGCGTGTGAAACATCGGGATTTTGATACAAATGCGATCAGACGTGGTTCTGCCCACACCACCCTCGTTTCTCCGTCGCGTCGACCTCAATAGGTGCTCGCTAACAGCACTTGTCCCCACAGTCGGGCGTGCCTTGCGCGTGAACTCTTTGTCGTGTGTGTGTGTGTTTGTGCGCGCGCAACGGTGTGCTTGCGTCGCAGGTCGCAATGAATCGGACTTTTCTTCCAGCTTGGCCAGGAATCTGGATCTCCTGTCTCCTGGTCGCAAATGTCACCTCCGTTGGGAGTTTCCCACCCCTCAACCAAGGTACGTTGCCGCACTGCCGAGAGCTATGTCACGCACCCAGTAAACTTGCCAAAGTTTGTGCGCCAAGATTGGCTCAACATTCCTGCAAATGTGGTTCATTTTAACGATCGGCGGAGTTTTGGGGGTGGGGGGGGTACGGGGGAACAAGCCCCCTCCCCCCAAAATGGGCACCGTTATTAATTTATTTTCAATAGTTTGCAATTGCGATGAGCAATTAATTATATGCTCCCGCAATTTCCAATGTGAACGACAAAGCGAACCCCGCCCCCCCCCAAATATAGAAGTCAAACTCCGCCTATGCTTTTAATGTACTGTACGTAATAAAGTTGAGAGCCATCATTTTAGCGGGACCCTTTGTGGTGCAGTTAATTGCCTCTGAGGGTTTCAGCCGGGTTCCTGGTGCCTCCTGCTGGGCGCGTTGCGGTATTTGATTTTGCTGCATGAAGCCACTGCGCAAAATTTGCAGCTAAATTAATTGCCTTGTTTTCGTGGAGCTATTGAGGTCTCGCGATCATGAATTTAAGCCGTGATCTCAGCATTCCATGACAATGGAAGTCCGCTTCATGAAGCTATTTTCTTATATGGCAATTTGCATTGCCACAGAACATTTACTAAAGATCTGACTAAAGTTTAATGCCTCCGAAAGTACATGGTGACACGATGGCCCAAATTGTTGATCCTGGTGAACATTCAAGTAGTCGTCGTTATTATTAAAGTTGTACGTGTGCCGCTTTTTCGTTACTTTCACTCGACGACAGCATCAAAAGTGACATGTTGTGTAAGTTGCAGATATTCAAGTATTGCCCAATTAACCCATCCACAGCTAACATCAGTGTCGAGTGATTTTTTTTCAATCGGTCCTGGCATACTCCTAAACGAACGCGCACTGACCGTTGTGGCGAAGTATTGCCAACACAACCCCCATGGCCACCGACATGGCATGGAAAGCCCTTCATCCAGCAGTGGATTGACAAAGGGCTGTAAATTATTATAATTACACGAAGCCTTGTCAGCATTGTGGAAACATCAGGCTCCATCGTAATTTGACAGAACTGTTGCTACTATTCTCCACGAATTTGTGGTTTCTTTGAATCCAGAATAGTTTTTTAAAGCGTTTATACATTCTGTTAAGACCTAATGTGCACGTGTTGAATGTGCAATGGTGTGTGCGTGCCCTTCACAAATTCGCAACCTGAAATGAATTCCTGGCCATGGCTAGCGTCAGCAGAAAGATGTATCCGACCCTTATCATGCGCCTCCCGAATGTTGATTCTTTCTCAAATGACCACCTGGTTATGGGGTGAAAACATAAATACTTGTGAGACACAGGCGGCTGGGTGTTGCGCTGGCCATGCCCCGCCCCTTTGTGTGCCGTGTGAATATTAATAGGTGCTCGCTAACAGGACTTGCCCCACCAATCTCTACGAGCATAGGAGGGATATTATTCCTTGTTGCACTCCACAGATGAAGAAGGCGTTTTCGCTGACCAACGGCCACTTGGACGGAGTGAAGAGATAGGTGGGTGTTGTGAAGATGAATGTGGTGTGTAATGCGTGTTTTCGGTGTGAAGATACCTACATTTTTTATGATGATGTTGGTGAAGGTGTTGTCGGATTGTTGAGAGAGCAACTGTGGTGATGGTGTGGCGATGAGATGGTGTGTGGTGATCAGATGATGATGTAGTTATGGCCAGGCCTTAATTTCAACCGGGTCTGTCTGGGTCACCACCGCAAAAATGTCTCTGCACCTGGCACACCACATCCAGTACATATCTTGCCAAGGTTGCGGCTACTGCTTATAAGGGGCCTACTACAGTATGCCGGCAATCTGGAAAATACTTGAGAATTGCAGCCCTGGTTATAGTAGGATGGTGAATTGTGGATGGACTGGCGAGACGATGCCATGCGTTAATGGGTGAATTTTACGTTTTAGGTTTTTACAGTTGTGCTCCTATTGCTTTTACGGTGTTTTTTGGTTATTTACGGCGTGTTTTGCATTGTCCGATAATTCGCTCAATGTGCAGGGAGCTTCAGAAATTGAATGACATTCGAGGAATGACGGTGACATTCAGTGAACGATATTAGGTTCCTGAAGAAGCTCCCAGCATGTGGGGGCGAAACATCTGACATTATGTTGAACAACATTCGGTTCAACCTGAAAACGCTGCGGAAAGCTGTGGGTGGACTTTGTTTTACCGGCCCGAAATTCACCCTCCTGCGGTATCCGCCCCTCTGTCGACTTGGCAGGTGTCGCCGAGCTTGCGGAGAGCGCAGATGCGCTGGGCCCGATTGAGACCATGAAGAACAGAACCAAGATTCTTCCCTCCCGGCTTGGAGAAGCACCCCCAGGAATTCTCTACTCAAGCCCCCAGCCATCCCCTCGGCACACCGTCACTCAGCCATCCATCCACTCTGTCACCCAGCCATCGACGCATCCAGTCCAAGAGTCTAGAGCTTATCCAATAGTCCTGAACAATTCTACAAACTCAATCCCACATTCCTCCAGTATTCCAATCCCACAGTCCCCTTCTCATGCAGTCTCACAGTATTCCACTCATCCAGACCCACAGTCTTCCACAAATCCAATAGTGCTTGCTTCCACTAGCTCCGCACCAAGGTCTTCCACGAACTCAGGACCACAGTCTACTGTTCCAATCCCAGAGTCTTCCTCCACCGGCTTGGTCCCAGAGTCCTCCTCCACCGGCTCGATCCCAGAGTCTTCATCCACCGGCTCGGTCCCAGAGTCTTCCTCCACCGGCTCGGTCCCAGAGTTTGCATCCACCGGCTCGGTCCCAGAGTCTGCATCCACCGGCTCGGTCACAGAGTCTTCCTCCACCGCCTCGGTCCCAGAGTCTTCATCCACCGGCTCGGTCCCAGAGTCTGCATCCACCGGCTCGGTCCCAGAGTCTTCCTCCACCGGCTCAGTCCCAGAGTCCTCCTCCACCGGCTCGGTCCCAGAGTCCTCCTCCACCGGCTCGGTCCCAGAGTCTTCCTCCACCGGCTCGGTCCCAGAGTCCTCCTCCACCGGCTCGGTCCCAGAGTCTTCCTCCACCGGCTCGGTCCCAGAGTCTTCCTCCACCGGCTCGGTCCCAGAGTCTTCCTCCACCGGCTCGGTCCCAGGCTGTTCCACTAACTCAACCTCAGAATTTTCAACAAATCCCACATTGCCCTCTTCCACTCCCTCTGCTACTGGCACAAACTCCTCTCGCCACCAGCCACAGTACATATTTAACGGCCACTCGATCCTGCGCGAGAGAACTCGGCGATACATCGACTACGGTAAGCTGGTAACGTGACCGATCTCGCCGCCTATATACATGTAAGGCCCATTTGTCGATCCACTGCTGGATGAGGGCCCTCCCCATGCCGTGCAGGTCGTGGAGATCATGTTTTTACCAGAGCTTCACCACGCCGGTCGGTGCGGGTTCGTGAAAGGGGGTGAAAAAATGTGCGCAATTCCGGGATTCAATCTCTGGTGGTGGACGCCTTTCAATCTGTAATGCCTTTAATTTTCCATGGCAAAAATGATACGCTTGTATGAGTAAAATGGTGAAGTAAAGTTTGATTTCGCCAAAGAACTTCACACATTTGTCAAAACACACTGCCTTAAAAAGGGGAAAAAGTACGTGATGGGTGTGACAATTCAGGCAATGCCCCTTTGCCCTGTGGACAGTAATCTGACCTGTGGCCTCTTTGGCCTCTTTGGCCTCTCTGTACTATGAAAAGGGCCATTGCCATAAACGTGAGTTTTTAATTTCATTGGCACTTGTGCGCTGTCAAGGGCCGTATCGCCAAATATTTTTTCTTGCGTCACCAAGCGATGGGGGGGTGGGGGGGGAACATCGGTTAAGATGACATGAAACGTGGTCTTAATCGCACGTGTCCTGGGTTAAATCGTACACGTTTGACTTAAGAATCGCACATGTAAACAAAGTGTTACTGGCACTGATGATAATAATGACCAAGTTCCAGACCACCACTTTAAGCTCAACACGGGAGGAGAGACCCCCAGAGGCCACGCAGGTAAAAAGCCAAGTGGGGAAATTCACGGCCGAGGCCAGGAGGCGATTTTACGCAAAGGAGCGGTCGGAGTTACTGGAATCGGCTGCATGGGAGGTTTTAACGAACGCATTCTGAGATTCTGGAATCGATCTGTCTGCTATGAACAACCGAGCGAATCAGATTTGTGGAATGCTCCCGTCTCGTTTGTAATCCTTCGTTATGTTCTTGTGTTCTCAAATCTGATCGACAACAAACCGTAATTCCTTGTGGTGCACCACAGTACTGCTGTTCACGTTAACCAATTTACCTATTTGCAAACGCACATTGAATCGTTACATGCTGAGTATATACCCGAAGGCTAAGCACTTTTTTTCATCGCTCAAATGGATTTCACATGCGAGCTCAAGTTCATTACTGAAACTTGGAAACAATTGTAGTTTATTAAGCCTTTGTTTTTTGGGGGGAATTGACCTTTTGCTCTGTGCATTTGCAGGAATTTTGGATTTCGAAGTGCCAGGTGAGCACGCGTTTTCTTTGCAAATAACTTAAACCTCAATCGCACATCTGGCCTCTAGGTCTCAATTGTATGTTTTCAGATGGGTATTTTAATGCGAACGCTTGTGGCGACTGTCCATTGGTGAACGAATGGAGTGCGCATTGTCTTAGATTCTAGCAAGACATCGAGTAAATACTTTGTCTTATAACACCGATGGCGCAATCACAATGAAATTGGTTAAAAGGACGACGGCAAGAATCTTAAAACAGATGCTTTCTTTGTTGGTTTGCGGTGGGTGCCGCACCAAGCAGCCAAGTGTGGCAGCCGCCCGTTCGAAGAGTTCGCAGGCATCGGACCCCTCCCGTCCGCCCCCGTCAACTTTGTCAGCCGCATCGTTGGGGGACGAAACTCTGAGCCTGGAGGGCAGCCCTGGCAGGTGAGGTGATCAGATCCGTATTCCTCACGTCGAACCAGCTGCTGGATGGACCTTGGTTTGGGGGGTAGGGGGGTAGGATAGCGCTTGGCTTGCTCTCCCAGTTCTCACTGTGGCGTGTGCTCAATTCCTGCAGTTGCCCGGTGGTGCGAGCAAAGACGCTTCGCAGAAAGTGGAACATGTGCAATTGCGGGTGCGAAAAAGAGATGTATTTGTATGTGTAGTGACGCAGATCGGAGAATGTAATAACTGGAGGCGCTTCTTTTATTAAACAAGCACCATCGGGATAATACGCACCCTACGTGGGTGCACGCTAGTATTATTATTATTAAGTCCGTCTCTTGTCGGCGGCACTACTTAGAACAGTTGGTAGGCTGTCTGACTAACAGCGCCCCGGGATGGTGGAGATGGTGACCACAACGACGAGATGGTGACGACGGACTTGAACAGCACGACGGGGATCCCACTTACAGCAACAGCCACGTGCGGGAGCTGAGGGGGGCGGGGGGCCCTCTTGTACCCCCCCAGCGTGGCCTTGGTCTGCCTCGGCCACGCCCCCTTTCTGGAACCTACTGGCAGGTTCCCGGGGCTTCCCGATGGGCCCCTTCTGTGACCTTTCCCCGAGATGTCCCCCTCTCGTGTATATCGTGGCCTGCTGACGCGAGTACTGCCGTACACAGCAGTTGCCCTTTTCCACCAGCACCCAGCGTTATACCACTACGTATGTAAAGTTTGGTGAGATTTAAACCACCTCATAGGTCGGGGGGGGGGGGTAGTCGCGAGGAATGGAAGGTTTTGCGCTTTGTCCTGAAAAGACGCAGGGTTTGGCAGGATGGATGGTCTGGGGGGAGTAAATTCCAGCTTGTGAGAAATATTGAGCAAAGGTTTATTGAGTTTTTGCCAGAAAGTCAGTTTGTCCAGCAAGCAAGGCTTTGTTGAACGTTCACACCGTACAGAGCCAACCGTGCTAATCGGAGGTGCTAGGTTATGACGACAAACTAAACACAACTTGGTGTGGCAATGAAAACTGTTTAGCCAATAAAAAAATTTGAAAAAATGTTTGAACAATTGGGCAAAACAGAACAGTACAGTACACGCCTCTTTTTAATGTCTACCTTGTGCTGTGTCGTCACCTAACCTAGGTCTCCCTAAAGCGTGGGTCAGCGCACTTCTGTGGAGGGACCATTATAGACACAAAATGGGTGCTCACTGCGGCGCACTGCATTCCTCCCAGGGACAGGTACTCGTCGACCGATCGCTTCCAGCTCGTCGGCACTCCATTGGGGTGGAAAAAAAAGGCCCTCTATACATCATCCCTTGGCATTATTGGGGGTTGGTTGACCACGCTTCACCACACTTCACCACATCGACATCCTCGCAGTGCCTTTTTGCCTTGCCATTGAACAAAGACGGGGTCACTGCGTTGTGTGATTTCGGGTGCACTCGCGGCCGTTTGGAACACTTTTCTGTCTGATATTAGGAGCTGAATTATGACAACTTTAGAACTGCCTTTTATCACCAGGTGTAGAGTGCGATGCGTTAACCGCTGCGCCATTACCTCCCACACTTTAACAGTAATGTTCATCGGCCATGATCAATCCACTGCTGGATGAATGAAGGAACGCCTTCCCGATCCATTACCGCCATATCTCGTGATCTGACGATGTGACAGCCAGTCCGAGTACCTACACAAGCTGATTCCATCTCCCCAGCTCTGTCGTAGACTTGGCCTACTCTTACACGCCGGCCGGATGTCTCGGAAGAGGTGGAGTTTACCCACACGTTACCCCGCCAAATGTGGCCTTGCGATCGACTGTGGTTTTAACACATTTACAATCTTTCCTGTGCCATGTTGGCCTGACCGCCTCGCTCCCTCACACCCGTTCCCTTTGCGGTGGACAGGAACTTCGAGAAGGCGCTGAGCGTGGTGGTGGGCGAGTACGACATGGAGACGAGCGACGACGAGGAGCAGACGCTGCGGGTCTCCCGCGTGATCGTCCACCCCAAGTTCCGGCCGCTCAACCCGGTCAACAACGACGTGGCTCTGCTGGAGCTGACCAAGGACATTGTGTACGGTGAGGGAGAAACCGCCGAGTGAAGGCGATCACACCCCCTCCCCTCACCCCCCCCCCCCCCTCTTGGTTGTGAATTGTCATCCACGTGCACAAAACAAAACAATCTCTTTCGTTATCTTTCATTCATTTTATAGGTACACGCCGTGAACACAAAGTCGCCGTGTGGCTGTTTTGCGTGATTTGTGTGTGCGCCTGTCGTTTTGGGGAGTGGTGGCGCACGGTGGTTTCCGTGCCACGCTACTAACCCGCCGACCAGAGTTCGATTCCCACTCAAGGCCAATACCGGTGATGCGTTGATGGATCATTTGAACCAGTGCTGGGCCCTCTCTAAGTAAATACCCGGTGCGGTGTGTAAAATATCAGCACTGGGGAGACCAAGGTGGTCGAGCGTGGTGCTGGCCACCACCCACCCCCTTCGTGTGCTTTGCTGGCCTTTGTAGGTGCTACCCGTTGAACAGCACTTGCCCCAACAGTCGGTTAAAAGGTTGTTATGGGATTTCGTTGTCTCTTTGTGTTTTAGGGGTGATGGTGCAACCGGCGTGCCTCCCGTACCAGGACGAAGAGTTCCTCGCGGGCACGCTGTGCACCGTGAGCGGCTGGGGGAAGATGCAAGAGGGTGAGGGCCCAGGCTTTGGGGGGGGGGGGGGGGGGAGCGAGAGAGAGGAGGGCAAGGGTGGCTCAGAAGTCGGGGCGCTGAGCTTGATAGGGTTGAGAATCCCCCTGGGTTCAAATCGAGGATTCGGCCACTGCCTGTGCTTCTCGAGGTGTCGAAAGTTGATGACCTCAGCCTGGTCATCGATGGCACGAGTTGTGACCGACCATAAGAAGTGGGTAATGTTGCAGTTAGTTTGCACGTTACGTCATTGGCAGGAAAACTTTGAAATGTAGCAAATGTTGGCCGTGAAGCTAGCCAGACTGCGTGTAGTTTTTATGGTTAATATAATTTGCCATATTAACCTGGGGTGGGTGTGGGACCCGAACCGGGAACGTCTCCAACAAGCGGAGAACTCTTTACCGTTTGGCCACGTCACCGCCCATTCACCATGCCATTGTTTGTGGTGGGGAGTGGTGGTGTAGCGGTTAGCGTGCTGCGCGACAAACCAGGCCACTAGAGTTCAATTCCCGCTCACTACCGACACCAGTGACGATTATCTGAACCACGCCTGTGCCTCCTCTAGGTCGACTGGGCCTTAACTGAGTACCTGATACAGTATCTGTAATCGTGTGCACTGGGAATACAAAGGCGGCCACGGGTGGCCCTAGCCGCCCAGCAACCCCCTCCCCCCCCCACGCCCCTCTTGTGCCGTGGCGACCTTCATAGGTGCTCGCGAACAGCACTTTCCCCAACCGGTCTGTTAAAGGCTTTACGGTGTGTGGGTGGGGGGGTGTATCTTTTGCCTTTTCCCCTTCAGACGGAGAGATGCCCAACATCCTACAGGAAGTGTCCCTGCCCTTGCTCGACCCGGAGCTGTGTGCACGCGTGCTCTCAGCTCAGCACCTGCCCGCGATGGACCGCACCATGCTGTGCGCCGGCTTTCCCAACGGGGGCCGGGATGCCTGCCAGGTGGGAGGGGCGGTGGGGGAGTGGGGGCGGAGGGGCGCCAAGGGCAGTGGGAGGGGAATATTGAACCAGTGGCGTAGCGTGGGTGGCATGGGCCCTGGTGCCCATTTCACATTTTATTTAGAAACATCCATCTATGGGTGTTATTATTTTGCTGCTTTCAATTTCCACGTGATGGGCCGCTTCGTTGAGCTTTCATTGTGGCTGGGTCGCTTCTGAAAACGAAACTAATAGCTCAGTGGGAATTACCTGGCATGATACAAAAATAGTTTGGTTTTATTTGTATATATTTTTAAGTGATTTTGTTTATTTTTCCTATACTTTACACTCCTATCATGCCTTCGTACTGCTTGTTGTAACGTTCGTACTGATTGTTGTAACGTTCTTACTCGCCCTTCTGGACATCTGTGAAAAAGAGCTTTATAGCTCATCGGATTCTTCCAGACTAAATGAATATTCTGGTTCTGAGCTCCCCCACCCCCCCTCTGCCATCCTCTTTGTAGCCCGGTGCCTGGGCCCCTACATCTGTCGATGTGTGTCCATCTGTCAGTAGCGTGGGGTTCACCAGAACGCTTGTATTGATGAGCCCAATAAACTACATTTATAATTGTGTTGCTAGGGGAAAAAACAGCCTAATCAATGGGGAGCTCACAAAAGGAAGGTACAATCAGTACAATAATTATTTGCAAATGTGCAAACCGTACTGCTAAAATACTTCTGCCGACAAAGCTTTGTGGGGGAGCATTCCAGAATCCATGCGTATGCACGGTTTTTCCTCATTTTTGTAACATTAATTGCTTTGAAGCGGCCGTTTTAGAGGTTAGGGTGTCTGCGTGTGTGGTTGGCCAGCGGTGGTGTAGCGGTTAGTGCGCTGCACTACGAACCCTTCACTACGAACCCGGCGACCAGAGTTCGATTCCCGCTCGTGGTCAGTACCCAGTGACGATTGTCTGAACCGGTCCTGGGCCTCTCCTAGGTCGACTCGGCCTCAACATGAGTACCTGGTGCTACTAGGGAGACAAAGGCGGTCGGGCGTAGTGCTGGCCACCCACGTGCACCGTGGTGGGGTGGCCTTCGTAGGTACCGCTCGATTAACAGCACTCGCCCCAAAAGTCTGCTAAGGGCTACACGGGGGATCTTTGTTTTTTTGTGGTGGGGGATCCAGGGGGACTCCGGGGGACCCTTGGTGTGCCAGCGCCCGAGTGGCGCGTGGAGCCTGCACGGCGTGGTGTCGTGGGGGGTTGGGTGCGCCCGGGGCTGGGCCGGGGGTGCCGGGGGTGCCGGGGGTGCGGGGGGCGCGGGCGGCCGTGACGCCACACGGCAGGGCACCCCGGGCATCTTCGCTCGCGTCGCCAACTTTCTGCCATGGATCCAGCAGCACATGGATGGCGGTGGGTGGGCTCGCGGTGTGACGGTGGGGGGGGGGGGGTCGTGGCGGACAAATGGGGGGGGGGGGGGGTGGGGGCGGTGGGGGATGTTCCCAGGGTGGCTTTTGAGCGAAAATGTCTTTTAGCATATTAGCAAATAGTTATTTTTAGCACTGGGTTTTTTTTAATTCGTGATCCGTTTTAAATTTAACACAAACAATTGAGCGTTTGTCTTCCCCCTCCCACCCACCCCTGGAAGCTGGTTTTCTGTCATCCTTTTAATATTTTTTCGTCATTAAACAAGAGCCCAAATACAACGCCATAATGACTGCAGGCAAGGAGAGTACACACACCTTGCGAGTGACGAACACGGGACCAGGTGCGCTGGGAGTAGGGGGGGGGGACCCTACTTGGGTAGCGGGCAATGATCGGGAGCCTGGTATGTTTAGGGGAGGGAAGGATGAGCTGTCAAATCTTTTTTTAGAAACCTCAACATTCGCCGTTCCTGCAGCCAATACCGTTCCTGTAGATGCAACCTGCTCTGCACAGTGTAAACCTCACCCATGTGTCTCGTTGCACGTCTGCTCCATTGTACCCACAAAACGGTTGTGTGCCAAAGTTAATCGTGCTCTTGTGTCGCAGGTAGCAGAGGAAGAAGTAATCTCGGTGAGTACTTTCGAGTGAATTGGGCAGCTTTCTCGCCTGCTTCAGCAGTTTTATTGCTGTGGTTGTCCCACCTGATGAAGATTGCTTGTGTTGCGATCGAAACGTCGTGATCTATTATTTTTCCTACCTACGTGACTTTACCGAAAGAACCAAAGAATATGGATTCCTGCAGTCACGAAAGCTTCAAATCAAACAATTGATGACGGAAGTTTCAGTAGGATGGCCATCCACGGGGGGGGGGAAGTACTGAACTGTGTGCACATTAGCCTGATATTGGTGTGCCGCCTTTTAGAAATTGTTTCTTTATTTAATGATGGGTGGGCCAGTATATATGATCCACGAAGTATCTTGGAGTGGCCTGCGAGGAGGAGATGGAGAGATGCAGATTTGTGGGCGAGAGATCTCGTGCCGTGTCGTGTTCTACGTCTGTGCTCGTGGTACACGTGGCCTGCTGCACCGGGCGCTGAAACGTGACCTGCCACACGTGCAAATATGTATGTGTATGTTGAACATCTTTCACATTGATGTAGCCAACCATGCTAATCGGCGATGTGGGCACATTGTAAAATGTGGCCTGCCGGAAAATGTCGTCTCAGAACTCTGGCAGTGTCCCACTCTTCTTGATTAATGCCACGGTTCTCGGTTTAACCATTTGAAAATATTATGGGCTTTTCATAAATCCTTTCTCCATCTGTTTTCTTCCCCCCCCCCCCCTCTTTTGCTCTCGACTCCAGGGAACTGCAACGCGACCGGCGTGATCCTGACGGGGGAGTCGGGAACCCTCGCCTACCCTGTCCCAGACAACACGACCTACCCTGACAACACGTGAGCTTTTGGCTCGGACGGCGGGGGAGGGTGCCTGGCGGGGGATTGCATCGATTCACTCTTTTACAAATGACACATCCCATGCTGACCTAGCCGGGAGGTGGCTCTCAATTGTTTTCCACTGGCCCTATGCCAACCCAGAACCAAACCGTGCTATGCTGGCCTTACAAGGCATCCTAATTGATTGGGCTCAGGGGCCAAGCCAGGCTAGAGGTGGGGCTAATGCACCCGATGCATATGACATAAGTGGCATGGCTGTGGTTCTGCAGTGCAAAGGGGGGGGGGGGGTATCGGTGCAGGCGTGCATGCGCGAACTTAAACTCTGCCTTATTTGAGTACCTGGTGGGGTATGTAAACATCGGCTCTAGGGAGACAAAGGCAGCCACACATGGTGTGGGCCACAACACCCTTCGTGTTTATAATTGGTGCTTGCTAATGAGAACTTTCTCTGTTGTGAGGTCGTACGTGTGTGTGCTCGGTGGTTCGTGCATTCGGTTGTTTGTGTGTAGTTGGCATATCTGTGCTGGTGCAATGGGTAGTGTGTGGTAGTCGGCATGAATGTTTGTCTTGATGGGGTGGCCATTGTGTAGTTGTGGACGTGTGTGAATGTGCCTCTGTGTGTATCAGCCAGTCATCACAGTCGATCAACCCACGGCACCTGGGGTCTGGTCCCGTGTTATTGTTGGTTTGTGGTGGGTGCCGCGAGCGTTCGACACTTCACTTGGCCTCAAAGTGCACATACCCTGGCACAAGCGCTGTGGCGACATCACCGCCACTTGGTGGCGAATGGCGGTTGTCGCTGCTGCTGCTGCTGCGTGCGTGTGTGTACGCCTGCAGATTCTGCGTGTGGACGGTGCAGGTGCCGGCAGGCAAGTCGATCGTGCTCACGTTCACGCGGTTTGACCTGGAGCCGCACGTGAGCTGCGAGCTCGACCACCTTGCGGTGTACACGGACATCGACGTCTACTCGGGTACCCCCCCCCTTCTCCCCCCCCCACGCTCGTCAAACCGCTTTGCGCTGCGAAATTCCCTCGTCGATGACTGCCTGTGCTCGGCAAATGCTCGGGAATGTACTGAATAATGCTGCTATGAACGTCCTACGTGATAAGCCGCTTTGTCGAGCTATCATTTGTGGGCAAGGTTGCTTCTGACAAATAAGTTAAATCCTTGGTGGGCTTTACCTGGAAAGATACAAACATTGTTTAGTTTAATTTGTATTTTATTTAAGTGTTTTGTTTCCATTTAAAGCTTTCGTGACTGCAATGATTCATCTTCTTTGGTTCTTTCGGTAAAGGCCTTCATCAGGCCGCTTGTGTTGTGGCCGAAACGTCCGAAACGTCGTGAGAATATTATTGTGTTATTTTATTTTATCAATTTATTATTTTATTCTCATTCTACGTGACTTTACCGAAAGAACCAAAGAAGATGTTTTGTTTGCCTTCCCTATACTTTGCACTCCTATCGCTCATCGGGGGATTCCTCCAGTATAAATATTCTGATTCTGAATGTTGGTGGCCGCGCGTGTGTGTGGCCGCGCGTGTGTGCACTCGCAGGCCGCTTCTGTGGAACGTCGCTGCCAGTACCCATCGTGATCCACTCCAACCAGACGACCCTCAAGTTCGTCTCGGACAAGAGCACGGGCGGGAGAGGCTTCTCTCTGCGCTTCGCAGCCGTCGACCCTAGTTCCCTGCCGTGTGAGCGCGAGGGGGGAGGGGGCAAGGCAGCAGATGTGGCACGGCTGTGTGGGGCCAGTCATGGGCTAAGTAAAAATCTGAATATTTGGACGAATCCGATGAGCTGTCAAGCTCTTTCACAGATGTCGAATAGGGGCGGCTAAGAACGTTACAAGGGAAAACATACTAAAGCATGATAGTAGTGCAAAGTACAAGTCGTTTGCATTTGAATCCTCTTAAGAGTGGCTCTTTCATAGCCTGTACGGAAGAAGTGGTCGGAAAATCACGGCTAATGTTGGGAACGGTCCTTAGAATTTACACGTGAAATCGCTGGACATGTGCAGACTTGTGGGGGTTATTTTACCATACTTCACGCTGGTCTGTGCGAGTTGGAGAAGGTGATGGGGGGGGGGGGGCATAGAAGTACAGTACAGCAGTTGATTTTTCTGTGTTCCCTAGTGATGCCCACCACAACGGCCCATCCTCTAACACGCCTGTTAAATGCACGTCGGCCACCCGTCCTCGCTCTATCCAGGCTCAACCCTGCTTAACATCTAAGATCTGCTCTGATTGGCTGTGTTCCCAGTGATTCGGTCATGAGCACGCGCCGAGAGGGCCTTTGCTGCAGAGGCGGAGAGATGCAGTCTGCTCGTGTGCAGGTGTTCGGATTGTTGCATTGCCCAGACCGTCAGGATGGTTCTAGGCTTGGGGGGGGGGGGGAGGGTGGGAGGCCTTCATCCAACAGTGGCTAGATCGTGACTGACGATGATGCTTGTCCTTGGCGTAAGTTTACATTGGCGGTGTGCGTGGTGTGCGCCGGTGGGGAGCGGCAGTGCAAGCGGTTAGCGTGCTGCGCTACGAACCCGAGTTCCGTTCATGGCCACCCCATCAATTTGCATACCCGGTGCGGTGTGTAAACATCGCCGCTGGGGGAGACAAAGGTGGCCGGGCGTGGTGACTGTCCAACCCCCGCCCCCCCCCCCCCCCTTGTGATCCGGTGCGGGCCTTCGTAGCTGCTCGCCTATAACGGCAGACTGTTAAAGGGCGATACGGGGGTGGGGGTGTGTGTGGTGGGGGGATCCTTTGTCTCTGTCTTCGTGTGCCGGTCGTCATCCCTCGGTGGCACGGCGCGCTGCGAGAGAAGTCTCCGGCTGCGGTAGCCTCGCCGTGCTGCGGCGCGAGGGGGAGCTGCAGTCCCTGAACTACCCCCGCGGACGCCCGGCCGCCGCCGCGGGGGTCACCTGCCGCTGGCTGCTCCACGCCCCTCGTGGGAAGCGCCTCCAGGTGCGTGGCTCCCCGGCAATCCCCTGGTGGCGGTGGGCACGCAGTTGGGGAGAAGGAGGGGGGGGGGTGTTTTTGTGTTACTACAACAACGGGCTCATTTATGTTGCTATGTTTACGCGATCTAACCCCCCCCACCCCCCCACCCAAAAATAAACCTGTGTGGATGATATTGGTTGCGGAAGGCTTGCTATGTGTTTAGTCTAACAAAATACGTTATTTAGATGAGTTGTGAAGCGTTTTCACAGATGTCCCAGTAAGGGAGGCGCACGGGTTGAGATCGTTATAACAATAAACCATTACAAACGTACGATAGGAGTTAAAAGTATAGCCAAGGTAAACAAATTGCTTAAATATGCAAATAAAACGAAACAATTTTTATTTTACTACTGAGCTGCTTTATAGTTTTTTCAGAAGCGACCTGCCTACCACAATGACAGCTTGACGATGAAAGTGGCTTATCACGTGGTATATTTATATAGCAGCCAAAATACTCTGAATCTATGTTGATTCTAAAATATTGAGGGGGGATGGGGGGGGGGAAACAGGAGGTCCCGGAGGGAAAACAAACACCCCACTACTGAGAAAAGACCTGCACACTCCATATACAGCAGGCGTAAAAAAAATCAGTCGAACCCACAACCTCCTGTAAACCAAGCGAGGTAGTTGACACTCCGCCGTGGCGCCTTGTGTGCCTCCCCAGCAAGGAGGCAGAGATCTGGGTTCGATTCCTGACTCGGGCACCTTGTGTGGAGCTTGTAAGGTCTTTCCCTCTGCTGCATGAGCTTTCCTTCAGGTTCTCTCTGGTTGCCTCTCCTAGCTTAACAAACAAAAAAAACGGTGTAACCGGTATCGGCCAAAACTTACAAATGCTGAAAAATTACCTGCAAAATTACTCCATTGAGATTGCACAGCAGCAAGATTGACCCCCCCCCCCCCCCACCAAGCTGCTAAAAACGTGGCAGGACCCTCCTGAAGAGAGGAGGAGACTCATCGAGAATTGAAGAAAAGTGTTTGCATGGTTTTTGGGTTCTACTTTGTTGCCAGTTGTACGTGCAGAGCATGGCTCAATCTGGGTGGGGGGGGGGGGGGGCGCGGTTGGATGGACACGGTGGCACGTGAACGATAACAAAATCCACCGTCCCTAACAAATATACCGTGCTCCACAGCTTCGCTTCACCGACTTTGAGCTGGGCTCGAGCCCCAACTGCACGGACGACTACGTCGCCGTCTACGGCGACGTGGAACGCACGCTTAAACTCGGTGAGTTTGTGTGGGGGGCGCGCGCGCGCGTGTTTGCCAGTGTGCTTTGCCGAGGGGGCGAGACCCCCCCCCCCCCCGTTTGGAGGGGGGGGGACGGCAGGATGTGGGTAGAAGTGACGCTGTGGATGCTTCTGGGTAACGTGTTCGGTACGGAAAGGGCAGAGTTTCTCTCTTGCGAGCTGTGGAGCGGAGGCTGGGGGGGGGGGGATCCAGGGCACACGGAAGGTTCGCCTGACGCACGGCGAGGGGAGGGTGCGACGATTGGGCTTCCCGGCTCGGGTTTAAAATCCGCGTTTTTGATACCGTTGCACGCTGAATTACGTTTATGAAGTAAGCTCGATAGCGGGCAACAACAAAGTTGCCCTGCATGTGTTTCCTTTGTGCTCGGAGTCTGGCTTCGAGATGTTTACATGGCTGGTATCCAGTTTTGAGGTTGGGGCTATGCCCTTGATATTAGCGTTCGCCACCCAACGCCAAATGCTCGTCAGCTGTCGTATCTCCATGCCTCCATCAGCTCCCCCTGTTCTCTTGTTTTCTGCTGCCGGTGTGCAGTGCCAGATTGAGCTAGTGCGGGGCCTGTAGCATATGTTATCTTTTTTTAAACACAAATTGAAACGCTTTTTTTTACTTGTATAGTAAAGTAATTGTGTGTTTTTATTTGCTATACAGACAGATAATGCGACAAATCGCTAACCTTACGCAGTCGTCCATCAATGTTGAAGGCAGTATAGTACTATAGTCATAGAGCAAGTGCAGGATCCCTGTCCCCCCCCCCACTCCCCCCCCCCCCCTTGTGTTCCCCCTGCACTTCGCAGCCCAATTGTGTGGGGCTGGGCTCCCGTCGCCTGTGTTGAGCCCCGGGGAGATGATGAGCGTGGTGTTCGCGTCCGACCACGAGAGCTCCCTCAGAGGCTTCAAGGCCACGTTCTCGTTCCTCGCGCCAGGTGCGTCAGGCGCCCCCCCCGCCGCCCCCCCCCCCCCCCCGCCGCTCCCCCCCCCCCCCCGCCGCTCCCCCCCCCGCCGCCCCCCCCCCCCCCTCCCCCCTGTTTCTCACCACGTCGCTCCTGTGGCAGTTGTCTAAAAACTCTGAATTTAGTTTCTATCAGAGCCCCGTGGTGTTTAGCGGAGTCTACAACTTGTTTGCTCTCTGCTATGAAGTGGCGGCACCGTTGTCTGACGGTCCACCCGTGTAGCTTTCCCGCTTCGGAGCAAAATTATTTCGGTCATCGGTAAGAAACTCGTGACGCAAAGTATTTCACCGGACCTCGTAGACGCCAATGCCCCCTGTTGCTACGTGCACACGTGTGTGAGTGAATGCTGTGGTGTTTACAAGCGTGCACTCGTGCCCCAACGTGTGCCTGTGTGGATAAGCGATTGTCTCTCCCCCCCCCCCCCCCCCCCCCCCCCCACTAGAAGAGGCTGCTGCTGCAGTGGCAGAAGCGAGCGTGGACTCTGCGTCACCGACACCGCCCTTGCCTACGCTCCGCCCTGTGCCTCTCGGTACCGCAGATCCACAACCTCAGACTCTCTCGCCCGCTGAGACGCGCAGACACGCGCACACCAGCGGTGATGCGTGCTCCCCTCCGGAGACACTTGTTGTGTGAGCCTGCACATCTCAGAATTAAATTTAGAATTTGTAATTCTCCTCGAGGAATCCGATGAGCTGTCAAGCTCTTCTTCACAGATGTCCAGTAGGGGTGGGTTGGCAAGTCAAGTAGGGGTGGGTAATCTTGGGGAGGCCCTCGTCCAGCAGTGCATTTCCACAAAGGGTTGTATGCGTCAAGGAGCACAAACCATCACGTGAACTCCGCGGCTTATGGCTAACCATTGAAACAAAAAATGGTTACTGCATCGCGCCCTTTCAGATGCGCTTCTGCGGCCGTCTGGAATGCTCTTCCTTCCAATGTTAGGAAGCCACTGGGGCTATGCACTTTTAAATCGTCTAAATTAAAAACTCATTCCTTTTAGAACTGCTTTTAGTGTTTAGTTTGTCGTCCGTTCTCCCCGCACCTCCGATTATCGCGGACGGGCTACGTACGGTGCAAAAGAAGTTTCAACCGTGTGTGTGTGTGTGTGTGTGCGCGCCTCCATTCCCACCACCCGCACCGCCAGTGGTGCGGTGTGTGGCACGCCTCTACACATTGCGGCGTTGGTGACGTTGCAAACCGTGGTGTGTGTGCGTGCGTGTGTGTGTGTGCGCGCGTTCGTACCTCCAACCCCCCCTCCCCCGTACCGGCCAGAGTCGTGCGGCGTGGCCCCCGTGTCGCCGCGCGCGTCGGCGCGCGTGCTCGGCGGCGAGGAGGTGCGGCCCAACTCGTGGCCGTGGACGGCGAGCCTGCGCCTGCTGGGCGACCACGCGTGCGGCGCCGTGCTCGTCCACCCCCAGTGGCTACTCACGGCCGCCCACTGCTTCCGAAAGTAACGACCGCTGCGCGGGTGGGGCGGGGGGGGAGACGTGGAGGAGGGGTGAAAGCGCGGTTGTGTTCGTGGCGACGTGTGGGGTGGGAGAACATGGGGGGGGATTTTTGAACGCTGTGTATTTGGAGTTTGCATTTCTGCGTGGATTTTTATTGCCTCCCCCGGGGTCCTCCGGGTTTTCTCTCCACATTTTGGAACCATGCATTGAGATTAGATGGTATTGATGCTATCGTTTGTGGCCATTATAGGACATCTAATTCCTCCTATCTAAATAAATATTCTGATTCTAGCAAATGGGGGGGGGGGGGGGGGCGGGGAGGCGCATAGCAGTGGGTGTGGAATGGCGTGTGGGTTGAGCAGGGCCATTGCTCATGCCACGTTGTGCGTGCCTCTCCCATGGGGGGGGGGGGTGGTGGGGGGGGGGCCTTGATCTCTCTGAGCTTAACTCCCGAGTTTCTTAATGCGCCGCTGCGGTTACAAGTAGGGGATGCTCGTTTAATTAATGGTGCGTCTGGGCACATTGTTGCGTGGTTTTTTTTGTGCAGCGTGCGTTACCCCCTGTACTGGGAGGCGTTGCTGGGAGATCACGACCGGACCCAGCAGGAGCCTACGGAGCAGGTGTCCGGGGGGGGGGGGGGGAGTGCGCACGTGCAATCTTACAAATACTACCGCACCCAACCTCGCCCTCTGTTGTGTGTGTTTTAAAATCCTCTACATACTCACCCCCGTTCCTCTACCCCTATCATCTTGCTCTACTTCCCCGCCCCCCTGCACTCTCTCTCTCTCTGCTCTGACATGCACATGCATTAGAGGAGCAGTGGTGGGTGTATTGATTAGTGCACTACACCAACAGCCCTTGCCTGACTAGTCTCTGTGTACGACTCTAGGTAGGTAGGTGGGGTGGTGGGGGAGTGGGATGTTTCTCTCGTGGCTTTTGTCCGCGTGAAAGACACGCAGGGTGTCTCTGGTCCTGTGCCACGAGCGCTACAACGAAACCACGGCGGACTACGACGTGGCGCTGGTGCGCCTGGCGTCGCCGGCACGGCTGGGCGACGCCGTGCGGCTCGCGTGTCTTCCGGAGGCGGCGCGGGACGTGGCGCCGTCGTCCGTGTGCGTCGTCACGGGCTGGGGCGCGCTTGTCCAAGGTAGCCCGCGCGGGTTTAGTTCGTGAGTGCTTTCCAGCGGAGGTTTTGATGGTTTGGCTCGAGTTCGCAACCTTCCAGCTTCCTGGAGCCCGCATGCAGTTCAGTACGGACTGCTTCGTGACGGCGGCAGCGATGCACTCGCGTGCAGTCGCGGCTCTTGAAATCTTCAGTTTTGTACCGATTTCGATAAAAATAGCTCGTTGTTTTTTGGTTTCCGACTCCTGATGGCACTGCGCCGTATGCTTTTTAGGTGGCCAACACCGCGCCCGGCCGCCTTTGTCTCCGCAAGTGACAATGTTTACACGCGCTCATCCAGCCGCCTCGAACGTATCTTTGTCATTGCCGAGTCGAACGGCACCGAGGGACCAACACCGTGGAAACGACTTCCCTGCTCCCATCCTCCCTTCCCCACCACCCCTGGCTGTGCCCCCCCCCCGCGCCTAGACGGGGAGCCGGCCGAGCGGCTCCAGCAGCTGCAGGTCCCCGTGCTGGACTCGGCGCTGTGCGAGAGGGAACATTACCCGCGCCATCCTGGCGGCATCTCCGCGCGCATGCTGTGCGCGGGGTTCCCGTCCAGCAGCAACAAGGACACGTGCCAGGTGCGCGCTCGCATGAAGACAAATATAATTCCCCCCCCCCTCCCCCTCCCCCACCCCCCCTTTGTAGCCCTTTGACAGACTGTTGGGGCAAGTGCTGTTCGCGGGCACCGAATGAAGGCCGGCACCCCACGCCCGGCCGCTTTTGTCTCCTGAGTGACGATGTTTACACACACACACACACGTGCGTACACGCAAAGAGGTGCAAACGTGTTTTGTGTGCACGTACTACAAATGCGTGCGTGCATGTGTGCAAGCACGTGTTTGCTTCTATCACGACAACACGGTTTAGTCGTGCCGATTGCGAGCACCTGTTAAGAATCGGCGGTGCACTTCATGTGGTCGTGCAGCTGGAACAAAGCCTGGCAATCTCTCTCCCCCTCCGTTCCGCTGATGACATGCGGTACCTGCCCCCACCTCTCCCCCCCCCCCCCCCCGTCTCAAACGACTGCCCTCCACACACTCTGCTCCAGCAATCAAGGCGTTCCATTGAAGCCCCCCCCCCCCCCCCCCCCCCCATTCAACATTTGCTCGGTGAGACATCGCTCCATCTCCTCTATTACTCCTACAGCCTGGAACTCCCATCCCCCTGCAGCCTGTGCTGTCGACTCCCTGCGTCTGTTCAGAGACCTCTTTCTTGCCTATCGCCTGCATGGGCATGTGCAGACATTAACTAAAATGTCCTTTATCTAAACGTTCAATTGATGTGAACACGAGCAAAACGAAATCCAAAAGCTCGGACGGACAACACCCAAACAGACCCCCCCCCCCCTCCATCTCTCGCCCACATGGGAGGAACTCTGTTCTCGCTAATAAACAGGACCCCAAAGCGTTACAGAATCCATGCGCGGCTCTGCTACTCGGCTCGTTTGTTCGTGTACCTTGCACCAAATGAAGCTCCTCGCTTGTCCTCCCTCCCCCCCCGCCGGGGTGTGACTGGCTGGCGCAGGGCGACTCTGGCGGGCCGCTGGTCTGCTCCTTGACCAACGGCTCCATGGCCGTGTTCGGGCTGACGAGCTGGGGCGAGGACTGCGGCAAGCAGGGCCGTCCCGGCGTGTACACGCGCGTCGCAAGCCTCCTGCCCTGGATACAAGCGGCGCTGAGCCGTGAGGGCACCACCCCCCCCCCACCCCTTCCTCCATTGCTCGCCATAAAACTTACAACCAAACTTTTATTATTTTACCAGGTAAGGCCCCAGAAGAATATTAGCTCTTTTTTTTCAGAAGCGAACTGGCAATCGCTAATGATAGCCGCTCAACGAAGTGGCTTGTCGTCATCGTATGGGTATTTATAGCAGCAGCCAAATATTCTAAATGGCAATTGCTACAGACTCGTAGACACCCACAGAGCTTTACACCCACAGTGGCCAGTTGGCAGCAGTGGCCCGGCCGTTAGAACAAATACTGTGCCATGAACCCGGCAACTCCGGGTTCATTACGGTTAACACCAGTGGCGACTGGGTGACATCTGAACCGGTCCTTCTGCCCATTGTACAGCCCTGTGATCAACGCTGACAAACAAGCCCTGTGAACAACGTTGCTGAACAGCTCCGCTTGTGATATCTTCACTCTCATTGCCTTTCAGCTCCTCCCACGGCTCCTGCCCCAGCTCTCGTCCGCAAGTATAAAGCCGGTCGACCCCACAAAATGGGTACGCGTTTATAGAACATCCCTTGGGTGGCTTAAACACGTGTGCCCTGGGACACGTGTGTGTGTGTGTGATGGGGAGCGGTAGTGCAGCGCTTAGTGCCGCTGTGCTACGAACCCGGAGACCCGAGTTCGATTCCTGCTCACGGCCAACACCAGACGCGATTATCTGAACAGGTCCTGGGCCTTCCGCTAGGTCGACTCGGCCTCAAATGAGTTCCTGGTGCGGTGTGTAGACATCACCACTGGGGAGACAAAGGCGGCCGGGCGTGGTGCTGGCCGCCCCACCCCCTCGTGTGCCGTGCTGGCCTTCATAGGTGCTCGCTAGCAGCACTTGCTCCATCAGTCTGATCAGGCTATACGGGGGGATCTTTGTCTTTTGATGGAGGTGGCCCCAATCTCCCGATAATATCCTGGGATTCCTTGGTGCTGCTCTTCCCCCCCACCCCCCCCCCCCCCCACCTGGCTTGTCACTTGCAATCATCTTTGGTGCAGAGTGTATCGAGGTGGAGAGGATTTCAGAAACCTACCACCGATAGTTTCAGTTTTCTCGCCGAACGATTTGAGCCGGTGACCTGTGGATTTCCGGGCGCGCGTTTGCGGGGGGCCCTGTGCAAACTTTTGACGGTCTCTCGCTGCGCGCGTGCGACAGCGTGGGACTGCTCGGGCGTTGCGCAGGTGGCGGTGGCGCCGTCGACGGAGGGGCAGCTGTCATCGCCCGGCTACCCGGACTCGTACCCGGGCGGCCGCAGCTGCAGCTGGCTCCTGCGTGCGGGACCAGACCCTAACCCCCCAGAGGTTGGCACGGCGTCGCCACCGCTCTCTGTGGCGCCACCGGCAATGGCGCGCGGCACCGCTCTGCAGCTGGTGCTGGAAGACCTGTCCCTGTACAACTCGACGGGCTGTGCGCAGGATGCGCTGGAGTTGTACGATGGGAACTCGCTTGCCGCTCCGCTCCTGGGTGGGTGGGTGGGGGGGGGGGGGGGGCACACTGTTGTGCGCTTAAAGAAAAAAATCTATGGGGGGGGGGGGGGACGAATTCGAATTTATGAAAGATCACTAGGCTTTTTACGATTTACAAAAATAATACAGGTGTTAAGTTGCTCCAACACCAAATGGACACCTTTTGCAAGGCAATCGCGTCTGGATTAACTATTCGTGCGCTGTGGTAAAACATGCAAACAAACGTGCTTTGAATAATGTACTACACGTTGTCTTTGAAACTGATTGGCCTACACCAGAGACAGCAACCTCCTTTTTTATGGCCTTGTCCTCACCAGATTGACAAAATCCGAACAGCGCAAAGGCAATGCAAATATCAAAGCATTAACAGCTCTGGTTGAGCAGCTGTACGAATGGGATACATTTTTTTTTCCCAACAAAATATTTCGTCTTTCCTATATTTCATCCCAACTTCTATTGGTGTTGTGTCAAGTGACCAGAGTGATCCATTCAGATATCCCACAGCAGTGCAGCACTGAGTGTTTAATAATGAGAATACTGTAATGATTTAGTGCTTTTGGTGTCCGTGCCATTTGTTGATGCACAGGCTACCGCCAAAGGTGCTATGTTTCACAGACGGCTGTGGTGTTTTGTGAAGAATTGCTCGCACAAACGGATCCCGCGCAGCTACCTGTACGAACCCAGTCCTGGGCCCCTCCCCTAGGTTGTCTCCGCCTCAAGCAGCACTTGCACCACCAGCCAGTAATGAGCTATGCCTTGCATATAGGTGTCTGTCAATGTGTGTGTGCGCATAGCTGTAGGTATCCGTCAGGGTGTGTGTCATTCAGCCTTAATGAGTACCTTGCACGATGTATACACATCAACACTGGGGAGACGAAGGTGGCCGGGCGTGGTGCTGGCCACCCACCCACCCAGTCGTGTGCCACGCGCCAGCTTTCATAGCTGCTCGCTTAACAGCACTTGCCCCCCAAACATTCTTGTTAAAGGCTACATGGGACGGGGGGGTGTGTGGGGTTGAGGATCTTTTGTCTTTGTTCTTGCCACCTCGTGGGTGTCGTCGCCATGGCGCAGGCCGGTTCTGTGGGCTCCTGTCGCGACCGCTGCTGGTGCGCAGCTCTGGACCGCGAGTTCTTCTTCACTTCCGCTCCGGGCCACTGCCTCTGTCGTCCAACCGTGGCTTTGCAATCAAATACCTGGCGGTGCAAATGCCAGGTACCTTTTTTTTTCTTCCCCCGACGTGAGAAAAGCTGTCTCGTTTTTGGTGTTTTTTTAACAACGTACGAGGCTCTAATGCGGGGGGTTCAACCTCATTACTTTTTTTATCATTTTCATAAGAACGAAAAGTGATCCCACATTTGCCGCTTCCGAAGCGGTGTAGCCTTGAACCCTTGCCAATTAATGACTTGGAAGGCCACCTTGAGTTTGGTTCATTTAACCTCGTGGCAATTTTCAGGACCTCCAGTGCAGCTGCTGGATGGGATGGTGCCGCCAACCTCCAACTCCACTCTGGTCGTCTCGGCATCGCATGGCCCAGCGGCCCCCACCGCCTCCGCGGCCCCCACGTCCCCCCCCGTCTCCCCTATTCCTCCACGACGACCTCCTCCACTCTACCACCGTCCCTCCGAGGTAGCCGCCAGCCCCCAGTGCGGCGATCTGGTGCTTGAGCAACCCGCGGGGACGATCTCTTCTCCCGCCTTCCCGTGGCCCTACCCGCCACACGTACGGTGAGTTGTCGCGCTTGAGGCGGCTCCACGCCTGAGCAAATCGGTCGCTCTCAACTTTGTTGCGTGCAACGGCGTTCTTTGCCGTGTGAACGTCTCTGCAACCAGTTGCGAGCGGTCGGGCAAACCGGGTTGCATACAAGCAATTTTTCGCGACGTATTTCATCACGTGCACAATCAAGCTATGATTGGTCGTTAAAATCCTGATTTGGGGGGTGGGGGCGGTGGAGCTAACTGGGAAAAGGGGTGTGGGGTGTTACATATTTATTGTTCAACTACTTGCTCAACTGTGGACAAAGCAGTTACAGGCGAATGTTGTGCAATTTGGGAGTGATTTTGTCGTAAACTTCTCGCGCCGGCGTGGACCTCAGGCCCTTCTCGCGGCCCCCCCCTCCCCCGCTGCGACGCGTCGTTCAGCGGGAGCTCCAGAGCTCCGTGTCCCATGCACAGCTGACCCTTCTCGCTGCCCCCACCCCCGTGTGTTCACTCTCATCAGATGCTCGTGGCGAGTGGTGGCCCCCAACTCTGCGCTAATCCGCCTGGACTTCGCGAGCTTCTCGACGCGCGTGAGCTCCGCCGGCGACTGCACGGACTCGCTCTCCGTCTACGAGCTCAACGCCACCGCCGACACGCGCTCCCTCGTAGGTCCGTCCCTCGTGCTGGCGTCCGCCGTCACATCCTCGGATGAGTATCCGCTGGCACGGGTGGTGGGCCAGCCCGGCATGGTGCTGCCCCCCCCCCCCCCCCAACCCTCTCGTATTCCGTGCCAGCCTTCGTAGGTGCTCGCCCTAACAGCACTTTACCCCCAACGGTCTGTTTAGGCTACACGGGGGGATCTGTGTCTTTGTGCGTGTTTCCCTACATGTGAACGTGCCGCCTGCATACGTACAGCACACCTGTGCGGTCAAACGCTGCCCCCACCACTGAAGACGGGTCACGACATCGCGTTGGAATTTGTGGCGGGAGGTCCGGGGAAGCCAGGGGAGCTGAGAGGTTTTGCTGATGACCTGGGATTCAACTTGACCTATGCATTTCAAGAGCCAATTGCAGGTAAGACCACCCCCACTCACCCGCACCTCTCCGCCACCTTGTGCACTGTCACCTGAGGGTTATGGGAGATTTCACTGGCAGGACCAAGCCCCTCCCCCACTTCTTGATGTGTGAATTAGTTTGTTTTGCACATCTTGCTGGCGATGAGCCCAGCGGTTTTCACACTGGACTTTGATCTGGGTTATCGCAATTTGATTTCCACCCATCTCATTTTGATTTCCAGCCACAGCTACCATCGACGTAATATCTAAACTGGTCCAGCCACCCCCCCCCCTCCTTTTTAACTAACCCCCACTAACCAGCACGGTGAAGTATGGTCAAACAAACGCCATGACCGACAACCTTGTGAGGGATGGCCCTCAGCAGTCATTTGACAAAGGGCGGTGAATAAATAATGATTTATTTATGAAGTGTGGTTTTGTGGATCGACTTGCATTTGCTGTAGAATTGTGGAATTTCTTACACCGCAGGCTCAGGGCTACAGCTCCCTCTCTATTGGAGAGGCACTGTTTAGTGGTCGACAAACATTGGTATCCACCGTATTCAGGTCGCCCTTGTCGTGTACACGTGCTTATGTGGGTATTAAGTGGTTACAACTGGTCCTGGGCCCGTCCCCTAGGTCCGACTCTGCTTTTAAATGAGTACCTGGTGCTGTGCGGAGTCGTGTGGCGCTGCCAACAACCAAGGAGCGTCTCGTGTGCCATGCCGGCTTTTAAAAGACGCTCGCTAACAGAATATGTTCGGTCTGGTAGAGGCTACACGATGGATATTTTTGTTCATGCAGAATTACCCAGTGTGCCAAGTGGCAGCCCATCTGCTCCTGGAGAAACGGGTGAGTGACGTTCACCATTGGCAAGGCTCTCGCCCTGCGTGTGAGCTGCTCGCAAAACGACTCGCTAGCTCATCCATAACAATGCCCTCTGTATCGTCGTTCACACACACACTCTTGCCAGGTTTTCCAATTCACGTATACATTAATAAACAAATGTGTTCATCCTTAGAAAGCACTGTATATTCTACTTTAAAATATAATTAAAAAATGAGGTTTTCTAATAGGATTCATGACACAGCAAATACGTTTTCAGTTTAATCGGGCTGCACGTGAATTCTTACACGGTCACCGTTACAATCGGGGCACGGCCGCAGAAACGACGTGTACATCATGGACACGCGCGACGTCAGTCGAACACGAGAAACAACTCCTCATTTCGAAAAACAGAACGTTACCCGACTTGACCAATTAATTGTGAATCGCAATACGCCGTGTGTGTGTGTTCCCATTGCGCGTGGCTGACCGATGGCCAAGGTGCGATTGCAATCGTGAAGGTCAGAAGGTTGAGAGGACGCCCTCTACTGGCAGTTCCAAGCTTATAAATAGACGAGCGGTAGACAAAGGGGCAGTCCCACTGAACTGTGATGCTAGTGGTTGGAGGCCCCAGGCTGCTCTATGTAAGCAGGACTCAATTTCTCACTTCTGGAGTGCTGGTCCCGCCGGCTTGGAGTAAGAGCTTACCAGCGTGTAAGGTACCAACCACTACAAGAGCATCAAGGAATGGCTATCCATAACCCTTTATTATTGTTATATCTTGATGTGAAGCTTTCGTGACTGCAGGAATCCATACTCTTTGGTTCTTTTGGTAAAGTCACGTAGGTATAAAATAATGTATTATCCTGTGAGAACTACGTACCATGAGGACAAGGAGAGCTGGATGGATGTGGCGTTGCCAAACTTTCCCAGAATAACATTTTGAACTGTTTTGGCTGAAATTTGGAGCTGCTGACGTTTTAACCCCCCCCCCCCTCCCTGCACCTCCACTCCACCAGCAGGCTGCCTGGCGCTTGAGGTGGTGCGCGCGGGCCCCGCGGGGGGCTTCGTGTCGTCGCCGGCGTACCCGCAAGCATACGGTGCGGGCCTACAGTGCACGTGGACGCTCTACTCGGTGTCAGGCGCTCCGCTCCGCGTGCACGTCCTCGACGTGGACCTGGAGACGAGCCCCGGGTGCGCGTGGGACGCGCTGAGCCTGCACGACGGGCCCGACGTTAGGGCGCCCCTCCTAGGTGAGTTGCAGCAGCGATGGTGAGGGCGTGTCCCCCCCCTCCCCTCCCTCTCCTAGGTTAACATCTCGCCACGGGGGGCCATGTTAAATACCTCGCCTGGTATGCAGGATCTCGTGGGTACAATCCCGACCCTGACGCCTGCTGTATGTTTGAAGTTTGTCTCCTTGTGATAGCATATTTTTCTCAGTGTTTTTTCCTCTACATTTAGCGAAATTTCCACATGACGAGCCACTTCGTTGACCTAATCATTGTGGCCAGGTCGCTTCTGCAAGAGCCATGTAGCTCGGTGGGCCTTACCTGGTAAAATAAAAAAATTGAGTGGCGGCGATGATGAGGGGGCAGCCCCTCCTAAGTGAGAATGGCGGTTCTCGCCGTCATTGTGCGTGCGTACGCTCGTAGGTTTGTTCTGCTCGCAGAGCCCCCCCACGTCCGTCGTCTCTTCGGGGCCGCTCCTCACCGTCGCCTTCCACTCGGACTTCGCACTTGGGGGCCGCGGCTTCCGCTTGCGCTTCGAGGCGGGCGACGCACTCGAGGCCCTCCCCAGCGTCCCACCCGGCAGCAGCCCCGCACCGCCGACCCCTGTCCTCGGCAGGGCAGCCGTGGGCGGTGGACGACGCCTCCTCGGTGCCACCGGTCAGTGCCTGCTGCCAGCCGGATCGACACCGCTCCTCGTGAACCTGGCCAAGCAACATCCGTGTCTCCCCCCCCCCCCCCCCCCCCGTTTGTCCTGCATCTTGCCCCTCGTGTCTCCTCCCGACATCCCCCCCCCCTCTTGTATTCTCCCTCGCGTCCACACGTCTCGAACGTCCACCCCCCCGCCCCGTGGTGCCGCACAGCGTCGTGCGGGGCGCCCGTGACCCGCGGCCTGCACGGGACTGCGGCGGCCGGCAGCGCTCGCGTCCTGGTGGACCCCGTGCTGGGGCTGTCGCGCGTCGTCGGCGGAACGGAGGCGGCGCAGCGCGCGTGGCCCTGGCAGGGCAGCGTGCAGTACGGGCAAAGAGGTCACTACTGCGGCGCCACCCTCATCCACCCCCACTGGGCCATCACGGCCGCGCACTGCGGTGTCAGGTGACCGCTCATGCGCAACCGAGCAGTCCTGGTTTTGCCGGGACAGTCCCAGTTTGTAAAAATCGGAATTATTGTCCTTAATTGTCAGGTGTTCTGGATTTCAGGCTTCAACGCGCATGCAATGAGCTAAAAATGTGCAACTGCTTGAGCATAGTGTGCGGAGTTGTCCGAGTGAGCAGGGCCTGAGCAGCAGGCGGGGCCAATGACGGGGCTAGCGGTTGAGTGTGGTGTGGCTGTGTGAAAGTGGGCAGGGCTGACGGAAGGGAGTTGCCCAGCCCCCGTCCGTGTGTCCTGGTTGAGCCTCCCCAAAAGCTGGTAGCTTTTACTTAATGGGGGGGGGGGGGAACTATGCTACGTGTTGTCTTTTTGCGCGTGGCCAGCGCTGCCTCCGACACACTGGTCCTGGGCCTAAACGACCTGCGGGAGCGTGGAGGGGACGGGCAGCGGCTGCAGGTGGCGCGTGTCATCACCCACCCGGGTTACGGGGGGATGCCCCCCCAAAACGATCTGGCGCTGCTGCAGCTTGCAACACCCGCTCACATCGGTACGCCCTCCTCCTCTTCCTTCCATCACACCTGAGGTCAAAGGGCATCTCCCCCCCCCCCCCCCCCCCGAATACAAACCACCACTACTAAGCAGTGAGGTTTGTACCCATACACGAATAACTGCTGTGTTAACTCTCGATCATCTGCAGGTTGCAAATGAAGGACTGGTTTGGATACCGCATGCCAAGTGATGTTAGCCATGGCCGGTAATCAAACTCTTTAATCGCCAGGTTGAGAGTGCAGTTCAAAGCGCAGTACTGCAGCAACTAGCAGGGAGACGAAGCTGGCCCATTCAGAGTCGTCCACATCGCCCCTTCATATACGCCCCTGGGCACCCTTGATAGGTGCGTGTTTTATATAACGATGCTTGTTTTCTGGAAGTGTGTAGGACTAAATGGGTTTGCCAATCCTTGTTTTTTTTTTGTTGTGCGCAGGTCCCAGTGTGATGGCTGTGTGCCTGCCCAAGGCTGGAGAGGAGTTCGAGGAGGGGAAGATGTGTGTGACGACGGGATGGGGGTCCACAGACCCATTCGGTGGGTGGGGATTTTCATTCCATCATCATTGGGATCCTTGGATGGCAAGTGTGGGAGTTGTATTGTGACAGTCAGTCATCAGCAGCCATGGATTTATCTCCTACTGGATGAATGCCTCCCCGAGCCATCCGCTATCCCTCCATCGTCGACACAATAATCCATGTGGCACCGGAGCACGAGCCGAGTTCATCGCTTTCCACCTTCTGCGATGAATCCCTTCTAGCGACGTGTCCTGACCCAGGTAGGGTCCGCGTCCTTTTCTCAAGTCGATGTACTGTGCGCGTTCTCCGATCCACGTGGGTTCCCCTTTGTGGTTGCCTCAACGTAATTGCAAGCAGTTACATCTCCTTGGTGTTTCTTTGCGCTGTGTTCAACCCGTGCTCCGTGTCCTCCATCAATGGCCGTGCACGTCTAGCAACACTTCAGGCTTCACCGCTGTCCCGGAGTGCAACTTGGGGAAAAAATGAGCCAATCCTTACCGCTGCCCAGCTGAGGTTAAAAGCTTTTCCGCATTGGCTCTGCCGGTCCTCGTGCAACGGGCGGGCGCGGAGGGAGTGGGCGCACGATAACACTCGTGAAGGTGATCGTGCATATGAAGTAAGTTGGAGTGTGAAGTTGTGTTGCTATCCAAGGACTTGCTCAACAGAAAACCTGCCCAAAGGGGGTTGCTGGTTCCCCCCAACAGTCTCTATCAGAGCCCCGTGTCTCCTTGCAGCCTATATACATAGTGGGGAGTGGTGATGCTAGCAGTTACCTCAAACGGTCCTGGTCCTCCCCTAGGTCAACGCGGCCTCAAATTAGTACCTGGTGCCATGAGTAAACATCTCCACTAAGGGAGACGAAGGCGACCGAGTGGTACTGGCCACCCCCCCCCCCCCCCCCCACCCCTTGGTGCTGTTCACGCTTACAGCACTTGCCCCAACAGTCTGGTAAGACTATACGGGGGATATTTGTCTTGTGTAAATCAAGTGCCTGCGCGTCTGGTGCAAGCAACTGCCACTGCTGTTCTCGCTAATGAACAGGACCCCAAAGCGTTACAGAATCCATGCGCGGCTCTGCTACTCGGCTCGTTTGTTCATGTACCTTGCACCAAATGAAACTCCTCGCTTGTCCCCCCCCTCCCCTCACCTCTGCAGACGAGGTGTACCCTGACCAGCTGCAGCAGGCCACGCTGCCCCTCATCGGCACCGAAGAGTGCGGGAAGCGCTGGGGGCTCGAGGCGGTGACGGCCGAGAATGTGTGCGCGGGCGCGGCGGGGGCGTCCTCGTGCTTGGTGCGTGCCGAGGGGGGGCGGCGGCGGCGGCGTCGCGCGTCAGGGCTAGGGTTTGAGTTTACCTGGCGCTTGAATTACAGCAGCGTCTTTTCTCCGATGCTCTTTAAACTCTTTTATTTTATTTTACCAGGTGAGGGCTCACGGAGCTGCTTCATATAAGCTGTTTTTTTTTACAAGCGACATGGTTATCACAAATGATAGATGAACAAAGTGGCTTATCGTGTGGAAATTTATAGCGGTCAAATACTCTAAATGCACGTTGATTCTAAATGTGGTGGGGAAAAACCAGAAGATCCGGATAATAAATCCACGCGACCAAGGGGAAGAGACGTGCATACTCCAAAATGTCCAGCAGACGTCAGGGTCGGGATCGAACTGACCTCCTGTAATACCAGGCGAGGTAGTTAACATCTCCTCGCCACCGTGGTGCGCATCTCACTTGGCACGAGGCCACCCTAGAAATGATGCCCACGGGAAAGTTATATACCCTACAGTTGTGTGGTTCTGTGTGCTTGCGTACTCTGGGCCACCCATCCCCCTCCCCCCCTCGTATGCCGTGCTGGCCTTCGTAGGTGCTCCGTTAAGGGCACTTGCCACGAAAGTATGTTTATGTTATATAGGGGATCTTTGTCTTTCTGTACTCTCGTACCCCCTTCCAAACACATCAGGGCCCCGTGCTGGTGCGGGGCCCTGATGGTGTTCTGACGGATTTGCCCACTTTCTATTTTCCGAGCCAGAAACGAACCGTGAAGCTAGCGAGACATCTGAAATCGGACGTTGGACCAAGCAGTGCCCAGAGGAGGGGTGGAGGGCGTTAGTCGAATGTTTCATTTCGTGTGACGTCGGCAATCCAGGAGCACGTCTGCAGTGGAAAAACAACCTGGTGCCACTTGAGTTAGGCCAGGCTGGCCCAACTGTAGGATGGAATGTAGGTCTTTGTCATCGCTGTTCTGAAAGGGCACTTGTGTTCATCTAACAAAAACACGTGTGTGTGCATCTGCTAGTCATCTCTCAGTCAACCCTTGGCACCTGGGGTCTGCCCTACGACCTGCCAGCAGGTGTTTGACACTTCACGTGGCCTAAAAATGCACACAGCCTGGCACAAGCGCTGGAGTGATGTCACCGCCACTTAGTGACGTATGGCGGTCGTGGTTGTGTGTGTGCATTCCCCCCTCCACTATTCCCGTGTAGGGTGACTCGGGGGGACCGCTGGTGTGCCACCGCGGCGGGTTGCACGTGCTGGTGGGCGTCGTGAGCTGGGGCAGCGAGACGTGCCAGCCCAACGTGCCGTCCGTCTACACCAACATCGCCAGCCACACCTTGTGGATCGCTGAGATGACGGGAGGTGTCGTGTGAGCGGGGCTTCGGTGGTGTATCCCGCCACCTCCCACCCCCCCCTGCCTGTACTCCGTTTGGATGTTTACCCAACAGAGCTTCGCTTCTGGTTTGGAAGCACCTGTGGAATGACAGGCAGCAGTAGCAGCTCGACAGCAACCCAAGCAATTTGTGAACTTCTAGCAACCCTTGCAGCTTGGCCTATCGCATTCTGGCAACAGTTTACACCTTTGCGACATTTTAGCAACCCTTACGGATATCCTATCACATTGCAGCAGTCATTGTGTAGCAGTTTTGCATATTTGCAGGCAACTTCTCAATGCGTTTATTTGTAATTGTAATTTTTTTGTGATGTGGGGGGGGAGAATCTGTCTGTTTCCACTAAGGTGGCGTTCTGCGTTTTATCAGTGTATTCTCACAGCTGCTATGCGGTTGACCTTAATTTGGCACGTGTGGTTTGATAATGAATAGTGTGGATTGTTTTTCAAGAAACTTGTATACTTGGTACTCGGCTAAAATCAATTACTCTGCTCTTGTTGCGATTTTATTTTCGCTTCTGTTCAGTAGTTGCCATCGGGCAGGTATTGGACGGTCATTTGCAAGCCACACCAGTGATTGGGGCCTGTGAATCTGTCGGGAAAGAGGGGGCTCAACTATTTTCTGACTTGTGTTGAGCACAGGTCCCGCCCGAGGACCCGCAGCATGCTCCTTTGTGATCTCTGGCTCTGTCAACTGAATATGAAAATAAATTCTCATTTATTTATTAACCCTCCTTCAAACAGGGTCGGGGCAAGCAGCAGCTAGAGCAAGCTGCTTGCCGTTTCTTGTGGGGGCCCCTTTGGTTTAGAGCAGAGAATGTGGGGTCATGTGTCCTGGCTTTTAGGGGCCTTGTTTCCCCCCCTCCCCCTCTGCTGTCTCTGCCTTTCAGCAGTGGTGGTGTTTTAATGACAATGACAGTTAATGTACGATTGTGGTTTTGGCATGAGGGAATTTCCAAGTTACCTTTTGCCTAGGTCTGTAACCCAATTATATTTGATCTCGCTGGGGTGCACCTCTTAGTGTCCTGGAAAGGGGACGGGGGTGGGATACACGATTTTGAGAAGCTACTTAACCCTCGTGCAATAAAAAATATATATTTGTCTGTTGTACAATATGTGCGTGTGGTTCTTTTTTGCCTTCATTGGCCACATTGTGTTTGCGAGTTGGTGGAAGTGGCACAGGGCCTGTTTTGGGCACCAGGCCAGCACTTTGAGGATGTGGAGATTTGTGGCTGCTGATGACTCGTATAGGCACTGATCTGCAACTTGCAAATGCGTGGTTCATACCATCGGATAACAGCTGCTGTTGACGAAAATACGGTGGGTTATGGTTGAATGCGCCAACAGCCGTACCCGGGTCATATCTCAGATTGATTTTGCAGTGAAGTGTGCTAACCACTGTGCCACCACTCCGTTTAAAATAATTCGGCCCCAGTAGTCTAACACTTTTTTTGGGGGGCGGGGGGGGGTCTTTAGTTGTGGTGAGCGGTAGTGGGTTAAGCTCTGCTCTCTGCACCAGGTGACTTGGATGTAATGTCTGGCCATGTATGGTGGTGGTGAATGGTATATGTCCGAGCCTTACCTGGGCCTCCCTTAGGTTGATTTGGCCTTCAAAGAGCACCTAATATTCGCACGTTGGCACGGGTCCATTTCATGGCTAGGGGATTACTGATGTGGGCCAGCTCGCCGAGCCGTGAGATTACCGGTGAGTGCACCACAGCGAGTGGGTAAATAAAATAACGGCGTGTCGGATATCGTGCATCTGGGCGATATGGAGCATAACGCCGGAAACCCACACGGTCAGAGGCGCATTTTTTTATCCATTGATAACGTTGATCTGGCTTTAAGATTGCGATGTATGGAAGGTTTCGGGGTGGATTGGGAACGTTAATCTTGATGTGGTTTCACCCACGGGAGTTTGGGCCCTGTGAAAATTACTCTTTACCCCCCCCCCCCCACCAAAGACGGCGCTGAACAGGATGTTTATTTTCAATTAGCAGTGTCACGCAGAAATTAAAAGGTGGCCATCTGCAAAGGACTGAGATGAGACGGAGATACCCTCGATGGTGCTTGGGGGGAGGGGGAATGGGAACACCGCGATGTGTTTGCGCGTCAATCGTTAGGGCATTGGACGGGGATGGAAGCGGCCGTAAGAAATGTTGTGGCGAGGAGAGCGCATGGCAAGGAGCGATGCCCGCTCGAGGACCTGGTCGTGTGACGGAGGCCAAGTGAACTTGATTGGAGAGAAGACCGTTTATACGTATAACGGTGTATAATGACAACGGCGCTGATTTAAAACATGCATATACGTATAGCGCAGCCAAACTATGTGCAGTATAATAAACTTGATGTAATGGCAGCAATGCAAATTGTGCATTGCAATATTTTTTTGGTAAATGTGCAGAAAAGATCATTGCTGTGAAACGGCAATAATAGTAAACTATATTATTGGTGAGCGGGGGGGGGGGGGGGCATTTCCAGTCCTTGTAACTCACATTGACCAGGATGGTGAAGTATGGTCAAACCACCAATGGCTGATGTGGGGAGGCATACATAAGTGGATTTGAAAAGAGCCGTGTAAATATGTTCGTGTAACAATCAATCGGTCATAGAAATATGTAAATACGTGGGAATTTAAAACAAGTCTCGTATCTCCAGGAACACACTGCAGGAAACCCCGTTGCAATGATTTGCATGCACAGGAGCTTGAGGAAATGTGTGGAGCTGCACAAACGGCCCAACCAGTAACGAGCCGAGTGACTTTCATGCCCAGTGTTATTTTTGCGGCGTTATTGTATGCAGCCCAATAGCGCGAGTCGGAGCGGGGGGGATATAGGGGGGCTAAGCCCCCCCCCCCCCCACGGTGTTGAAGGTTAGGTCCCCCGTGATAATTTCTTCCGCTTTAATACAGTATTTTTATGGTAAACTTTTTTCGCACCGTACGTAGCAGACCGTGCTCGTCGAATGTGCGGGGGGGGGGAAGGACAACATGAGTGTAATTCAGGGATGGGCGTCTCGTCAAATCCTGAAATGCACAAGAGACGCCGCAGCATTGTGCTTATGCACGTGCACAGCCTTTTGTTGTTAACACGCTAGTGGCAGAGAGCCCTCCCCACGCCGTGCCAGGTCACGGCGTGGGGGGGGGGGTTATTCCCCTCCGTACTGCACCACGCTGGCGGCCGCTTGAAGGCGGAGGGCAAAGTGCCGTGACAACGTCGGAGCGCACCGGACGGGGTAGCAATGCCCTGCTGTTCTCTGGTGCCCACCGTGTAGCCCTGCAGCCCTGCCACGCCTGTTCGCGCAGCCGCGGTCACGCATCCCGACCACTGAGTGCAGCTAAGCGCACGCGGGGTTCGGCTTTTGAGTTCTTGATGAGATGGGGTGCGTATGTGAGATCGGGGCGTATGTGTGCTGTCGCCACTACACTGCTCTCGCTCTTTCGTTATCGTACACAGGTGTGCGGTGTGGTATGTTTTCTGCCTGTCGCCCAACAATGGTCGAATTCCTGGAATCGAAGGGGGCTGCTGCTCTGATTCTTTTTTTCCGGTAAAGTGGCAGCCCGGGTGAATGTTTTCGGGAAATGTAATTTAAAAAAAAAACCCTGGTAATGTGTGGCCAATGTTTCAAGGAAAGCAGCCCGTTAATTTGTTCTTGCTTTCATGATTAAAATCCCTATCTTTAGCCTGCAGTTACCCCAATAATTTTTTTTAAAAGTATCCGGTTTTTTTCCTTCTTAAAAGCCATTGTCAATAATAATGTCACTTATGCACCAATGAGAGCCCCGCCGAGTCTCGCAAATCTTTTTTTTGGCAGGAGTCTCCTTCGTTTGGGATGTTTGGCATGTGGGCGCGCTGGGTTGTACTCCGAGCTAAATTTCTCACGGAATACTTTCCGTTTTGCTCGTAGCTTCGAGTAGGGCATGTGATGAGTAGTAGCCATAAGCAAATAGGAAGAGGTGTTGATGGATGTTGTGTGCTGGATGCGAGATTTAAAACAAACATAGAAACCGGCTGAAACTAAGCGCTGATCGTACTCCGTTTATTGCCGTTCTGAGCTGCTGACGGGAGTTCCACGTACTGGTTTCGACGGGTCAATACGACAATACCGTTGTCATTGTTTATACTTTACCGCAATCGTCCGTGTACAGCGTTTAGTCAGGTGAGAGCCCACCGACCATAATCACTTTTGTAAGCTCAACCCTACACAAACATCAGCCGTGGTCTCTCCGCTGCTGGGATGGACGCCTCGACCAAGCCATCGCCAGATCTCGCGGCTCTGCGATGTAACAATCCTCATAGCTGCTGCACCTCCCCAGTGGATGTCCTTTCGGGCGAGTTCCATCCTCTGGCTACCACTCCGTTATTCGTCTTCACCGCTGGCGACCTTGACAGCCATGTCCTTGACGGTGAGAGTGATGTCTAACCAGCCTGTGTAAGTTCTCTAATCGACGTGTTCCTCTTTCCGTCTCTCAAATGTAATTTCAAGCATGCGTCCTTCCCTGTGCTTCGCTGCCCATTTTTTTTGCAGCGTTTGTGCGCTTTTTTGTTGTTGACTCGCATCAATCGTAGGTAATATGCAATGATTGTAACGCTCTGTTTAGCCACACCGTTACGTTGCCTTTCGACCGGTTGTTACCGCCTGCGAATCGCTGCATCAGCACGTGGTGGCCGTCAGGAGCGAGTTCTGGAGTCATTTAAAATGTGAGCGAGGGTGACGATGCGTGTGATGCGTGTGTCTGTCGCCGGTGAGTTTGTGGTGCCCGTACAGAGGAGGGGTGGCGGCGGCGGGCTACTGTGGTCCCGTCAAGCACCAGGCGGCCGTGTGTTAAGAGTGTGAGCATGCATATGGAGGAGGCTCGTGAAAGTACGCTACTGGTCAGTTGTGGCCCTCCAACAACAATGGGGGGCAGAGGAGCGACGCTCACAACAACGAGCGGAGCGCCTGGCAGCTAAAATGCAGCGAGTTGGCACAGTAGGGGGCGCAGCTGGTGCATCTGCCAGTCATATCAGTCAGTCAACCCATGGCACCTGGGTCTGTCCTGTGACCTCCTGTCAGCAGTGAACCTTCGACACTTCACGTGGCCTCCAAGTGCACCTGGCCTGGCACAGGCGCGGCGGTGACCTCATCGTCACTTCGTGAGACGTGACAGCTCGCTACGGCTGGAGAGTTGCGTGATTTGTAGTGCATTTAGTGCGTGTGTCTGAGGACGCGTGATGACAGAACGGAGGCCCTCTACTGATTGCTCCTGATTAAGGCATGGGGACATGTCCCTGAATACTCGTACCTCTGACTTCTTATACTGAAGTCTATAATGCTACATGTAGTCTCATGAAAACCAGATATTTCCACTTGAAGGTGCTACCTCAGGTGGGGGTAGCTGTAGTGGTTGCAATATTTTGCAGTGATAAATAACAGTGAATTGTGTAATAACCATTTGAAATGGGTGATTTATCAGGTACTATACTGTACACGTATTTTCCCTTTAAATAAATAAATACGACTAAAGTATTGCCACCTTAGGTGGGATCAATTTCTCCTCTGACCCATGGACTATGAAGATGAGAATTATTGTGAGGCCCTCTTGCAATGACTGACAGTAGTTGTGGTAAGGCCCTCATCCAGTAAGAGTAGAATACTCTGATTTGAAGCTTTCGTGACTGAAGTAATCCATACTCTTTGGTTCTTTCAATAAAGTTACGTAGGTAGAAAATAATAGATCACGACGTTTCGATCGCAATACAAGCAATCGTCATCAGGTCGGCCTACTTCAGTTTTTTTCTTGCTGTGGTTGTCCCACCTGATGACGATTGCTTGTGTTGGCAATCGAAACGTCGTGATCTATTATTTTTTTACCTACGTGACTTTACCGAAATAACCAAATAGTATAGAGTACTCTGCTCTGCCCTACCACCATTAATCGGTCAAGCTCCTTCCAAATGTAACCCGGCTTTTGGCAAGTCACAAAACAAAGACAGTCACTGCATCGCCCGATTTCAGATGCGCTTCTTCGGCCGTCTGGTATGCTCTTCCTACCGATATCAGGAATAGACTGGAGCTATCCACTTTTAAATCATCTAGATTGAAAACTTATTTTTGTGTTTGGTTTGTTGTCCTTCCCCCGCACCTCCGATTAGCACGGTTGCCCACGTACGGTGCGAAAGAAGTTCTACTTACATACAACCCCAGGTTCATACCATGCATCTGGCTCCGATTGATTAAATGTTTGTGTTTCAAATGGGTGGGCCAAGCTTTTTCCTGAAGCAACTTTTCGCATATGAATTCATATTGATCACTGACCTCTGAACTTCCACCTTCACCAACACGCAGCATTCACCAGCGTGGGGAAGTATGGAAAGATAAAATAAAGTCCACTCTCAACACAGTGTGGAAAGACCCTCATCCAGCAGTGGATTAACAAATAGGCCTATACCTTCAGATGTATTTGCAAGAGGCTTGGCTTTAGTGTGAGCAAGTGAAGATGTCCTGCCATCGCAATACACTTAAATTCAAGACTCAAGTCATTCATTGGCAATCAATTGTATGTATGTAGAACTTATTTCGCACCGTACGTAGCCAACTCTGCTCATCATTAATGTTGGTGTTTCTGATTATCAGGGTGGATAGGGGGGAATTGATATCTGAATTGGCTCTGCTTGTACTCGTCACCAATACACACTGAACAGCGCAGCAAAGTATGGTTAAATGTCCCCAGCAGTGGGCTGATAAAATTAGTTATTTTTTTGTTATTATTGACTTTATAAAAGAGACCAAGATTGGGTGTTTTGGTCATGAAAAGTGAACACACAAATGCGCTGAAAGACGCACATGCTTAATCAGTGCGTACTACCTGCTATGGGGTCTGAAACACCGTGGCCCGCTGAGGAAAAAATATTGAACATAAAGCTAAAAAATGTGCAAAGAAGTACGTGGCTATGCACGCTTGCAAATACGCCGAGACAAAAAGAGGAACACGTGGATTGGAGAACATACGCAGTACATACACGGCAAGTTTACAGTCGTGTTATGATTCACTAAGTTTCTCCATGGACACACGGGGCTTGCGATTTACGGGGTCAAAAAGTTCAAAACCAGGAGCCGCGTTGCAGTACGAGGTGCTGCCTCTCGAGCAGAATCAGTCTTTATTTATACTGGACGAATCCGATAAGCTATAAAGCGCTTTTTCACAAGTGTCCAGGCGTAGAGCGATGAGGAGGCCCCAGAATAAGGAGGTTCAAATGAACGAATACAAGCTGGACATGTGGCAAAGATGGAACAAGACCCGTATGAGATGGGCGAGGCTACAGGAGCTCATGGTGGAGATGTTGAAGATTGCTGATGAAGGAGGAACCTTGAGAAGGGAGATATGGAGAGATAGACCCGAAGGGACGAGTAGTGATGTCCTTAATGGATGGTTTCCTATTTACAGTATTGATGCTACACAAATTTAATCGAACGCTTAAGTGACTTAAATTATCCAGTCGTTAGGTTTTAAAAAAAACTCAACGTTCATATAGTTTTTCGATCTTTTTTACATATCTATAAAATTAATTAAAATACACTTTGGTTGTGGCACATTATTAGGTTATCAGAATATAAGTAACAACAAAGATAAGACATGTCTCCTTTATAAAACTCCACATATTGTTTTACACGCGTCAGCAACCCCCACTGCCTTATGGAAGTGAAAACAGTTGCGGTAATTACGGTAAACTTAGACCAGTTTCGACATTCAATGTTTCTTCATTAGCAAGAGTCAGACGTGTAGATACATCATTCAACGTGTTCGTCAATAGCACTGTGATCTTAAAAAAAAACGTATACGGTAGAATATGCAACGTTTTTTTTTAAATATTAATTAGCCTTCATCATAGAACAGGGATAGGCTCAACAAAGAATGAACAGATACAAGTTTGAATAATTAAATTATCAGTGATTTATTTTAAAAAATATGTTTATTTTGGGGTTAGATCTCGTAAATATAAATGTGTCGTTAAACCCGCCACCACCCGACACGGCGAATGAGTAAGGTTCGTCACGTAAACAAAAACACGCCAATTCGTCACTAGTTCAGGCACACACCGCTTGTGTGTTGGAAAGTAAACCCACCACAACATTTACAATTCGAGTACCGTGACGAGCATCATCAGGCGTCACAGACAGATTTGTGGAGAAATCCTCCTGGTTGGGTCCAAAAAAACCACAAACTCTAGATTATTGATACTGGTCGCAAAAGCCTTCCTCAGCGTTTAACGAATTTATTATTATTGGATATTTCGGTAAAGTCGCGTAGAAGGGAAACAATAAAATAATAAAAATATAAAACAATACAATTCTCACGACCTTTCGACTGCAACACAAGCAATCATCATCACCTGATCATCATCACCAATCATCATCAGGTGAAGCAATCATCACCTGATGATGATTGCTTGTGTTGCAGTCGAAACGTCGTGAGAATTGTATTGTTTTACTTTTGTTATGTTTTTATTGTTGCCTTTCTACGTGACTTTACCGAAAGAACCAAGAATATGAATCCCTGCAGTCACGAAAGCTTTAAATCAGAATTTGTTATTGCCAATTTACCAGCGTGGGCGTGGATTATCGTGACGGGGCGTGGCTTATCACCACGAGGCGTGGCTTGTCAACCAAGGGTCGTAGCTTGTCATCGCGGGGCGTGGCTTATTGCCCAGAGGGGCGGGGTCCGTTAAGGGGGTGTGTGTGTGAGAGAGGCGGGGGGGGGGTTACTTAGTTATGGGCGGGGCTTGTTGTCAAGGTGGGGAAGGGCGGGCGGTGAGATGCTGGGGGGAGGGAGCTGAAGGCGTAGCCCTCGGGTGACGTCACGCGTTTCGAAGTTGTAAACAGGGGGCGGGGGTAGGGCGGGGCCGTTCCCCCCCCCACCACCCAGCCCCCCCCCTCCACCGCCTCCTCCTCCTCCTCCGGCTTTCGCGTGTTTGTTCCGTGTGCTCGGCGTTGGCCGGCCCGTGTGTGTGTGTGTCGCGCGCGTGTGTGTGTGTCGTGTGTTAGCGATGGTGGTGTCTGTGTGTGCCTGTGTGTTTATTCCTGCGTGTTTATTCCTGCGTCTCCTCGCCTCTTGTTGACTCTCTCCGCCGTGTGCTAAGGGGGGAAGGGGGAGGCCGTTGCACACTCTCTCGTGTGTGTGTGTGATTGTGTTTGTGTGTGATTGTGTGTGAGTGTGTTGTGTGTGCAAGTCTCGCTCTGTGTGTGTGTACGCAAAAGTTGTACGTTTGCATGTACTGTAAGTCTTGCCTGTGTTGTACGTGTGCTGGGTACTTTGTAATGTGTGTACGATACAGTGTGCATTACATTACTTTGCGTGTGTTTCCGTGTGCGTGAATCCGTTTGTGTGTACCCAAGTGTACATTTCGTGTACAGTACTGTGTGTGTTCTTGTGTTTCTTTGTGTACATTACAGTATACATTACACATACAGTACTGTGTATTCTTGTGCGTGTCTGTATGTGTGTATCTCTATATGTACCTTGGTGTGTGTGTGTAAGTGTATAAGTGTGTATGCGTGTCCGTTCATCGCAACCACCTCCGCCTTGACATCTCTTCACCTACAGTGAGACCGGCTGCTGGCGGCAGCATCGCGTTATCTTAAACGGGCCCTAAACATCGTGCCCTAAACACCGTGCCCTAAACACCATGATGGACTCGGACCAGGACTCCAACCAGGACGAGGCACCCTCCTGGGGATCGGCGGCCGCCCCGGAGGAGCCGCGCCGGGCCGCAGGCCGAGAGGCTCCGCGAGGCCCCCCCGAGCTGAGGCGGACTCTGGAGCAGGAGCGAGCAGCGTCACCCGCGCTGGACGGGCCCCGTCGACGATCTCCAAGGTACCTGGATGCGAACCTGAACGAGGCGTTCCCGTGGGACGAGGCCCAAGACCGAGCAGCCCCACCGCGATACGCGGCCCAGCACCGCCATGCGGACCCGCTCAACTGGGACCAGGACCAGCGAGACCTACGCTACTGGGACCAGGCTCCCGCTGCGGGGTCGCTCCGCGTCGACCAAGAAGGCGAGCGGGGTGACCCGCGCGACTGGCGGCTGGACCCGGAGCCCGCCGCGTCCCCGCCGCGGGTCCCGGGCCAGCGTGGGGGGTCCCCGCAGCTGCGCGCCCGCCGCCGCCTCTTCTCGTGCCCCTCCGGCGCCCGCGGCTCCACCGCAGGTGCGGACGTGCGGCAGCAGCTGCGCTCGGTGGCCGAGAGGGACCGCCTCAAGTGGAACTTCGACTTCGAGTCGGAGCAGCCGCTGCCCGGCGGAGACTTCGCGTGGGAGGCCGTTCCCGCGGCCTCGGTGTGCGCCTTCTATCGGCCCGTGAACCTGCGCAGGGCCGGTAAGCGCGTGTCGGACAACGTAGCGGCAGCGGCGTCGTCGTCTTCTTCTTCGTCTTCGTGCCCTCCTCGTGTGTCCTCCTCGTCGTCCGCATCCTCCTCCTCCTCGTCGTCCAGCTCGTCTCCCTCATCGGCCACTGTTAGTCCAGAGCCGAGTGGGCCAGGCCCTGGACCGCCAAGCTCCAGGGAGGCGAGCAGAGGAGGTAGGGGAGGAGTTGGTGGAGATGGAGGCGGTGGAGGAGTCGGTGATGCCACGGGATCTCCTGCAGGTAGAGGTGAGTGGGATGAGAGTCGGAGGTGGTAGCGGAGTGATAGTGGCGTGTTGTGGTTGGCATAGGCCCTGGTGCAAGCAATACAACTCAACGTCCTGTACCTTTGCCCCCTTCTAGCCGTGAGTCCTAAACTAAAACTGTTTTTTTATATTTTACCAGGTAAGGCCCACATAGCTATATGGCTCTTTTTTCAGAAGCGAGCTGGCCACAAATGATAGCTGAACGAAAGTGGCTTATCTTGTGGAAATTTAGAGCAGCCAAATACTCTGAACGCGTGTTGATGATACATGTGGAGGGAAATCCCAGAGGACGCGGAGAAAAATCCACGCAACCATGGGGAGAGAGACAAGCTCCAAATATACAGACGCCAGGGTCTGGATCGAACCCACGAAATCCTTGTATACCATGCGAGGTAGTTAACAGCTCACCACCGTGGCGCCTCTGGTGCAGATGCACTGCGTGTATGCTCTATAAGTCTATATCTATGCCACTGAAGGGTTGATGATGCCATATGCTATTCTCGAGGTAGAGGTGTGGTGTTTGATGGGAGATGATGGTGGAGACACGGGTGACACCGCAGGCTGGACCTCCAGGTTGAGTTCAGTGGGATGAAAGATGAAGTTGGTGAGTGTGATGGGAGAGGTGAGTGGGATGGAAGATGAGGGTGGTGAGTGTGATGGGAGAGGTGAGTGGGATGGAAAGGGAGATGCGAGGCGATGGGCGCTTGAAAATTGCCAAATCCTGCTGATATATTTTTCAACAAATACCTCCAGAGTTTTCTAAATACTCTCCTATTGTTTTACTCAATATAGTTGAAAAGTACAATAGTTGCAGATACACGCAGTTTGCCTGACAATCTTGCAGGTATCTTTTTAGATGTTGATTTGTGTCAATATGTTAGCACACAATGGCATAACTCTTGACCGACGTATTTTTGCAAATAATTTTCCAAGATAACTTTAAAAACTATTAAACAATAAAACCCAGCGATTGAAATTAACCGCAAAAAAAACCCCTTGTGTAAATTTTTACTAATTTCCCTGAATGCAAAATGAAAAACAATAAATTTGTAGACCATGTAAGAGTGAAAGTGGCTGGGTTCGCCAATTTCCCGGTAAAGCTAAACAACTTTGCAAGAAATCCACAATTCTTTTGCCGCATCAACACGGCAGTTTCTGTTTAGGACATTATCACCTGCATTAGAGGAGCCATGAAACATCTTGAGGCGTTATTCTCAACCATTGACCAAATAAATGTTGGTAGTATCAGTTAAAAAAAATGGATATATGCTGTGTTTAACCAAATTTGATTGGCTATTTTTTTGCAAGGGAGACCCAGGTAATTATAGTTTCACGTTATGGAAATATGCGGTCACATTTAGCATCTGTGTAAATCCAAACAAAATTGTATATTGTTATTACAAGAATTCTGCCTTAAAAAGAATGAGTATATATACAGGTGACGTGTCATGCTATAGTTCTTCACAGTGCATAGAGAGGCCAGAGAGTTTCAGGCAATGGGCCAGGCCAGAGAGGCCTGGCCCATTGCCTGAAACGTCATGTATTATATTTTTTTGTCTTTTTAATGTGGCAGTGTTATTGATGAATGTGTTGAGTTTTGTTATTTTTGCTAGTGCACCACTGTCAAACGCAGTATGACCAAATCATTTATTTTATTACGATGTAGTTTGGAGGATAGTTTTCCAGATTTCAATTTGTGCCATGACCCTGGCCTACAGCGTCTTACTCTGAAGGATGATGCCAAGGGATCTTTGATCCCCCCCCTACGTAAGGGACTGCACTTTTAAATGGTTTTACGCTGCACAATTTTAACCAGTTCTTCTCGCGCATGCATGCCCGGCCGAGCCAGTCCGAAGCGCCTTCGTGTGCAGCGTCCGGTGCTCTCAGCCCACCATCCAGCCTGGTCAGAGGGCAATCCTCCTGCTTCCACATCATGCGTCACAGTCTGCACCTGTCTGCATTCACACTCTGGGCAATCCCAGATGGCCCATCTGGCATCGTTGGCCGCGCAATGACCTCGTCCAGTTACAAAAACAATTCGGTGGAGCCCATGCACGGCTCGGTGGTCCCGTGCCCTGGGTGTCCTCGAGTCTGTATGTCTCCCCATCTCCCTTGCCCATGCACGGCGAGGCCACAGTGGTGAGGTCATAGCAGGGCGGTGGTTGCGCACGCCTGTAATCCGGCGCTGTGGAAGCCGACGTGTTGGTGGATCAAACAAATGTCATGAAACTCCCTTCCCGTGAGTGTTGAGGTGTGATCTCCTGACACGACAGGACAAGGTGGTACAGCAAGTGTGGACTAAATATCCATCTGTCCCATCTATGTTATGGGGTAGAGTTCTTCTCGCTTGCATGTGTGTGTTTTCCCCAGGGGCTTGTCTCCTTCCACTTGTTATAGACACTCATTAATTGTCTGAAATCACCTGAACATATATGCACATGCATGTTTCGGATTACACTGCGTTTTCTGACGTTGCATACATTACGCAATACAAAGCCCTAAATATGTTTCATTGTTGACGGGGCTCATTCTGTCCACTGCCAAGTTGTTGGTGAGAAGTTGTGGAGTTGCAGCTCGGACCACTGAGTGTCATGATGCAAATCAAGTACAAGGGTGAGGTTGGAACGGTAATGATGATTTGATCTATTGACTCCATGCGATGTGGCTCAATGGTAAGCTCACTAAACAACTGCAGGTCTTTCCAGTGGGGCAATCCATAGCTTAATCTGATTTTCCAGGTATCACTAATGACAGACACAATGAACAATGCCAAAATGGCATGTGGTTATAAATTAAGATATTATTCCCATGAATTATGTCTTCGATTAAATATGTCTTCTGTTTCTGCGCCCTGCTGACTCTTACCTGCCTTGCACGATTAAGAAGTTAAACCTGGATGTAAACAGCAGTGTGTCCTGAAACAGGACCCGTGCATTGTCTCTTTGACACAACACAACTGATTACAGGGGGTAGCCTGGTGAAAGACTCCCATCGTTCAGCCACTTCACTCGTGGTTTTACAAAGTCCCAATTTCCCATGGCCTTAAAACTAGCTTAAGAGAAATAATCACAATGCTCTTTTAATTTGAAAACAAAGGGTCGTCGCTTAAAAACGTGGGCAATTCACCAGCATTGGTTCAAGCAAGCCTGAATGCAAATGAGACACTGAATGTCAAAACAGGTCCACAGTTTGCCTGGATTGAACACATGCCGCTAAGTTGCAATCTCAGAAGGCCATGGGGCCAATGATTTGTGTACAACATTCTTTTATTTGTTACGTGAAGAGACAAATGTGGAAAGGAGGCATTATTTTATTTTTGTTTATTTTTCAAAGATCCAGCAGCATCATTTGAAAATGTATGGCAGTATCCTGATTAACATTTGCCAATACAACGTTTTATTTCAATGCGGAGTTGGGACAAACATTTTTGTGTTGGGAGTATTGCACATTGGTCGAGACACATCTCAGCAGTTTTATCCACAGATCCAAGGGTTAGATACAAATGTGATGGCTCTAAAAAATGTGATGACGTTGTTCATTAGTCTGATGCTTTTGTCATTGAGATCCTAAATTCAAAGTCTGAACTTCCACTTAATATTATAATAATAATGGCCTTTACTTAGGAATGCTTCACTTAGTATCAAGACTGTCTTACAGGAGGGTTCCAAATAGGAATGTTTGACTCGTTCCATTTATGAGTGGCTTGTGAAAGGAAACTAGAGTGCCCGAAGAAAACACGTGCACAAGAGGGCATAACACTAAAAGCTCCACACGGATGGCTTGTAGGTTAAACCACGATTTCACATGCTGGGAGTTTGTCCAAGTCCATTCACCAAGGTCTGTCCTGAAATGTTAACTATTTTCTCAAGTTATTGGGTTTGCACCTCCGATTAGCACGGTTGGCTTACGTACGAAAGAAATGTTCTGGGGCTCCATCGAGCAGCTGAGGGCAGTGTAGCAAATTCCTCTGTTATACTGTACTTATATGCTCCTACATAAATTATCTCCACCTTCTCCAGCCCCAAATGACCAGCATGGCAAAGCAGGGTTAAATAACCTCGGCATCCCACAGGTGTGGTGGGCTGCTGTGGGGGCTATGCTCTCAGTAGTCGGTGGTGCAGCAAACTATACTTTACTCCACTATCTACTGTACTCGCCGTCTTCACCAACTAGTACTGATCAACGAGGTGAAGTATGGTCAAATAACTTTCATGACCTGCGTGGCATTTGTGAGGCCCTCATCTATCAGTGGATTGGCAAATTAGCTGTACAGATGCATGGACTCATAGACGAGTGTTGCACATCAGGGGCACCATAACGCGGTTGCTTGGAGAGTCGGCCTGCGGTGTCTTTGAGCTGCTTCCCGAGTGTGACACTTGACAAGGTGCAGTTGTCCCGACCGAGGACTCGGCCTCAACTGAAATTTCCAGGTCCAAGGTCTTGAGCCCAGGATATCAACGGAACCGGCTCAGCCTCACGGATAGTTCCCAGAGAGACCCCCCCCCCCACGTCCCTCCCCCACCCCACCCCAACCTTGAACTTTTGACCTAAGTGGCGCCAGCTCAGTGTCCGATGGTCCTTGGCCATTGGTGCCTTGATGGAGCTTGGATAGGTGACCTGCATGCCAAACAGGTGTTACAAGCTGCTGGGCTACATGGTGGGCAGCAGATGGGGGCAGTGCAGCAAAAATACATCGTTGTGCTGTACAGGTTTCTTCCCTCGCTTTACGCGGTAGTAGGAGATGCGGTACAAAAAAGGGGGGCGCACAAAGAGATATCTCGTAGGTTGGACCGCACCATCACCCAACCCACAATGCACTGCACGAGACAGCTGCCTGCCGAGTAGCGCACACAGTACACAGAGTACAAACACACAGTACACACTCAATACACACAATGTCCCACGTCTGACTGCATATCCGCCCGCATATGAGTGAATTTGAACCGCATATATATAGATAATTTTGGTAAGCGAGCCGCATATACGCAAAATTTCACAAACCGAACCTGCGTGAAGAAAGGCAAACCTGTACAGTACTTCTAATGCTTGAACATATATTCTGTCCACCTTCACCAACCTGAACTGACCAGCGCGTGGTAAAGTATGGCCAAACAACCCGTACGGTGTAGGGAGGGCCTTCACCCATCAGTGGATTGACAACGGGGCTGTACGAGAACGTGCACTTACGTTTGCATTGTGTGGAGGTGGAAGTTTTTAGGATATTGGGAAATCATAATTCAACCGTGGCAGTAAAACGCGTTTTCCCACACGCATTTCCATGCAAGATAACTGCCGCAATCTGTTTTTTTGTACGGAAATTTGTATAGATAAAGCGTACGTGTGTGGGAGCAAGGAGAGATAAATAGGCAACGATATCTGAAAAAGGAACGTTGACAGATTTTGATGCTTGTATTCTGCACAATGACGTGGACGATTATTTTATGTTACGTATTACATCGTTTTTGCGTGAACCAGGGACCCTTTATCAAACAGTGAAAGGGTCCTTGCCTGTTTATCAGCAAGCAGTTGTGACCAGTGTTGGTTCAAGCCAGACTCAACTGACTGGGCACTTAGCTGATGATGTTGACACCGGTACAGAGTTTTGCTTGTGTTGAACCAATGCTGCTGAAATTATGCGCTCCAAGAGAAGGCCACGGCGGCCGAAGGGATGTAGTATCTAAATAATCATCTTTAAATATTATATATTTTTTTAGAAATGAAAGCTCAACACATTCGTATAAAAACACACTGTGCTTGTGAAAGGTGGTGGGGGGGGGAGGATATAAAATAGGTGACTTTTCCGGCAATGGCCCTTCTTCATAGCAAACATTAACTTGTAGTGTTATGTGGAGGCAATTGAAAAATGTAAGTGATGCGTGTTGTCCGCATGTTTGTTTGGAACCTTATATCCTTCCACAGCGACGCTAATAATAATTTTGCGTTATGGATTACGTGTGACAAGAGACTGGCGAGCGTACACGGGGAGGTGGGGGGGGTGGTGCTGTATGAGAGCGAACCGAGCCAGTCCGGGTAGCGGTGCCTCGTGCTGGAATTTAAATAGCGTGTGGGTGCGGCGTGACTGTGAAACTGCTGACACGGCAGAGGGAACAAATCCTCAGCGTAAACAAGAACGCGACCCCCCCCCCCCCTCCACTCCCGCACCCCCCCCCCGCCTCTGGCCCATGACGCTTCTCTCGACTTAGCCGGCACGCACGCGCTACGCACGGTACGCACGTGTGCGTGTGTGGAGCGGTGGTGCATTGGTTAGCGCGCCGCGCTACAAACCCGGCGGCCCGAGTTCGATTCCCGATCACGGCCAACACTGGTGACGATTATCTGAAGCGGTCCTGGGCCTTCCCTAGGTCGACTCGGCCTCAAATGAGTACCTGTTGCTGTGTGTAAAAAAAAAATCGCCAACTGGAGAGACAAAGGCGGTCGGGCGTGATGCTGGCCACACCCCCCCCCGGTGTGCCGTGGCTGCCTTCATAGGTGCTCGCTAACAGCACTTGCCTCAACAGTCTGTTAAGGCTACACGGGGGATCTTTGTCTTGTCTAGCAGTGTTTTCCTCGTTATTCATGAGGGATACGTTCCGGAGATGCTCGTGAATAGAAAATTACGCGGACAATGATAATTGGCCGACCAAAACCTGTCTTGTTTTTAATGAATTGCCTTAAATAAAAATACGTAAATGATTCTATTAAATGCATGAAAATTGTCATTAAAACTAAAAATCTGTAAATTGGTTATAATAAATATCTCATCGTTTTATCTCGCATCACTTTCTCTCTCTCTCTCGATGCAGTCGTGTAGAGTCCCAGATGCGATTTGCGTATAGCCAAAATCGCGGATAGCAAGTTCGCGAATAACAAGAGCGTACTGTATATCTCTATTTGAACCGGTCCTTGGTCGACTCGGTCTCAAATGAGTACCTGGTGCAGTGTGTAAAGAAAACATCGCCACTGGTGAGATAAATGCAGCAGGGCATGGTGCTGGCCAGCCACCCCCATAGTATTTCACAGCCATGTGTGCATATACATTTTCAATTTATCTCTCGTGTGTGTATCTCAACACGTATATGTATGTATCTGTTGTATTCCATACCCATGTGTGCCTTTCCATCCCTCGTGTGTGTGTGTATATAACTCAACTCTGGCATAATTTACATCTCATAGCCTTGAGCTTGGAGTTGAATGGGGGCAGAGTGTCGACAACACGAGACGCTTGTCAAATGTGGGATCTCGGTTTATCTGATCGCTTGCATCTTGCTGTCACATGCCAGGCTGGTTCAGAACAAACGTTTCATGTCGTGAACTTGGGTGCACGATTGGTTTCCCAGTGTTGCAGCCCACGTCAGAGGGAGTCGTACACTTGAACGATGTCGCAATAACCGATTTTGCAGAATGCAGCGGTTGCGCTGTTTGATGTCCCCGTTATTCCGGAGATAAACGTGCGGGAAATAAAGGCGGTTAATTCCGACGCAAACAAATATTGTTTTTAAGACGTGTTGGAAATTTAGTAATTGTGCAATTCACTGGTCGTATTTTTGATATCGAGAAAGCATGTAAAATAATTCCTGGAAATTTCTTAATTTATTGTCATCCCCATACACCAGTGTTCTTCAGTGTTTTTTTTTCTCTAAGAGGCACCACAATGAAACAATTTTTAAAATAATATTAGCATGTACTGACGGGCCATGTGATGCTCCCGTCACGTGTATCGACAGTACGACAGACGGTACGACATCACATGGCGTCACCAGAGTTATCGCATCTGTACACGTGACCACTAATCTGTCCGTCTTTTCTCCAGGCCGTTCTTTTTTTATCTCGCTCATCTTTATCTCCTGTCTACAGCTCTCCCTTCTCTTTGTCTCATTGAACTCTCCTTTATCTCACTAATCTGTATCTATTTACGGCGCTGCTCGCCGGATATCTCGGAGGGTGTCGCACGGCGCACCACACCGAAAGCCTTAACGAGCCGCGTCTGGCCCTCGGTACACCGGTCGAAGAACCCTACTCTATGCAATTATTCTAAATAAAAATTGTGGCTTCTTGGTTTGTTTCCCCACACCTCGTCTGTACATTTGAATACAAATTACCGTGACAAGATTGTAGCCTTCGTCATAATAAGTGTGGCTGGGACCAGCGCTGTGAAATAAATGACTGACGTGCTTGTGTGTGCACGCGTGTGCACGTGTGCGTGCAGAATGCTCCGTCACCTGCGTGCCGCGCAAGAGGAGCAAACTCAGTGGGTCGCGGCGACGGGCTAACCCTGCGCTGTGCGCCTCACGGACGGCGTCCCCCGCAGCCCGGGGTTCCACCACGTGAGCGACGTGACCCCCGCCGCCTCCTCCGCGCCGCCCCCTGCCCCCTCACCCCCGGCGCTCGGGGTCAAGTCGCGCCTCGGCACCCCGCGAGAGACGCCCGCTGCCCTCGCATGGAAAAAAAAACCCCACAACTGCGGTGCCAAATTTTGCGGAAGATTTGCAGGCACTCTTGATGCGCTTGAGGATATGGAAGAGCGAAAGTGTGGGCCCGTTAGTTTTTATGACTCGTCCGGAGCTGAAGTGGCCGAGTGGCCCTGGCGGTCGAATAATTTTTTCAGAGTTATCTTTATCTAGGCGAAATCTGATGACCTTTGAAGCTCTTATTCACAGATGTCCAGTTTGTGCAGGATCGACGGTGTGATTCCTTCCCCGCCGCCCGCAAACTTACGTGGGGAGTTAACGAAACACTCTGTCCACTGCAAAATTGGAACAATGAAATCCCTATGATGTTATGTGCCAATTTTTGGCCCATTGCGTGCTGGATTCTAAATTCCAACGAATAATACTGTATTGCTACTTTTGTCATGAAAACAAATCCCAGGTGTCTCCCCTGCAAGAACCGATGATGGAACTAGGCTCTCGCACGGCTGCCCTGAAAAAAGGAAGTCTCTGGGAGGCACAGACAATGGGGCCATGGCCATTTGACAAGAGGGGGGCACTCGCGTGACGGGTAGAACTCGAGGGGGGCCCTAGCATGGTGTTCGTGTTGCCCAGCATAGGTTGAAGAGGACCTTGAAGATCAGACACGTTTGCAGCTAAAAGTCGTGACCTCTGTAGTCCTATAGAATTTGAATTGACTCAATTTTTATTGGAGTCGACGTGTGTCCTGGTCTACCATCACAGCCTCCGATCGGACAGCGCCATAATGAATCCTGTGCGATACCAAGTGATTTAGAAGTGCCCCCCGATAGGACCGATGGTAGATTTTTGTATTATGCGTTGTGTGCCTCACAGCAAAAAGGGCCTGGGTTCACTTCCCGACAAGTGCCTTTCTGTGTGTATGTGTGATTCTTTTCTGTACTTTCTCCCCCCCTGTTCTGCACGGGTTTCTTCCGGGTTCTCCGGTTCTCCTCCCCTAGCTCAAATAAAATACAATGTATACTGGTCTTGGCCAAATATGCCGATGTTGAAAGAATGACCTCCAAATGACGCAATAGGGATAACACAGCAGCATCGCCCTCTACCGCAAAAACGTGGTAGGGGAACCACTTTGATAAAGCATCTCAAGACTTGGTGACTCTTGCCTGGGTAAACCAGTGTAATAATAGAGAATAATAATTCTTAATAAAGATAGTGGAAGCGAATACTTTGAGCGTGCTATTTAGTACAGGTTCGCTTAGAAACTCGAGACACTGAGACAGAACGCCAATACACCAAGGTAAAACACACATTCAATCACGATCATGTTCCATTAGCAAATGCTGTACGTGGCGTTTGGAAGTAACGTGTTACTGAAATAATATTCACAAAGGGAATTAGCGGTAATGCATTGTTAACCCGTGTTCATTTTTCACTAAATTGTTACTTGGCATGAACTGGTTCACAATTATTTATGAATACTTTTAAACAATTACAAAAAAAACAATTAAAAGCTTGGGTTAATGGAAGGACAGTAGCAGCCAATGAGTATATAGAGCACCTCCGATTAGCCTGAGTGTCCAGAACATACGGCCTTAGGTCCGATGATGCAATTATAAAGTCAATCATCGACCTTCGGCCCAAGGTGCTCTGGGTACCAAGTACACTTATGAGCATTCTTGTGTTCGAACATGGTGTTTGTTATTGACATTCCGTGACTAGCGCAGAATCCCAATAACATGTGACAATTTTGGTCAAAACAGGGGGCCATTCCTCTCAATAACGCCTCTCCAGCTATCTCCATCGTTTCCCACGTGAGCATTGAAGTCGCCCAGTAAGACTGTGGAAGGCCGAATACTCTGAGCTGCTATTTAGTGCATAAGCACAGACAACAGTCAAGAGTTTTCCTTTCTGAGACCCGGAAGTCTCATTTAGGCGACCCTATGGTCCACTGGGACAAACTCCAGTGAAACAGCAGCCAACCAGGGGCTTGTGAGTATACCCACACCTGCCCGGGACCTCTCACCAGTGAATACTCCGGAATAGGAGAGAGACCACCCCCTAATTAAGAAGTTTGGTTCCAGTGCCAATGGCTGTGTGTGGAGGTGAGACGAACGATATCTAGTCGGTACCTTTCCACCGGCTCTGGCTCCTTTACACCCCCCCCCACCTCCAGCGATGTCACATCCCATGTCCCAATAGCTAGTGTCCATCGCCAAGGTCCAGTTCGTCTGAGACCATCCATACTGGCATCGCACACCCGCCCCTCACCCTTCGGACGGTGAGCCCACAGGACAGCGCCACGTAGCATTGTCGGGCTGGGCCCCACCAGGTTACGTGGGGGGGGGGGTCACCCGGCCACCAGGCGCTTGCCGGCAAACACCACCCCCAGGCCTGGCTCCAGGGATGTGTCCCGGTATTCCTTGTCCAGGCAAAGTTCTCTGATTTCGGTACTTTGTTACCATTCCATGGGGGAGCTTTATTTTGGACCGTTATTTGTTTGGAACCTCTTCCCCCCAGATCTGTTCTCCACGGGAGAACTTAGCAGGAGTACAAGACTCTAGGCGACATACAGTGAGGGAAAAAAGTATTTGATCCCCTGCTGGTTTTGTACGTTTGCCCACTGACAAATAAATGATCAGTCTATAATTTTAATGGTTGGTTTATTTGAACAGTGAGAGACAGAATAACAACAAAATCCAGAAAAACGCATGTCAAAAATGTTATAAATTGATTTGCATTTTAATGAGGGAAATAAGTATTTGACCCCCTCTCAATCAGAAATATTTCTGGCTCCCAGGTGTTTTTTATACAGGTAACGAGCTGATAATAGGAGCACACTCTTAAAGGGAGTGCTCCTAATCTCAGAATGTTACCTGTATAAAAGGCACCTGTCGACAGAAGCAATTAAATCAGATTCCAAACTCTCCACCATGGCCAAGACCAAAGAGCTCTCCAAGGATGTCAGGGACAAGATTGTAGACCTACACAAGGCTGGAATGGGCTACAAGACCATTGCCAAGCAGCTTGGTGAGAAGGTGACAACAGTTGGTGCGATTATTCGCAAATGGAAGAAACACAAAAGAACTGTCAATCTCCCTCGGCCTGGGGCTCCATGCAAGATCTCACCTCGTGGAGTTGCAATGATCATGAGAACGGTGAAGAATCAGCCCAGAACTACACGAAAGGATCTTGTCAATGATCTCAAGGCAGCTGGGACCATAGTCACCAAGAAAACAATTGGTAACACACTACACCGTGAAGGACTGAAATCCTGCAGCGCCCGCAAGGTCCCCCTGCTCAAGAAAGCACATATACATGCCCATCTGAAGTTTGCCAATGAACATCTGAATGATTCAGAGGACAACTGGGTGAAAGTGTTGTGGTCAGATGAGACCAAAATGGAGCTCTTTGGCATCAACTCAACTCGCCGTGTTTGGAGGAGGAATGTTGCCTATGACCCCAAGAACACCATCTCCACCGTCAAACATGGAGGTGGAAACAGTATGCTTTGGGGGTGTTTTCCTGCTAAGGGGACGATGGACGGGGCCATGTACCGTCAAATCTTGGGTGAGAACCTCCTTCCCTCAGCCAGGGCATTGAAAATGGGTCGTGGATGGGTATTCCAGCATGACAATGACCCAAAAAACACGGCCAAGGCAACAAAGGAGTGGCTCAAGAAGAAGCACATTAATGTCCTGGAGTGGCCTAGCCAGTCTCCAGACCTTAATCCCATAGAAAATCTGTGGAGGGAGCTGAAGGTTCGAGTTGCCAAACGTCAGCCTCGAAACCTTAATGACTTGGAGAAGATCTGCAAAGAGGAGTGGAACAAAATCCCTCCTGAGATGTGTGCAAACCTGGTGGCCAACTACCTGAAACGTCTGACCTCTCTGATTGCCAACAAGGGTTTTGCCACCAAGTACTAAGTCATGTTTTGCAGAGGGGTCAAATACTTATTTCCCTCATTACAATGCAAATCAATTTATAACATTTTTGACATGCGTTTTTCTGGATTTTTTTGTTATATTCTGTATCTCACTTCAAATAAACCTACCATTAAAATTACAGACTGATCATTTCTTTGTCAGTGGGCAAACGTACAAAATCAGCAGGGGATCAAATACTTTTTTCCCTCACTGTAGCTCTGAGGGTCAATGAACACACAAACCCCACCACCACGATAAGGTTACGATACTTTGGTGGTTATCGAGAGTCGCTCGTGCATATGAGACTCACTCTGGTGCCTTGATTTCTTACCCTTGGTTAAACAACGTCAACTTAATTTAAACTCGGCTCCTAAAAAAACAACAATCTTGAGACTGATGCTTTCTTGGAGAGATGTTGCTAGCAAGCCTTTGCTTCAAACTAAATCTCACAGTTTGTGGAGCGCTGGCTCAGTGCTATGACACAGGGCGTAGCATTCGCTCGCCAAATTTTTGTCCATCTCTGAATTGGATTGCCTAATTTTGTTATAAGAGTACAGCAATTATGTTTCATTATTTAAATTATACATTGTTTGGTGTGGTGTTAAATAAATATGTGTGCTCTATATTCAAGTGTATCATATCCTAGCTGTGCCGGCAGATGTAGTATTTACAAAGAGTTATGACGATTGCCACGCGCCTATTAAGTTGTGACAGTGTATCCGTCTTATCTAAGAAGGATAGTTACCAAAAAGTTTACAGTGTCGTGTTTATACGTTCGCCTTTGATGAACTCATGGACACGTGCTGAATCACATTGAGGGCAATGCAATCGCCTTTCAGGCAATGTTTTTCACCCAGCTGTTTAATTTCCACCACGGCCAAGTAATTTTGAAGGGCATTAACGATATTACCAAAGCCATTGTGCGATGGTATCATAGCCCAAATTTGATTCCGACTCCTATCAACGTCATGACATGAGACAAAGAATTCCTTCGGATCTTTTGAATAGCAGTGCAACCCTTCCTGTTAGACAATGGCCCATGGAAGCTGTTGTCAAAGAGCTACTTCTAAACATTATTCAAGTGACCTCTGGTCTCTACATTAGGATGCATAACTTTTTTAAAAATAGTTCTATAATCTTTTTTTACAGAATACATTATTTTTATATAGTTATACAGTAACTCTTCCGATGTAAATGTGGCATCCAAGTCTCCTTAACAAAAGAGGTTCTTTATCTCAGCGAGAAAGAAAACAAGATGACAATAGTCATGTTTTATACATGTGTGTATGCGCAGCATTTCGTAGGCTAGTTGTGTTGTACATACACTGTAAATGTACACTGTGTGTAAGTGTATATAGATTTTGTCTGCAAACCTGGAACATGGCCTTAGACACTTGGTGAAGAACATTGGGAGCTTCAGAAGATGTTTATATAGGCCACGGACTCGAAGTGAACGAAATTGCCTGCATACTTACACGATCTCCTCTGATGGTCCTAAGTCAGTGGCAGATATTCCACGTCTCTGTGACAGGGACTACTCTCTCCATAGGACAACCACCGCATGATGTCCTCTACAAAGTGGTACACATTTGATTGATCCTGGAAAGATCGATTATCAAAACTCACAAGCCACCAAATTGTGATTTGGAAACTGATGTCCAGCACTGAAGTCATTGCACCACTGGATGTAGGCCTCCCCACACCACGTGGGCCATGGTTGGTTAATCGTAACTTCACGCTGCCAGTCAGTGTCGGTTGGCGAAGGGGGGGCCCTGGGCCGGTTAACAGATCAGTCACCAGTGATGTTAGCTGTGACCGGTAATCAGATCTTTGCCATGTCAGGTAACCACACTCATATCACCGTTTCGTAGCGCAGTATGATAACTAATGCACCATCGCTACACTCCAATAAAGGCACACTGTCTTTGTTATGCTGGGCACCATTGTGGTGAGATGTTAACTACCTCGCCTGGTATATAGGAGGCCGGGGGTTTCGATCCGAACCCTGGCGTCTGTATATTTTGATTGTGCATATCTCTCTCTCCCCGTGGTTGCATGGATTTTTCTCAGGGTCCTCCGGTTTTTCCCTCCACATTTAGAAATATGCGTTTAGA